ACGGTCTTCTACTTATAAAAAAGGATGTTTAGTTCTATTAGCATGAGCTGCAGTTAGGGTAATACAGCCCTTATACATCCACATAAGCCTTCCTTAATTTCCTTAAAAATAATAACTAAATCTTCTACTATGCTATTAATCGTAATGCTAACGGCCGATTATATAGGTTCTTTTAGACCTATATAAATAATATAGAAGACTAGAGCTGGAATCTAGAACTCCTTAGTATAGATAACACCTATAAGGTAAACCGTTTTAACATGCCCTTATTCTAGATTATAAGGACAACAGCGCTGCATATAAACTTTAACGCTGGCTTTAGGTTAGCTGTAAAAGAGGATATAGAGGCCTTTATTTAGCTGCTTTAGAAAATAAAGGAAGCTGCTATAAAGGCCAAGATCCTAGATCCTAAGATTATTATCACAGACTTTAACTCAGCTTTTAAGAAAGCTCTTGCAATCATCTTTAATCTATCCTAACAGCAAATTTATATATAGTATATAATAAAGAATGTTATTCTTTATATAAAGAAGAACTGGGTTAGAAGTCTTGCTAGTAATCAGATTATAGGCCAGGCTAAGGAAGATAAAGCTTATAAAGCTGCCAGCCTTAGCCTTAGCCCTCTTATATAGCAAGATAATAAGATCTTTAACACTGCATAGTAGGAAATAGCTAAAAAAGCTGTTAAGGAGGCAATATAATAAGCGTCTTAGCTTCTTCTATCTATAATAATATCACTTTCCTGTAAAAAGGATTAGGAAAATACTGCTAATAGTATGCGTAATGCTTAGATAGCTGTAATATATGCTAAGATTAAGGAGGAATTTAATTAGCTTTTTATTAAGCTGTAAAGGGTGTTTTCAGACTAACCTAGTGAGTTTAAAGATACCTCTATCCATACTATAACACACGCTAATTTAATATTATAGAGATTACAGGTTATCTCTTAAAGACCTATATGCTAGAGCGCCGCTAATTTACCTATTATGCTATTAAGGACTATTAAAATTATAGCATTATAGTAATATCTTATATAGAAAGCGCTTACGCATAGTTAAAGGTACTCCTAAGAAATAGGTTTACTGACCTATTTTAACTTTAACAGTGCATTTAGCAGCTTTCTAAGCAACGCCGTAAGCATTATTAGCATTAATTTTAGCATAAGGTAACCTATCACCAGGTCCAGTTTATTAATAAACTGATTTTTACTAATTTGCTGTAAAAAGTCAGTTAGCAAGCCTTATTATAGATCCAGGAGTAACTAGACCTTATAAAAGACAACCTTTAAGGGAAAATAAAGCTAAAGGACTATATAGGGGCGTTCTATATGCAGTAGGGACTACCTTATTACTATATAATTTTGCCGCTATTATAAGTAGGAGAGTCTTTTAAAATAACACACCTTAATGAGCATTAGTGGCTTAAGGCAGATACAGTATGTAAAACACTAAAGATTAAGGATCGCAATACTAACCTTAGCTTCAAGCCTAAATAACAGGCCTAACTTAACTAATTCCGCAAATGTAATCCAGTGCAAGTACTGTCATGATAAAGGCCTTCTAACCAGCCTATCCCTTGGTAAGTAAAAATAGGCTAAATTCTTAGCAACTAGGAGGCATTTAAAAAATCGCTAAGTTAAGCTGCTATAATATCATAATTATAATAACAGAGTTAAAATGCAGCTGCTAGTAGCGTTCTAGCTACTACCTAGAGGCAGCCTATAGTTATTTATTAATACAGCCAAATTCTGCTGTATTAAGAACACTTTAACACACCTCCCGCGTTATTACAGCAAACACAGCAGCAGCGCTATTTCCTATAAGCTTTACAGATGCTGCCGCCACTGCTGCTACTGCTATATTAGATATTGTAAATACTGCCACCGCCGCTGCCTTAGGTATTGTAAGTGCTGCCCTTAGGCTAAGAGTTAGGAAGCTATTAGACATAGTAAACCTCTTAGCAGCAAATTAGTAAACCTGGAGGTACTTTTATATATAATTTTAGTGGAAATGTATATAATCTATCACTTCCAAGCTTATTATAGGTTTCAGGGCGTCATTTTTATTATCCTTTATGGCAGCTGCTGTTATTACAGCAATAAATGCAAATTCCGTTACCTAATAGAAGCACTTTTTATTACACATGATGTATTTGAGACTTAGAAGCTTGACTGGACCAGTTTATAGTAAGTATAAATTGCATATTATTACTATGGGGGGCCGACCTTGCTAGAATAGGTTTAGTGGTGTATGCAAACCACCGATTGTTGTGTGCAAATTGAGAGGCTCCTGATGTGCATTATTGCATGGTAATTCTGCAGCTGGAGGTAGCAGTGATAATGGCCTCTCCTGCTTCCCGTCTCGTATGCGTGCCTGTCATATGAGCCTTGATTGATGCATTCATTGATTGATTGATTGATTCATGGACCTGTCCCCGTTTCTGCGCCGCGCGCGGATAGACTGCTGGATGGACGGATGGATGGATGGATGAGAATCTGTCGGCATGAGTCTGGATGGGATTCAGGTGGATGGGCAATCAATCATCAGCTCACTTTGCTCACCCTCCACCATCGGTTGCCCTGTTCCAGCTGTGATGCGCCATGCATTTCCTCTGCCGTAACAACCACGACAAATCAGCGAAATTGAGAAAAACTCGAGAAAAAAAGACCCCCCAAGCTTGAGCCCTTTTGGTCCTTTCGGCCGCGCCATGACGACAACGGATGCATTGTGGCCTTAGGACGTTCCGTCGGTTCTTCTTAGGCTTAGCCGCAGGGGCGATTTCTTTAGTTGTGTCGCTGGCTTCGGCCGGCTGATCGTGCTTCTATTCGCCCATAGCGATTTTTTCCTCTTGATTTTTTTTTTTTTTCTTTTCCCTGCGTCGAGCGCGGCGGGCTTGAGAAATTTCGGCCGTCCGTAGTGCTTGGCCCGCACGGTGTTGGCCGGTCGTATTGCGCAGGTGGAGGCACTGTCGGCACTGTACCCAGTTCAGCAGGTGTCGCCAGTCCGCTACAGTACAATTCAGTACAGGCCACTTTCGGTCTCTGGTGGTGCTACTGTAGAGACGGCGCTGGCCAGTCGCCGGTGGGCAATTTGATGGGATTTTTGGAAGGCGAGCAAAGCCCTGCGGGCAGCGACTGCAGAGGGCGCTCAGCCACGGCTCAGACCATTGCCAAGAAGGGGAAAGGCAAAAAATAGAAGAAAATCCAGAGAGGAAAATGATGATGAGAGACACTGTCCGCAGCGGCCGAGATTGGCCCAGCGGCGCCAAGAGAAAAACCACTCACTGGAGACGATTCCACTGGCACTCACTGAACCACTGGAAGCTCCTGCGGTGGCTTCGCGCTGTGCTCTCGACGGCCTCTTGTGCTCTGCTTGCTGTTCTTGGTACAAGCAGCGAACCACTCCCCCCCTAGACAGCCACACACTCACACCTCCTACTCTTGCCCCCCACACACAAAATTTCTCTACTCTTAAGTCGTTTCCTCTGCTTCTTTTTTTTCTGCTGGTGGACTGGTGTGCTCAGGTGCTTTGCTGTGCTTGTGCTTGTGACTTTGTGCCCCCCAGTTCCGTGACTTTATTGCCCGTTGCAGCTGCGGCGCCCGCACACTGTGCCCCTCGGCCGGGTTCGCTGCGACTCCAGCACGGTTCCAGAGCGGCACAGCGTGGAACCCATTGGTTGCCTGGATGAGCGCTCGCACTGTATGGACTTCCATCCATTCTGGGTCCTACGGGAAAGTGCTTCGACGGACAAGTCTGGTGAGGCAATGAGGGTCAGTCCTCCATCTCCATCTCCATCTCCTCCTGCTAGCACGAAATCACCCCCCCCCATTCCCCAGTCCCCCGTTATTTTGTGCGCTTGTACTCCGTATGAAGAGCGAGGCACAAGGAACCGTGGACATGGATGCTTTTGTGCTAGCCTGCAGTGGCGGCAGATCAGTCTATTATCCCTCACCCATTTCGCTGGGTGCGAGAATCGTCGTGCTTCTTCGCTGCCTTCCATTGCAGTCCTGTGTGTGTGGCGGCGTCTGGACTTTTCTCGCAAATTTCTCCTTGCCCTCCAACCCTCCTCCACGGCCTCGCTCTCTCTTCGCTGTGTCTCGGCGGCCTCACGTCTAGGCAGCCGAATTATTATCAATCCTCTCCTCGCAGGCAAGCAAGCGCCCATACTATCATCGACAAGCAGCACACTCGCAGCGTCACAAACGACCCTGTCTGAGACATCGACGTCTTGACCAAATCCATCGCCCAAGAACATCGAACATCGCAGATCCCTGCATCGGCCTGCTACGCCCACGCCTCGTCACACCCCTACCGACCTCCCGGCTTCTGTCGTGTCAGGTCCGCCCACGCCACATCTGGACGGACGTCATCCGGAATCTGCCAAGAAGGGCTCCTCTGCTGCTATAGCCGCACACCCGCCAACTGCAGGACCCTTTTTTTCTCTGGCCCTCTGGCAGCGCTGATTCGGCCTGGCAGGCTGCCCCCCCCGGATCACCACACTTTGCGCTGCTTAAAGTGGACTGGCCTTCCGCCCGCCTCAAAACTCGCACTTATACCATACGCGCAGGCTCCAAGAGCGCCTTTCTTGGTTTCTTTTTTTTCCCCTTCTGTTTCAACATACCACTACCTTGAATACACTCCTTGGGTATTGATCATGTTGTCTTTGATGTTATAGCACCGCCGTCCTCAGGGACACAACTCTTTGTTTACGAGAACTCGTTCTCGCCTCGGCTGCAAGCCTTGTGTCGGCTTACACGCTTTGCCCTGCTACGACACAGATCCTCCTGCCCCTCTCGAAGTTGATCCATACTTGACGACTCGTCCGGCCGTCTCGTTCGTCTTGCTATAACAGCAGAAGCGGGACATTCAACGGCATCTTCTTGCTATTGCTGGACTATTCTCGACCTCTAGAGCAAGCCGACCTCCTTGCTCAAAATTCACTCACCAACCGCCACCACTTATACAACACCCACAACCCTAATGCCAACAACATTTTCGACCATGGCAACTCTTCCTTCAACCTCACAAGCTCCCGAGTGGGCGACCCAAGAGTCAGATCTTGTCGAGGACCTTGACGAACCCCCAGAACTCCGGCTCTACATGCCAACTCCCAAGCCTCTGCCTTTCCAGAGGTCGCCGATTCGCCCTAAGCAGGTCGCATCCTCGCTTTTGACCCAGGCCATCCTGGGCCAGTCCGACGAGGAGGAGGGCCATGTTTTCCACCCCACCAAGACCGCCAGCCAGCGCCGCCGCTCCATCGTGAGCAATGCGAGTATTGCTTCTACCGCTGATCTGACCAGTGATACTGGCATGACCAGCCCTTCGCGAACCAACACCCCCAGCCCTCCTCTCCCGGATCTGTCAATGCTCCGCCTTCACCAGGGCGCGACCGAGCAGAAGACCAGTCTCATTGCTGGCTTCTTTGGCGCCAAACGAGCGGAGGAACCTGCCAAGGAGGCTCCTCGAAGGCGATGCATTCAGTTTGCCTGTGTTGCCAAGCCTCAGGCCCAAACAAAGACTAGTGCCGCCCCTGCTGCCGCTCCCTCGACTGCCGCTCCTCCCATGGTCAAGACTCCCGTGACCGAGGAAGCGCCTAAGCGATGCATCAAGTTCGCCTGCCCGGCTCCTCGTCCTTCTACGGCACACAAGACTTCCCCCAAGCCTTATGAGCCCTCCACTCCCAAGCGGAGCATGACCCATCCTCTTCCCACCTCTCCTCGACCCTCTCCTGTTCAGCCAACGCTCGCTCGACCTCGATTCCTACGTGCTACATCCACGGAGCTCATCAAGGATGCCTCTCAGTTCCACGAGTTCGCCAGTGGTATGGCTCGCGAGGATGACTGGATTCGACAAAATGACTCCGTCCAGACCAAGCTTACCATCTCCGATACTTTGGTAAAGGAGAACCTGTTTCGCCGACTGGGGGCTGAAGTCGAGGAGGAAGCCGAGCAGGAAGAGCAGGAAGAACTCGAGGCCGAGACCGCCATGGGCGATGATGAGGATGAGGACGAGGATGAGGACGAGGACGACGAACTCGATGTTCTGGATGTCGAGGACGAGGACGAGGATGAGGACGAGGATGATGAGGACGAGATGGACGATGGCTCCGACGGATACCACACTGATGAAGAGACCGGCTTCGCTGATTCCGACGAGGAAGATGACGAGGACGAGAACATGATCTTGTGGACTCCGGGCCGCACCCCATCTGCCCTCAATCAGGTCACTACTAGCCTGGCTCGCCGTCTCTCCATGACCGAGCAACACTCGGACTCCTCTATTGGATCCCGACGCAGCCGTCGCCGATCCAAGCCCCGTCCCATTGGACCTCAAGTCGAGGCGCCGGACTTGCCCGACAGCACTGACTTTGTGTGCGGCACGCTCGACGAAGATCGCCCTGTTGAGGATGCCTACCTCTCGTGCCTCGCCGCCCGCAGGAACGAGAAGCTGCGCATCATCCCCCAAGACATTGATCCAAGCTTCCCGGCTTCGGACCTTGAGGAAGAGGACGACGATGATGTCTACGCGGCTGCTCCTGACAGCGACGATCACGCTTGGGTCCAGGGAGCCATGGAGGATCTTGATGACGAGACAGACCGCGCTCGAAGGAGGCGCAAGGGCGAGACCACCTCTCCCCGACGATTCCGTTCTCCGCCTCCCAAGCGACGCGGCTCTCCCGCCCCCAAGCCTCGCGCACGCTCTCCCAAGCCGCTCTTTGACCGCCAGTCGCCTCGACGAGCTCGCTCCCCTGCGCCCAAGGCGATGGCCATGGCGACTCCCATCCAGACTCCACGACAGGGTGCGCATGCCAAGTTCCAGCTGGCTGGCCGTCCTGGCCTTACCCATACAAAGTCTCTCCCTCGCCCTGCCGCCATCTTCCGCCACCAAAAACAGCCCAAGGGCTCCAAGACTTCCTCTGACAATGATGCGCACATCCGCAGCGCCATTGACATCGTCAAGGGCCTCGAGAAGAAGCGTCTTCGCCGCAAGGAGAAGTTTTTCCAGAAGTACTGCGATCGTGCCCGCCGCGGCCAGATCCCTGAGCGCAAGCCGCTCCCTGGCACCGGCGCTGAACGCATGCGAGAGCTTGGGTTGCTCATGGCCGGCAAGAAGGACCCGGGCAACTACGTGCTCTCGTGTTAAAAAGAGGAGAGATTTTCGAAAAAAAGTTTTTGCTGGCTTCTACAACTTCTTATTAAACCAACAAGGACGCATCTGGAGGAGTTTGAGCGAGCCTTTGATAGGCAAGGGTTCCACAGTCCCACCATTCGATGGGCGGCGTTCACATTTCATGACCGCAGCCGCTTATGGGCGAGTCCTATTAGACCGGTGTCCACTGCTCTTCCTTTTGTCGTCTTCATTCTCTTCTGTCTTTCCTTTTGACGACTTTTACGACTTTTTTCTATCTTATATAATTACATGACTTGACCCGGAGTCTGGCCCTTTGCAGAGGCCGCTCCTGTACATAACGACCTTTTCACATTATACGTCTTGGGTTTTTGCTGTTCGCAGCGGAAAGCAAGCATACTTGGAAACAGTACATCTTTGGGCACAGAAGGCGGGAAGGCTTTTTGATTGCTTTTTGGATACACCATGAGACGCATTGGGAATGCGCGACTCAGCTGGCGTTGGAGGCGGGCACACAAGATGCCGTCTGCTTTATTACTAGATAGTAATCCTACTGATTTCAAGGACATTTGTTGAATCAAATCTGTCTGCTGTGATTTTCTGATGCGTTCTGGTTCGGAGAATAATAATCTTGTGATGACAACTGGAGTGTTGGAGCAGTGAGTGAGTGAGTACTGTACATGTAGGAAGCCACGTAATCCAGAGCTCAGACTGTGATTGAGAGTCGGTAAGGGAAACACAACCTTATGCACGCCATGTTTCTCAATGGAGTGATGGAGATACTGTCAGGAAATGCCGCACAAGCAAGATTTGCAGACTACTGTTACCTGGATTCTTGTTTGCTTATAGTAGGCGTTGAATCAACATCCAGACATCCCTAGGTAGTCTAGTATGCGACGCATTGAACATTGTCACTGATATGAGGGAGTATTGTATAGTAGGTACTACTCAAGGTACTATTGGTGCCTGAGCAACAAGGCACGTCACGTGGCCCCCGGCCTGCGTTCCCTTGCCTTCCACGCTGCGCCAAAGGCCAAGGCGGTAAAACACATGATTGTCCTTTCCGATCCCACTCTAGTCTCGCAATCGACATCATCACACACAACCTTCTTCTCTTTCTCTTCCCTTCTCCGGCCTCGTTTCCCTGTTTTTGCCGTTGCGCAACTCTCCCCGCCTGCCCGGCCATCGACACGGTTCCCTTGACGGACATCCTCGATACACGAATTCAGGTTTCGCAATCCGTTGTTGCTTCTCGAGCAATCCAATCGCCCGCCATGTGGATCGTCAACTGGTGTATGTTATTGGGATTCCCTTTCTCCGTTGCGGCGCTCCCTCCCCCCCATTGGATCCCGGAAGGGGTGCAACAGCTTACCTGATGCGACATCCGGACTCCTCTATTCTTTGGGTGGACGAAGCTTTGAATTTCGAAGTGCCAGTTTACTGACAAGTTGTCTTGACTTCTCGTGGTGTGATTTTTAGTCTACGACGTCTTGTCGTCTTTGGGTCTGCTTAACAAACACGCCAAGCTGCTCTTCCTGGGCCTCGACAATGCCGGAAAGACCACGTTGCTACACATGCTCAAGGTATGTTCTGCCGCCGACCACGACACGACACTCGATGCCCGAAACGGTGCACCACACGCGAATAGGATGAATGCTTTTCTGCGATGGGAGGAGGACTCGCTGGCTTCTTTTGCGCGCACGTGGTCGATCTGTTGCTATGGGACCTGGAGCTTTGCAGTGTTGCTAACGCAAGGGGGGGATTTTGTGCTTCTCTTAGAACGACCGAGTTGCTATCCTGCAGCCGACTCTCCACCCTAGTAAGTTTTGCCACTGCCGCTGCCGTCGCGGGCGGTTTGGATGTATGGGGTTTGTGGAGGGTTTCTGACTTATTTGTAGCTTCTGAGGAGCTTGCCATTGGCAATGTTCGATTCAACACTTTCGATCTAGGCGGTCACCAGCAAGGTATGCCTATATCCTTTGTCTCAATCCTTCCGTTTCGCTAGGGCGCTTTCCAATCTTCTGGCTGGAGCGCCTGGGCATAACACCATGCTGACCGTGTCCAACACCAGCCCGCCGTATCTGGAGAGACTACTTCCCCGACGTCAACGGTGTCGTCTTCCTCGTCGACGCCAAGGACCACGAGCGATTCCCCGAGGCCAAGGCCGAGCTCGACGCCCTCCTGTCCATGGAGGAGCTCTCCAAGGTTCCCTTCGTCATCCTGGGCAACAAGATCGACCACCCCGACGCCGTGTCCGAGGACGAGCTGAGGCATCAGCTGGGCCTGTACCAGACGACTGGAAAGGGCAGGGTGCAGCTCGAGGGCATCCGACCCATTGAGCTCTTCATGTGCTCCGTGGTGATGCGACAGGGCTACGGCGATGGTATCAGGTGGCTGTCCAATTACGTTTAGAGCAAGAGATGGGAAAATGATGTATGTTTGCTATGATGTGTGTGTGTGTGTGTGGGGGGGGGGGGGGGGGGGGGGCAAGGATTGTAGGTCGTCTCAACGAGTTGAAGTAATGACGAATTGGAAGATGTCAAAGGGGGGGAGAATTGAAGAGGGAGGAGGCGTTGGGCCGTGAGTATCTGATGAGACTCGGCATTCTCTTTTAGGCGAAACTTGTTGGCTTTCAAATTCATCCGCTGCTTATAGTATGGTCATACTAGTCCACTTGGTGCAAGTAATGGTTTGTCGAGACGGACAGTTGGGTTCTTGCTCCTAGACAGAATGACGGGGAGAACATGTGCTCATCCGCTAACGACGACGAAATTGTTGACATTGCAATCTCTGAAAGCACCACTTGTGGGAGTCGCATTTGCGAAAAGAGCGCAAGTGTAGATCAAAAGAGGTTCCAACAGCTCCTTATTCCAACTCTGTATTTGTTACATACAAGATTCAAGCTCCTCAGCAGTACTTGAACAGATCCAGACAGCCAATAACAACAACGCTATCGAAAGACAACAAGGTTCCTGACCTAGAAGTGTAGCAAAGAGAAGCAGCCTCCAATTTAGAAAGCAACCACATTGCCCGTTTAATTCACTGTAGATAGATAGGAAAGACAGATAACCCCCTTTCCTTTTTTCTTTCAAGTTCATATATCATCATAGAAGCATCTGTTCGTGGACAACAATAGAGCACAGACATATTACCGATTAAAGAGATGGGAAAAACCATCTTTCTTCTTTTCTTCCAACGTTTTTTCTCCTCCTCCTCTTGGTCTCTTTTAGTTTCTTTTCCCATCCAGTCAGCGCGCAAAAAGGGGGGTATATGGTGATAAGGTAAGTAGGTAGGTGATGCGCATATGCAATAACGATTAGCTACAAGCTGTGGTTTACAGCCATGTAAGGTATGTATAAAAAAAGGCTAGAAAAGAGAGCCGACGGATATCCCAAGAAACGGAATAAAAAAAAGAGAAAAAATTGACTGCCAAAATGCAATGGGATGCTACGCTTGCTATGCTGTGACATGCTCCTGCTCGTCCTCTTCATCGTGGTGCTCTCCGTTGTTGTTGTTGTTGTTGTTGTTGTTGTTGTCGTCATCGTCCTCTTGCGTCGGGGTATCGAATGTCTTTAGCCAGTCGTTTGCGTATTGGAGGTGTTCCCTCATGCTGGAAATCATGTGGTGCAGCTCGTTCTTGAGGTCCTCCTGCGTGCCGAGCCCCTGCAGGACATTCGGCGAGGGGGCGTTTGGCAGCGGCGGCAGAGACGTCATGATGGACGAGTTGCGGGCGCTCGTCATGATGCCCAGGCCCGACGGCTCCCATTGATTGTGCGGCCTTTCGTCGGGCGTGGTGGGCGTGCTCTGCAAGTCGCTCAGCTGCCGCGTCAGGGAGGGGACGGACTCCATGTCGTCGTCAATGTACAAGGACGGCTCTCGCGTGTTCATGTCTGTGTCGGCGTCAAGCTCCAGGTCAAACGACAGCGACCCGTGGACCGAATCGGACGACCGTATATGCGAGCTGGGGGCGAACGAGCTAGGCCCACCATATCCTCCGTCGTCCGCCAGGGAAGCGTCGAGGTCGATGAGACTCATGGCGGAATCCCGATTCGTCGCGGCACCCGCGTCGTCGTATGAATGCGGCGGACGCAGGTGCGCGTCGCTTGAGAAGTCTTCATTGTCGCTGTAGGGGTCTGACTGGGGGGCAAACAGAGCCGAGACGGGCGTCATGGCGGGAAAAGTCCACTCTTGGGTATCGCGTTTGGCCGTGGAAAACGTCCACTCCTGCGTGCTCCGTTTCTCCTCCGTGGGAAAGGTCCATTCCTGCGTATTCCGCTTCTCGGCGGTTGGGAACTTCCACTCCTGCGTCTCGCGCTTGTTGGAAGGAAACGTCCACTCCTTGGTGTCCCGCTTGTCTGCGGTTGAAAACGACCATTCCTGCGTTTTGCGCTTGGTTGGGAAATCCCAGTCCTGAGTTTTGCGACGCTCATCGACGGATCCGCTCAAGTCAATCGAGATGGGCCGCGCCGCTGGCTTGATCGTCTCTTCGTCAAGGCTGGACGCCATCCTGGGACCGCTGTCGCTATCAAACGCAAGGTCGAGATCGATCAACGACTCTCGTGCGGGCGCTGGCGGTTCTGGCTTCGGCTTCGGCTCGGGCTTCTTCTGTGATGGCGGCGGAACCGACGTTGGCGGCGGCATCGGTATCCTGCCATACCAGGCCCGCGAGGCGTCGCCGTAGTTGGTGATGGTGTACGGATCAAAGACCTTTTCCAGAGGGGCCTTGAGTTCCTTCATGGTCGGGGGTGGACGCCTGCGTCGACGCTGCATCGGCCGCGCCGTGTTTTCGGGGCTAGAGGCAACGCTGGGGTAGTACTCGGGGGCAGGCCGTGGCTTGGCCGTGTTCTGGAACATGAGCTCGTCCACCTCGTCAAAGTTGCCAAAGTCCCAGCCGCTCTGGCGGACGGGCGACCGTTCCCTGCGCGGCGCCTGAGCACCACCGGCGGAGAAGAGAGACTGCCTGCTCCCGCCCTGAGACTCCCAGTGCTTGTAGTCGGCCACCAGCCGGGCGAGAGACACGGTGGGGAACCGGTCCTGCGTGTTGAAGATGTACGGGTGCCGCTGGACGTCCTCGATGGGCGGTCGCCGCTTGGGGTCCTCGACCAGGCAGAAGGCGATGAGGTTCTTGAGATTGTCGGAGAAGCGGTCGCCCTGGAGGCGCGGGCGATGCTGCTTGAGGTAGGCGCCAAACTGCTGGATGTTGATCCTGGCGGTGGCGTTTGGCGGCAGGCCGTTGGCGATCTCGTAGGCCATGGACCCAAAGGCCCAGATGTCGACCTCGATGCCGTAGGCGACGTGGGGGTCGAAGAGCTCGGGGGCCATCCAGTGCAGGGTGCCGGTGATGGTGCTGCGCTTGTCGAACTTGGTCTCCATGATGCCGGCGACGCCAAAGTCGCACAGCTGGACGCCGCCGGCGTCGGTGACGAGGACGTTGGCGCACTTGACGTCGCGGTGGATGATGCCCTGCTTGTGCACCCAGAAGAGCGCCTCGGCAACCTCGCGCAGGATGGGGATGATCCAGCGCTCGGCCAGGCCGCTCGTGGGCCGCATGAGCGACGCGACGCTGCCGCCGGCGCAGTACTCGGTCACGATCCAGACGGCCTGGCCAACCAGCTCGGTGCCGACGACGGCGTTGACGTTGCGCGCGCCGCTGTTGCTCAGCAGCTTGAGCGTGTTGACCTCCTTGAGGATGTCGCCCAGCGTGTCGGCCGCCCCCGGCTGGATGCCGTCGCCCTCCTCGATGCTGATGACCTTGACGGCCACCAGCTGGCTCGTCTTGGTGCCCACGGCCTTGTACACGCGCCCGAAGCTGCCCTTGCCGATGAGCTCGAGCAGCTTGTACGGCGGCACCTCGCGGCCGGCCTCGGCGCACTCGCGCAGCACGGCGGCCTGCGCGGCGCGGGCATCTTCAATGGCCTTGTGCTTGGTGGCCGAGTAGCTGGGCGCCGACGAGAAGCCATTGGGGAGGCTGCCGGCGTAAGGGGGCTGCATGGCCGGAGGCGAGGCTGTCGTCGTCGCCTTGTCGAGCGGTCGTCGTCGTCGTTCGTCTGTCGTTCGTTGCCTTATCGCTAGGTAGGTAGGTACCTGTAGGCACCTATCAGACGGTCGCTATAGGGGCTCTCAGGCGTCGCGGTCCCCTAACGGCCGGCGCGGGCCAGCGTGCCACGGGCGCTGTAGCGTCTGCAACAGGTGCCTGTAGCGTCGTAGTGCACTGCAGAGCTAGGCTGCTGCACCGGGCGGTTGGATCAGCCAGTCACGCAGGGGGACCAGTCAGACTGGCGTCCACTTTGCTCTTGCTGGCGGTGGACGGGCGAAGGCTGAGGACGAGAACTTCGAAGGCGAATCGCGCGTGAAGCAGACGGAGGCGGGAGAAGAGACAAGGCTTCGGTATCATGAAGAAACGGTGACGACGACAAAAGAGGCGTGGAGGAGATGGAATGAAGGAGCAGAAGAGGCAAAAAAACGACGGCCAGGAAAACCGAGAGGAAGAAAGAGTTGAGTCAAGGTACTGGCTACCTGTCTCGGCAGACAGGCAGAGACGCTCCATCCCCCCCTGGCTGATGCCTCATCCTGCTGGCACCTGTAATGCAACTCGTACTGGGTACCTGGCCCGGTCCATCAATGCGCGATCAAACCAGCAAAAGCAGGCAGAAACATGAACCAGCTGCGACAAGCCCCTGGCAAGCTTCAAGTTTGATGGACGTCTCCAGGGAGCCACCAGGAGCCGAAAGGGAGGAGCCGCTATTAACCCCTGAAGCCCTTCTCGCAAGGCTCCGCTGCCGCTGGCTGGGAATGGAAGGGTCCCGCTAATCGATGCGGAAGCCTGGGGACTTTTTTTTTTTTTTTTGCCCTTACTTTTTATTTCTCCCCCATCAGCCTTGCCAGGGGTCTCGTGCACCTTCAGCCGGGTGCCGACGTCAGCGTTTTCTCTTTGTAGCTGAGAGACATTGGAGAGCGCTGCATGTGCACATGCTGTGATCAAGCACCGTCGACTGGAGTCCCGTGAGCAGCTTGGGCCTCGCCATTGTTGCCGCGTGCTGGCCTTTTAACGATTCGCCTGACTTTCTTGCTTCCTCTAGCCTGCACAGCCGTCCTTCTTCATACCTACTTATCTCGATCTGCTACCTCCCTCGCACATATCATATCTACCATATATATGGCCGTATATATATAGAAGCCTTCGCCATGATCAAGACGTCAGTTGCCATCGCGGCCCTCAGCGCAGGAGGAGGCGCCGCTCTCACCGCCGCTCTCTACTCTCTCCGCTCCAACAAAGACAAGCTCGCAGACATGCCGCCCACGCCCGCTCCCTCCCTGTCCTCGTCGACGGCCATCGCCGCCTCGCCGACCGCCGTGGCCGCGATCCCCGCCAACCAAGTCTTTGGCGGCCCCGGCGGCCCCTCCTCCTCGTCGATGACGCCGGGCTCCGCGCCCGTCAACCCGGGCGGCCTCTTCGAGTACGGCTTCCCGGGCCCCGTGTCCGACATCGCGACCCGCGCGGCGCTCATCTCGAGCTACGACCGGCGCACGCGCAACCCGCACTGGGTCGCCGAGCACATCACGCCCGAGTCGCTGGCCAAGCGCGACGGCGACCGCAAGAACAGCCAGTTCCTCGAGGACCCGGCCGTGCCCGCAAAGTTCCGCGCCCTGCTCAAGGACTACTACCGCAGCGGCTACGACCGGGGCCACCAGGTGCCCGCCGCCGACGCCAAGTGGTCGCAGGCCGCCATGGACGAGACCTTTTACCTGACCAACATGAGCCCTCAGGTCGGCGAGGGCTTCAACCGCGACTACTGGGCGCACTTTGAGGACTTTTGCCGCCGCCTGACGCAGCGCTACCCGTCGGTCCGCATCGTCACGGGGCCGCTGTACCTGCCCAAGAAGGACCCCGTCGACAACAAGTGGTACGTCAAGTACGAGATGATTGGCACGCCGCCCTCCGTCGCCGTGCCCACGCACTTTTACAAGGTCATCTTTGCCGAGGACGGCCGCGTGGGCGGCAATGTCGCCATCGGCGCCTTTGTGCTGCCGAATGCCCCCATTGACAATGCCAAGCCCATTACCGACTTTGAGGTCCCCGTCGAGGCTGTCGAGCGCGCCAGTGGGCTCGAGTTTGCCAACCAGCTGCCCATGCAGCGGAGGAGGAGGCTCTGCGCCGACACGACGTGCGCGCTGGTCATTAAGGATTATAGCGAGAGGCAGAAGGCGTTTGCCAAGGGCCGGTCGGCCTCATCATGAGGCTCTTGGTGGGAAGAGGGATGAAGACGCCGTTTGATGAAAGAGAGCTGAGGGGGTTTGACGACGCAATGTTTGATTACGACTACTATTTACACACACATCCCAACGGGGGTTCTTCTCTTTTGTTACATGTGCCACGATAGATCAGACGTTCTGCTTCTTCACCAGCATCTGCAACGCTATAGAGAGCGACAAGTTGACGTTTACGCGGCTTGCTTACACTGTATCATTACCATATTCGATTGCCATTAGACAGACGGGCAGTAACAGACACCACGCACCACCAAATCGCATGTCATCTGTCCGCTCTCTCTCTATATATATTTATATGCTACTACATATACTCAGATAGCCCAGTCCAATAGATAGAAATGAGATTCAGATCTCTCGCTATGAAGCCACCTCGATGATGTGCCGCCTTTCAGTGTATGCTTAAAGGATCATTCTCTTCAAAATCAATTGAAACGTTAAACAAGGCCGCAACAATGGCCACTTTGACTTACATACCCATCCATCCATCCATCCATCCATCCATCCATCCATCCATATGCCACCAAACGCCGTAAAAAGGGGGTTGTCGACCAATCGATCTTCTCAATACTCCGAGAATCCGGGCTAGGAACGCGCTTTACCGGGCACGGGTGTATTTTCCATGCCGCTGCTCCTGGCGTAGACTCTCTTCCTGACTTGGGAGAGGTGCGCGCCGGCGGCTTGCCTCCAGGTCGGAAGGGTTCATCAGCGGGGGAGGAATGGGGAGCTGGAAGTTGCCTGGCGGCGGGGGGATCCCGCCGGGTGGTGGGATGAGGCCGGGAGGAAGAGAACCTGGAGGCGGTATGGGCACGCCGGCCTGCTGCATAAGTTCGAGGAGTTTCGCCGGATCGGGAGGGTTGTGAGGATCTAGGCCAGGCAATGGAGGAGGTGGTGCCCCGTTGAAGCCGGGAATGCCAAAGGGCGGTGGTGGAGGCGGAGGCGGAGGAGCTGCTGAACCGCCACCGACACCGACACCGGGTACCATGGGTGGTGGTGGAATGGCCGACCCGAGGCCAGGAACAGCACCGCCGCCTAACGGTAGACCGGGGATACCGCCAGTCAAACCAGGAACGGCAGGCTTCTGGGCATCCTGGTCCACGAGGGCGTCCATTTCGTCCTCCAATTCGCGCTGCTCCTCTTCCTGGCGCTGGCGCCGATTGCCACGGCGATCCCACGTGCCCTGTGCTTCGGCAGCTGCCTCGCCAATGTGGTACCGGTCTTGGAATATCTCGGTCTCGCCAGGCCGGGCTCGGGCCCAGAAGCGGGTGATGCGGTCGTTGGACCCAGACGCCAAGATATGGCCGAGAGGGTGCCAGTCCAGAGACCAGATGGCGTAGTCGTGCGCGAACGGAACCTTGTGCGTGGGCCAAACGGACTGGGCCGGGGTCGATTCTGGGTCGAGACTGTCGTAAGGGGCGACTGTCAGAGGTTGACCAGCCGGAGGATTAGGTGTATCCAGCATGTAGTGGAAGAGGGACCCGTCCATGCCGCCGGTAGAGAGGAGGTTGGGATGGATAGGATGGAACGTCAACGTCGATATATCCTTCTCGTGGCCCTTGAGGAGAACAATGTCACGCATCATCCGCAGATCAAAGACGCGGGCCGTCTGGTCGCGTGCCGACGTTGCAAAGCACCGGCCGAGCTTCTTCTCGAACAAGACTTTGGTAATGGTACTCTTGTGGCCATGAAGGGTGGTCAGAGCGCGCGCTGTGCGAGGGTCCCATAGCTTGACCAGGTGGTCCTTGGAACCAGAGATGATGAGGCCTTTTGTTGGATGCCAGTCAACGGATTTGGCATCCCAGCCGTGGCCTTCCAGCTTCAGCTCTTCCTGGCCCAGAGCAAAGTCGAAGATCTTGAGAGTAGAGTCGTCTGAGGCGGTGACGAACTTGGAGTCATTGGGGCTGAACGCAAGGTCTCGAATGGGATCCGTGTGAGCGTTGATGCTCTTGACGTTGTTGAAGTTTGGCTGCCAGTACTTGATGACACCGTCGTGGTCACCCGAGATGAGCCAGTCGTCGCTGTGTGAGTACTCCAGGGCGCGGATGGCGGAATCGTGAGCTTGCATGATGGTCTCAAAGTTGAAGCCGGTACCATTCCAGAGGGTGAATTCGCCGCTGGTCGACGCTGTCAGCAGTCTGCGTCCCTCGGGAGTCCATCTGACCACATTGATGGGATGCTTGATTTTGTTGAGTGAAGAGTGGAGGTGTTTGGCTGGAATAGAATCGGCTGGAGATACTGGTCGTCCCGCTGGTGGTATCATCTACGGGAGCGTTAGTCTGACTCGACTGATGAACATCTCCTTAGGTGAGCGAGTGCAATTCTCACATCCACGATGTAGCTCGCGCTTGGGCGTTCTCTCTCACCCGTGTAGCCGCCTCTGTAGTTGGGAGCGCGGTCTCGCATCCAGTGGAGGACACTGGCGCTGTAGTCCGTTACAGGTCCTGTGTAGACGTGGTTAGACATCAGGCGCTGAGTTGACACGAAGATATATCATCTCAACCTAGCGCAGCTGTAATTGATTGAGGAACAGAAGGTAGACTCACTTCGACCTCGGACCTTCATATAAGAGCCATCTTGGCCTTGGCCTCCCCCTCGATCGCCATGGTCACCACGAGGCTCATAGGCCATCGTCGCGTGTTGCCGGTCAAGCGCTATTCATGCACCAGAGTGATGGACCTTGCAGACGAGCTAGATGGACAAGCAATTTCGAAAATGGACTTCGTTATCAGTGGCTCATGAGTTTATTATGCCGGATCAAGCTTCAATGGAGAGCTTGCAAGGCTGCTGGTGAGGATGAAAGTCTCATTTCTGTGAGGCTCGCGCCTGGAGAGCTCTGATAGAGTGTTAGGTGAGTGGCCAGCTATGATTGGCTGCTGGTCATGTGATTGCAACGAGCTTGCTGTCGGCTTAGTAAGCACCCTATTCCTTTGCGATATCAGATCCGTCCCATGCGCACCCATGTAATAAGAGTCCCGTGCTTTATTTGGACATGAGATATCATGCAATTAGATGAATGACTAGAAGAGCATTGGATGTGCATTTTGTCTGGTAGTTGCACTATCAAGACACGTTGTGCTGTGAATGCTGCCTGACCAACGTCGATATTCACAAGCTGTACGGAAAAATAATACTGTACCTATTGTACGCTCTTCGCAGCTGTTTCAGGTGTTGGGAGCTTGAGCTACCTTATTAATCCGTTAGCTATCAGTTCTCGACTGCATGCATGTGTTGTGTCCTCTCATCACTCAGGGCTGCTCGCCACTCATGGAGCATAAACTTTTGCAAGCCATCCAATGTTAGTGCCTGGGCTAATGCCACGAGGGGCTTCCATTGTGTACAAGAATGAGGCATATATGGTTGTCAATGTTGAGCTCTAGCAGAGAGCAATGTTCTTGGGCGATGTTGCCTGTTTGATTAGCCATCAATGCATCACAATCTGCGAACTCGAGGTACGCAGAGCAACAGAATGGCAGCTTTCACATGCTTTTTCTTAACGCAGCTGCAATTACATCTTCTGAAGATGCTTGTTGGAGCTCCTGGGCCCCACTATTTTCGGAAGCCCGCTCGATACCCGTCCATTCTTTGCCACTAACTTTTAGCACGTCAACGCCCGCCAATGGTCGAATTCGAATCAATTACAGTGGCCGAAGCAGAAGTTGATGGACTTGTACCATTCGATAGGTACCTTGCCTCATCTCACCAATGCATATCAAAGTACATACACTTATAATTTCTTCGTCTTCATGGCTCAGGAAGCAAGGGGAAGTGCCTTCATCGTTGGGGCCCCATCTTTGCCGTGACACCCTTACATTAGACAGAAGCCCGGACTCCCTGAGCTCATTTCGGTCGAAGCCGATACAGTCCATTTACACCGAGGCTTAAGGTACCTCGAGAGGCAACTTTGCCGACGAGCAGAGCACAGGCTGAGCTCAAGGTACCTTCAAGGGCTGCACCTGCGGCAAGATAAACTCAACGCTGGCCGCAGCCCCTCCCTAAGGCGAAGCTTGATTCCTGTCTGTTTGATCTTGTTCATACCTTACAGCTTGTCAATCGACCAGTCTCTTAATCTCCTCATTCTCTCATTCCGCATCTCCTTTTCTCTCTCAGCCAGTGAAAAGGCAACTCTTGCCCCCTCTCTTTTCTCCTCACCGGTTACTACTACGCCCACCAGTCCTAGGCATCGGCATCGTCATCGCAGGGACCAAGCAAGCATGGCGCCTCCTCCAGAGTCGTCGACGGCGACAAGCATCGATGCCACCAACGGCTCCGTGACTCGTCGCAACGCCGCACCAAAGGGCGAGCCAGATCTGACCTCGGTCGAGCCGGCCAACGGAACGACCAAGGAGCGGCTACAAAGAACGCCGCAGAAGAAGTATCGCCATGTCGCTGCCGTGCACTCCCAGACGAGGCCATCGTGCCTGAGCCACGACTCGCCGGCTGCTCCCAGCTTTCTCGGGTTCCGCAACCTCATGGTCATTGTGCTGGGTAGGAAGCATCTCAATTGGTGAATGCTGGCAGCTCTCTAACACGTTTCATCTAGTTGTTGGCAACCTCAGATTGATGATTGAAAACATTCAAAAGGTGCGTCGGAACATCACCAAAATTGGCTGACGTAGCACTGACACGCAGCTGTTCCGATCATGTAGTACGGCGTCTTGATCTGCATCAGGTGTCACGATTACAGGCGTCAGGACTTATTCCTCGGCCTTTTACTGTACATTCTCATCCCCTGCCATCTCTTCGCCGCCTATCTCATTGAGCTCTTCGCTGCCAAGCAGGCCGAGGGGTCCAAGAACCGAGCCAAGGACAGGAGCTCCGGCCCGTCAGAAGCAGAGCGGAAGAAGTTTCAATCCATCTGGGTTCTCGCAGCCTTGGCCCATGGAATCAACATCACGCTCGCCCTCGCCATCACCACCGTCGTCGTCTACTTTTATGTCTACCACCCACTGATTGGCACGCTGACGGAGATGCATGCCATTATCGTGTGGCTCAAGACGGCCTCGTATGCCTTCACCAACCGAGACCTTCGCCACGCCTATCTGCATCCAGTGGAGGGAGAAGAGGTGCCGGAGCTGTACAAGTCCTGCCCCTATCCGCAAAACGTCACGATGAAGAACCTAGTGTACTTTTGGTGGGCTCCTACTCTGGTATACCAGCCTGTCTATCCGCGGACCGACAGGATTCGATGGGTGTTTGTGCTGAAGCGGCTCGGAGAGATCTTTTGCTTGGCTGTCTTCATCTGGGTTGCCACTGCTCAGTACGCAACCCCTGTTTTGCGCAACTCTTTGGACAAGATTGCCTCTCTTGATCTGCCCTCCATCTTGGAACGATTGATGAAGCTTTCGACGATATCCTTGGTCATCTGGCTGGCCGGCTTCTTTGCGCTCTTCCAATCCTTCTTGAACGCCCTGGCAGAAGTCATGAGATTCGGCGATCGGTCATTTTACGACGACTGGTGGAATAGCGAGAGTCTGGGTGCGTACTGGAGGACGTGGAACAAGCCCGTCTACACCTTCTTCAAGCGCCACGTCTATATGCCCATGATCGGACGAGGCTGGAGCCCGGCCGCTGCCAGCTTTACAGTCTTTTTCGTTTCCGCCGTTCTTCACGAGATTCTCGTTGGCATCCCGACGCATAACATTATAGGTACGTGCGGCCCATTTTCTTCTTGGTTTCTTCTCTCTAACGACGTCACGCAGGCGTCGCATTCTTTGGCATGTTCCTCCAGCTCCCGCTCATTGCCATCACGACTCCCCTCGAGAAGATGAAGCTCGGCCACGGTGGTCGCATTCTTGGAAATGTCATCTTCTGGGTATCCTTTACAATCTTTGGGCAGCCGTTTGCGGCCCTGATGTATTTCTACGCTTGGCAGGCCAAGTACGGCAGCGTGAGTAAGCTGCCGCAGCCGATGCATCACTGAGCGGTCTCGACTTTTGGACGTTAGGAATTGTTTGATTGCACATGGATATATAAAGATACACGCTGTGAAAGTATGTATCGTTGGGATGGTCGTTAGCGATCCTATTGGAATGAGAGAGCTACATGAGAGAAGTCGACTTAGATGGCTATTACAATAGATACGGCGCAATATTAACTGTTACCACCTCCCAGACACGTCCTGCGCCAATCAAGCAACGCCACTAGACATTTGCCTCCAACAACCCAGCCATGCCCGTATCTATGAAATCTATCGTATGAACGGGATCAGAGTACCCACACGCTTCCTGTAGTTGACATAGTCTTCCCCAAAGAACTCCACGAGCTTGTGCTCTTCAATCTCGATCCTCCCCTTGAAGAACGTGTAGAGGACCGCCGTATACGCGACGAAGCAAACCGCATTCCCCAGCACGAGCTGCGTGCCCAAGCCCCACCAGAAGAAGCCAAAGTAGCTCGGGTGCCGCAGCCAGCCGTAGATGCCCGTCGTGACGAGGAGATGCGTCTGCGCCTTCTTGGTCTGGATGTGGTGGTTGAAGCTGGCGCCGGCATGCAGCATGGCCAGCGAGCGGACGGCCTGGCCGACGACGACGAGCGCCAGCCCCAGAAGCAGGAGGACGTTGCCGGATCCGAGGGGCGCCCAGTGGCGGTCGGGGAAGAAGACGCTGACGAGGAGGCACTCGGCGAAGGCTGCGGAATGGGCGATTGCGTACGAGGGCCAGTTTGCGGTGAGGAGGAAGCTGTCGACGGAGGCGACGGCGGTGTTTCTCTCCGCGGTGGTCCAGAACTCGAGGAAGTGGAAGAGGGAGAGGGCGAGAAGGAAGAAGGGGACGCGCCAGACGGGGGAGTCGGTGAGGAGGAGGATGGCGAGGGCGGAGAGGAGGCCGGCGGCGAAGGCGATGCCGAGGCAGAATGCGCGGAGGGCGATGCCGGAGAGGGATTTGGGCTGGCCGGGGTAGAAGGGCTTGAGGGGGTCTGAGGAGTCGCGGATGTTGAGGTTGATGGGGTTGCTGCTGATGTTGATGGGAGGGGAGGCGTGGTGGTTGGTTTGGGGGGTGAAGGAGGTTGCCATGATGGGTTTTTTTTTTTTTCCCTTTTCTTCTCTATTTCCTTGGTGATGATGGCTTTGTGGTGAGAGGCCTGGTCGAGTGAGAGTTTGACGGTGAGGTACGTCAGTGGTGTTGTGACTATATCATGATCCCCCCCCTTTGGTGACGGTCTATGCGCGCTTGATGCTTGATACCGTAGGTGGTGGCCAAGATTTATGTCCTCGATTATGATCGTCTTTTTCCCTCTAGCCAGACGAGACGTATATGAAGGTTCGCATGCCAAATGAATTTCGCAATGAATAAAAGGAAGAGTGCGCGCAGATTCTTCTGTCCTGTTATAAGAGGAAAAGGCGAGCACCTTGACGAGTTGATGGGAAACGGCGTTGTGGCCACATCTGGCGGCGTACTGGCGGCTGCAATGGATTGTTCTCTGCAGAACAATTGGATGCGTTTTGCTCGAGGCTGAGCGGAGGGACGGGAGCTGGGTGGGGGGGCCGCTTTTAGAGGGCTGGGCAGAGGTTCTCAGGGGGAGGGGGGGGGGGCTTCAGGCTTGGGGCTAGTTGGTGGGAAACCGTCTGATGGTCACAATGCGGTTGATGGGGCATTCACGTTTATACGGTAGGTATCTATATTTCGTGTATATTTCTGGATGCACTGGATTGTCCCAGCATTACCGAATATCTGTGTCTCGGCTTAAAGGTGGCTGAATGCCGCGAATTGATTCGATGCTCAAGACTCTCGTACATTGTATGCCGTTGTTACCTATATGCTATGTATAACAGACCATTGCACGTCAGTCCAGGGAATCTTTGATGGGCCCTGTGGCTTGTAATGCTCAACAAGCAGCACGACCAACAACAAAAGCTAGAAGCCTCCATAGTCCAAATCTTATCTCTCTTTGCTTTGGACTCGATGTGGCTTCGAGACCTGTCTATGGTTGGTTGGTTCACACTGGCCTCTTTCTGGCACGGCAATTCGATCAGCGAGTCTGACCTTCAGCAGTGATGCGGAACGGGTGGTTGACTTACCTCTAGATGAGGTCTGCCTTTTAATTTATATCGCAGCCATCCCTTGATGCTATCTCGTCTTGTAATTCCTGCTAGAGAAATGGCTGGCAATGGCAGAGGCGCTTGGCGTGGCTGCTTCTCCGCTCTGGCGTGTCCGAGCTCTGTCCGGTTAATTTCTCTCGACCAGTCTTTCAGCTTCGTATGATCACAGGCCGCCCTGAATCGAAAAGGACGATATGATCAGCGTGAGGACGCTGATGAAGCCCCATATGCAGGGAACCCAGGTATTCATCTCGTAGTATCCCGCCTGATACACCGCGCCAAGCCTGCCACAGCAGTCAGCATCTTCCCTTGGGTGTGTAAGCACTTCCCCTCTCAGCAGTCCCCGTAGCACTGACATGACTCCGACAATGGTCCCAGAAACCACAGCCTCAATCCCGGCGACGACCAGATACACAATCGGCGTGATCCAGAGGTACTTCCACGACGACTTCTTCCACCCGTGCGTGAACATGGCGATGAAGACGGCGCCGAGGTGGAACAGGGCAAATGTCATGAGCGTCCATATCACCGTGAAGCGCCAGACGTCGCCGATGAAGTAGAGGGTGAACTGCTTCTCGGGCGTGGCATCGAAGAGGCTGTGGACGTTGAGCGACGGGAACGGGGGCGTGGTGTAGTTTGCGGGCGGGACCAGCCGGCGCGTCATCTGCGCGGTTCGAGGCTGCAGGATGCTGTCAATGAGGCAGCCTTGCAGTTAACAAGTGTATCCAGACGGCTTACTTTGTGGGTTTTGTCTTTCAATGCGTCGTGCCGTAGTGCCTGAATGTCGAGAAGTGTCATTCCATCTTTGGTGGTTGATGCGGAAAGGTAACAGTCAGTCCCTGCTGTACGAGTATGTAATAGCATCCAATGTCACCTGCCAGTAATTTCCGGTGGACCCCCCCGGATTGGGGCTGGACGTCATCCCTAGAGCCTCGGCAAAGCGCAACCGCGTCTGGTCCTTTGTCTGCATCTCAGCCTCTCCATCTCGACCTCGACCTCGACCTCGAATCAACAATCAAACAGGAAACCGTCGCAGTCGCTGCAGATGCGCCACCATGCCTGCTGACCAGCTCCTCAACACCGTCCTGCAGCTCTTCCAGGAGATCCACGATGCCACCAAGACGGAGCAAATCATCGGCACGACCGCGCATCTCCTCTCGCAGCTCTCCAACCCGCTCAACCTCGGCGTCCTCACGTCGCAGCTGCTGACGGCGCCCGCCATCTGGGAGCGGCACGATGGGCTGCGCACGGCCGTTCGCATCATCAGCATCTACAACACCGCCGCGATCCGCGTGCGCGACAACGAGGTCCTCAACGACAAGAACAAGCTCGAGGGGAAGCCGTTTGAAGGGGGCGGACTCAGGAGCGATGCCTGGGCGCGGGCGGTGGTCAAGGGCGCGGACGAATACTCAAAGAGGTGGCAGCATCTGCTGGTATTGACGGGCGTCCTCATGGGCATGGAGGGCAATGATAGACGGGCCCTCTCGAGCAGCCTCCGAGGGACGCTGGAGCAGGCCATCGTGCTGGCTGCAAACATGGCGCTGAAGAGCCACCGGCAGGATGGACCGCTTGCTGGCGGATCAATTGCGCTGGCGCTCAACTTCTCGTTTCCCTTGCTCTCTGATTTCCACAAGGCTCAAATCGACTGCAATGAGCTGTTGCCGGTGACCCTCTGGGCGATGACGGGGCCGGAAGGCTTCTGCGAGGGCCAGTTCCTGCAGGTCATTGGGGACAACATCACCGAAGCTCCCGGTCACGTCCTCTCCTGGACATCACAGACGCCGTCATTTCAGCTGCTGCAAGCCATGGACCAGCGGCCTCTAATGGGCAACGTCGGACCGCTCTCGAAGCTTGCAGCCTACGCAGCACTGCACGCCACCGACACGAACGTTGTTTTAGCAGCACAGGATTCGCTGCTGGCTTTCTCGCGCCAGATATTGGATGCTTGGCGGCTGAACCAGTTCAACGACGTCGATCCCGCGTTTGAGGCCAACAAGCTGAGCCTCGAGACGCTCCAGAAGACGTGGCCGGCGTTGTGGCAAGTCTTGCGCAAGCTGTTGTTTGGTGTCGTGGCTCTTCTCCAGGCCATTGTCTCGCGCAGCCTGCTGGATCACCGCATGCTACATCCCATAGCAGCCTCCGGAATTGCTGCCAAGTCCCTACACATTCTACGGAACCTGTACTTCATCTCCAACCGCAACAACAATAGTGCGTTCCAGGTGTACACCTTCACCTACTTGACCTCCATCGATAGCATCTCCCGAAACCCGGCCGCATGTGAGACTTTCCTCAACGAGATTCGGCCTCTTGAGGCTTCCACTGCGCCAGTCACACATCTCTCAAGGACGTTGGACCTATTCTACTTGAACGTCGCCGAGCACCTACCCCTGGTGCTTTCCACAGCAGCTTGCGAGGCTCTCATCATCAAGCCTGCAACTGCCTACCTCTCTCAAGAAGGCCCCATGACCCCCTCCATAGTCGAGCTTTTCGAATCCTCGCACAGCGCCATCCTCTCTGTCCTCTCCTGCCCACAACACAGCTCTCTCACCATCGACATCACCCCCTTTTACATCGTCAAGCTCTTCGAATCATTCCCTCAGCAGATTTCTCCCCGCCAATTCCGGGTCGCATACAAGACCGTCACGCAAATCGTCTCGCCGCCGTTTCCCATCGCCGCAATGGAGCCTCATCTCGCAGAGACACTGCTCGAAATGCTACGGGCATCCATCCCTACCGCGGACACTACACTTCTGCCCCAATCGCCAGATACCCCAACATCTGAGGATTCGAAGCAAGAAGCGCCAGAGCCTTGCTCGGAGCAGAGCACACTCACCATGGCCCTGGTCGACACGTTGCCATTCTTGCCGTTGCCTTTGGTGGAAGAATGGCTTACCATTACGGCACAGACGCTGAACACCATTGCGGATCCCAAACTCCGAGCGCCGGTGAAGAAGCGGTTCTGGGACATTCTCATCAACGGAGAGATGGACGTCGAAAGAGCAGCCATTGGGGTCGCCTGGTGGGGGAATCAGGGCGGACGAGAGCTCTTCTTTTCGAAGCCTGCGCCAGAGACGGCCATGATGAGCGGCGCGATTGTGTCGAATGACCAGGTGGTCAGCAAGCTGTAGAGGCATGGGATGCTTTGAATGCGTCACTGATGTGACGGTTTTGGAGGTCATTTTGTGATCTCCTTTCGGGCGTGCGCTGCTTGGGCTGAATCATCAAAAGTTGGGAGTTTGTTTGCCTGGCACGGAGATGTGTGTGATTTGTTGCAAACAAGATTTGGCTTGGCTTCTTGTACATGTGATGGTTTTCTTGTTTAGCGATGATGTACTGTTTCGGAAACTGCTCTTAAAGTCGGCATGATCCTAGGCTGGCAGCGAATTTATCGAGGATCTCTAGAATAACTCTGGATTAATACATGGATATACCCAGACAAAGACCGAAAATGGGCTTCAGCAAAACTTGTCTCGCCTTGGTGGCCTTGTGGCTCACCTCGTCCTCTCTAGTTACAGCAGCTGCGGCACCGTCGCGAGGGAGCTGGAGCCTTGTCTCCTCTTCATTCTCTGCGAGCCTCACCACTGAACATCTATCAACTACGGCGACTCGAGAATCTCTGACAGATGAGGTAGACATCTCGCAACATACGTCGCGGACCAAATCGTCTCACAGCTGCCCCAACGTATTCTGCCTCCCCATTTCGCCATGGACGAAAACAGAAGCTCGTCAGACATCTACATCCGCATCAAGCACACACCACTCAAGCTCAAGCACAGCCTCGAGCGCATTCTCCAGCTCGAGCACATCCCCAAGCGCCTGTCTCCAACAAATGTCTCCAAGCAAGACACCCTCGCCCATGCGATTCAACTTCACCGACGCCTGCGACGCAGACACTCCCGCGGCCGAAGACTGTCGCGTGACGCTCTCCTGCGACACTTCCCTCGCCCTGTTCCCGACCTGCGACCGCGGACAATGCGAGTGTCTCTCCAAAGAGTGTTTTCGAAAGTCCATGTGTGAGGACTTGAGGCAATGTCGAGACTACGACGAGGCGATCTGTATGAGAGATAACAGCAGTAGTGTTGGGGTTTGTGGATGTCGGCCCCGAGTGACGGGGTGCTTGTTCGAGGAGAGTCCGCATCGGTGGTGCGGCAGGGCGTCGAATTGTACGGAGAGGCATTTCTCGCTGTATCCTGAGTTTCCGTATTGTAGTACGGGGGACAGGGGGTTTCCGTTGGGGAAGTGTGAGTGTCGCTTTTTTGGGTGTGAGAGGACGGGGGATGAGAGGGATTATGAGAGCTGTAGGGAATTAATTGATTGTGAGGAGAGTCCGTTGGGGAAGAGGGCTTATTGTGGTCTCAAGTATGGCGATGAGAGAAAGGGGGCGGAGGATGGGTATTGTACTTGTGGTGAGTAACTTGAAGATGGATGTCTGCGTGCCGAGGCCTTGTCTTGGTGAGAGACAGTTTTTTGTATCGTTTGAGGGCGTGTTGTCGAGGCCGAGGAAGGGAAGATGCGCGATGCGGCCAAGTCCAAGCATATCATCATGATCATGGAAAAGAGTTGTAACCTGTAGGGGTGAAGCTGTAGATACAAGCTCTAGGTATTAGGTATTTCTAATCAATGTAGATTGCTCTTTCCACCATCTGGAGCCTTCTCATGAAAACGTTGCTACGACGCAGTCCGGCAAGAGATGATGTAAGTGAGCGCAGGGGCTCCTTCTTTCCTGCGAATTGTAGCTTGAGGAAGCATCTTGACATTTAGAGGGATTTCAACCTCAACATTATCTCAACATTTTGCTACTTGCCACCTTGTCTGTTTCGACTGAATCATCAGGGGCGGATACTGTCTTCGTTGATCGCTTATTGCAGACCTAGATGTTCTATGATCCATCCGACGCATCTGCGCAACGCTGCCTCATGAGGCCAGCACGACAGAGTGTCTACCTCGACATCACTCATCTTCACAATACTCGAACTTTGGCATGAACCATTACAGTTGAAGCACGACACGAACTGAGGCTCTACCAATGCAATAATAACAGGCCACGTCATATCACCCGACGCCCGCTGATTCCCGTCTTCAGTTCATCTGGCTGGTTTGGGTCAATACTCGGCTCAGCTCTCCCTGTTCAGTACAGCCAGATCTGATTAATCCGGCAGACCTTGAACCAACGGAGCGACCATATTCACGCAAGGCTTTGTCGAGTCGCCTGTGCTATGGCCGCATACCGCATATAGAATCTATATGCCAGCTAATCTTCCCTTGGCAGCTTCAGAAGCTCTACTTCTCTGGAAGAAGAACCACCCCTCGTGTTACATCGACACCCACCTTGTTGGTGGCATCATGATGCTAGGAATAGAAGGTCGAGATCAGCATGGGAAGCATGTTGCCAACAGGCTTGACATCACAAGACAGGAGGCCCCTCATTGTGTACGCATCGGCATTCCAGAGAGTTGGCATCGCATGCATTTCAAGTTACGTAGATGGCTCTTCACCGTCTGACTTGCTAGCGTCACCAGATCTGCAACCCTCACAGCGTGTGAGAGACATTCATCAACGCTGTTTCTGATACTCCGGCTTGAACAACTGCTGGTTACCCCGCCGCTAACGTCTTGCGAAGCTGTGCCTCAGATGACGACAATATCTTCCAATCGCTGGAATCAGGGACTAAGAGGCGCCACTCCAAAGTTTGCTTTGGGCCTGGTTACGGACGTGCCGGATGATGTATGAAGAGGTTTCTGAGCGTCAATCAGCATGAGTATATGTCTGAAGGAGGAGAAAATGCTCGCAAAACCACGGAAAAGACGAAATGGACAAGAGGGTACTGCTAATCCGACAATCTACCGTATCTTGCACAAGAGGGCATGAGCGTATACTGAGGATCATCACAACCCAGCACCAGTAACTTCGCCTATGTCGACAAAGAACAGAGGACCGGAATGCCATCTGTGTGGCCCGTCGGGGACAACCTATGACGGTTTCAGCTGTGACGGGATGTTGGATGCTGCCGCCGTACCCTGGATGGCGGCCATGAACTTTGATCAAGGTCAATCTTAGCCAGCTGGATGTCGGGTATGGAGTAAGGCCTTCTCTAGACACCCGTGGTGTGTGCCGTGCCAGCTCTCCAGCACATGCCGAGTCCGTCCAAGTTCAATGGGCATCAGGTACCTTATGGAGGAAACGGGGGTGCTCGTTTTCAAGGCATTGCCTGTCTTTTACTTCTGCCTTCTGCTATATAAAGGACTGTGGCAGCTGCGTTGTCGTGTAGTTCTTTGAAGTACACATGTAAAGGCGCCGATCTTCTATCAATATCATCAACAGCTATCCAACCAGCCTCTGTTCCCTATCACAGCCATCCTACACAGTCATTTTCATCAAGATGTCTTTCGGTGGCGGCAACAACAACGATCAGGTAAATCATATGCTCTCGGTCTCCATGTCTTGCAGCAGTTAGAATAATTCACTAACAAGGGGCCTGTTTTGGATAGTACGGCGTGAGTTTACGACATCTCAGATGCAGTCTTCCTCCAACAATGGCCACAAGACACTAACACGGTCCAGTCCCGCCGCTCTGATAGAGACAACTTCGGCTCCGGAGGAGACTCCTTCGGCTCTGGAGGTGACACCTATGGCTCGGGCGAATCTTACGGTTCCGGCACCCGCCGCAACGACGAGACGTCTTTTGGCACCAGCGGTCAGGGCGAGGCCTTCGGTTCCGGCACTCGCCGCAACGACGAGACGTCTTTTGGCACCAGCGGCCAGGGCGAGACTTTTGGCTCCGGCAACGAGCAATACACCTCTGGCAACACCTATGGCGCTGGCAACGAGCAGTATGGCTCCGGCAACACTTTTGGCTCCGGCACAGACACATACGGCTCCAGCAACCGTAACCAGGAGTCTTCTTCTGGCACTTATCGCCGCCAGGAGGAGCCATATGGCTCGTCGGACACTTATCGATCCACCGGCGGCCAAGGCGACACGTACGGCTCGGGTAACCGCGGCGAGACGTATGGTTCGTCTGGAAATCAGTCTTCGGGCCTAGGGTCCTCTGGCGGAAGCAACGAGAGGAGTGGCAAGGGCGAGAATCTATTTGAGAAGGTGAAGGATAAGGTGACGCACATGGGGGGCCGCCACGGTGGTGATAATCACTAGGTGGTTCACGAGATTTGAGCGATGAGAGAAGGTTGTCACGAAAAACCGAGAATGCGAAGGATTTGTGACACGATGTCGTATGGAAACAGGATGTCGGATACTATCGTTCTATCAAGGGGGAAAATATGATGATGCTTCCATTCTATGATTGTATAACATGAGACGGCGGAACATATCCAGAAAAAAACATGGCTTCTACCGTCTTTCCAAGATCTTTCTACACCACCGATTTTTCGACCTTGACCAAAATCGCACCATCCGTCGCCTCCCCCTTTGTATTCCTCAAGTGCACAAACCTATACCCTTGCCCCAGCCGATCCAGCTTGACGCACGCCCACGCAGCCAAGTCGTCCCTGCCAAACTCGTCGTCCCTGACGGTGAAGCGCACAAACGTGAGCTCCTCGACCAGGCCGGGGATGGCCTTGAACTCGAGCCTCTCGCCGGCGAGGTCGAGGTCGCAGCCCTTGTGCGTCTTGGTGCGGACCTTGTACTCGCTCTCGTGGACGTGGCCGTCGCTCTCGGCGTGGCTGTTCTTGGAAGCCTCGACGTGCAGCTCGACCTTTACGTAGGGCTTGAAGCCCTTTGCGGACTTTTCGTCGGGCGGGAGGGGCAGGTTCTGGGCGGAGAGGAATGTGAATGCCAGGGAGACTGTTTTGCGGGCGATTGTGATGGGGGACGGGGTGGATGTGTCTTCCTTGAGAGTGAGTTTGGAGCGGTATCCTTTTTTTTTTGGAATCATCGTCAGTTAGAGAGACGGCAAACCTTACAGAAGTAGCAAGTTTTATCACATTGGGTGTGTCTCTGTGAGAGAGAGGGGGGGGGTTGAAAGCTTACCTTCTGGCTTCAAGACGTAGCCGCCGGTCCCGGTAAACATGCCCTCGTTGAGCATCATGCCTTCGTCCGTCTCCTGCCAGTTCAGGGCCACAATCTGCGCGCCTCCGCCCCAGAAGATGGCCGGGTTGAGGTTTGACGATCCGATGCGCAACCCGGCCGGATACGCCCTGAGGAGATAATGCTTGTTGTGGTTGAACAGCGTGGCCCACTGCTTCTCATGGTAATCGATAAACTTCTTCTCGGAGATGGAAAAGATGTGCGTGGGCATGCTGGCCTCGGGCTGCGTCCACCCCTTGAAGGTGACGCCCTGGGTGTAGATGGCCATGCGGGCAAGCTCCTGGATCGTCTTTGCGGGCTTCTTCGGCGGCGTGCCATCACCACCACCACCACCGCCCGCGGAGACCTGCTGCTGCTGCTGCTCGCTGGACACGGTGTCGACCTTGTCCAGGGGCGTGCCTGGCGGGACGTACTTCACCTTGATGAGGATCTTGCGGCGGAGCTCCTCGGGGCTGGGCAGCGATTCGATGGCGGACTCTGGATCTGTGACGAGGAGGCCGTCCCAGACCTGCTTCATGATGTCGACCATGATGAGCTGCTGCTGCGGGCTGCAGTGGACCTCGAGGCTGACGATGAGGGGCATCTCGGATGCGACGAAGGCGCTCTCGCGGATGGCTTCGCAGACGTCGCGGAAGCGGATGTCCTTGGTGAGGGTGTACCCGTGGAGGACCCGGGGCTCGACAGCAGCGGAATCCGTCTTGCTGCTGCTGGTCATGGCCTCCTGGAGCTCGGCGACCTTTTCCGTGGCCTTTTCCTGCATCTTGTCTACCTTTTTGCTGATGTTGATCTTGTCCATTTTGCTGCGCAGCTGCTCGCTCCATCCGGCCTTTTTGTCCTTTTTTTCCTTCTTTTCCTTCTTCTTCTTCTCTTTCAGGGCTGCCTTTTTGGCGGCTGCCTCATCGTCGCTTGTCTCGCTCTCTGAAGACGAGGAGGACGAGTCCGACGACGACGACGACTCGGCGTCGCTCTCGTCGCCGTCCCAGACGTCGATTTCCACGCACCGGCAGCCTCTCAGCAGGACGTTGGTGTAAGCGCCCGTGGTGCTATCACTCGAGAGCTGGTTCCCCGTCAGATACGTGTTGTGGCTCGAGCTGATGAAGTAGCTGGCCAGCGGCCAGGAAAGGTCCTCGTTGAGGACGGGCAAGATGGCGCTGCTGTGGGGAGACGTCATGTAGGCGAGGAAGCCGTCGAGATTGAGCTCCTCCTCGACCTTGGCAGCATCAGCAGCAGCAGCATCGGGGGTTGTTGTTGTTGTTGTTGTTGTTGTTCCCAGTGCCTCGGCCAATACGACGTCACTGCTGCCGCTGCTACTGTTACTGCCGCCCTGGACCTTCTGGATAAAGACGCGGATCTGCTCGGGCGTCCATTTTCCCTCGGGGGTGGCGTGGGAGTCAAAGAGGCGCTTGAGATAGGCGAGGGTGGTGGTGCTGAGGGATTGGAGGCTTCGCTGGGCTGGGATCGAGCCTCCGCCGGATTGGAGGGAGGCGTTGGCGGGCTGGTCCTGGTCTGAGGCCATGGCGGGATGATTAGTAGAATAAAAGGGGGGGCGTGGTGATGTGAAGAAGTTGAGATGATGATGATGATGATGAAGATTTGGCCTCCGTTTCCTTCTGTTTGGCTTTATGGTGGTGTTGGGGGGGGTTGAAGTGAGCGTATAAATGGAGTGAGGAGTGCTGTTTGTTATGGGGAGTTCCCTATTGAGGGGTCTCGTGAGATTTTGACAGAACAGCCCGCCAAGCTCTAGAACCTCTTTTTGCTGCTGTAAGATGGCAAGCCCACCTCGATAAATCTCACAGCTTACCCTGGAGCCAACAGACCAGAAGAATCATAGCTTCCAAAGGCAAGTACACAACAGAGGTAATAACCGTCGCAGATTGATGAATTACAAGAGCAAGTCTTACGTTGAATCGCTGCGCAAAATCGTGGCTCAGCACCCCGAAACCCCCCCTCTAAAATACGAAACCTCGTGAGTGGAGCCGTGAATCGCGGAACAGACTTGGAGTTGTGTGGGGGGGGGTTTTGTTTGTTTGTTTGGGGTCGCCCCTTAGCTGGCGATCCCCTATCTTTGACGACCTGTCACTGCGTATAGTATTATCAGTATTATCAGGCGACGAAGGAGGATCCAGTGGCAGAGGAGAGTCTTCTTGAAAGACTATTGCTCACTGATTCCTATATAAGAAAATCACACAGACGACATATATAAATCACTATGTGACTACGATAATCTACAGCTTGGTACATATCATACAGATCCATGCCCAGCTCATCTGCTCTTCTCCGCCCTCCGCTTCTCGAGAAACTCCTCCAAATCAACATGAACCCTCATCCCCTTCGACGTCATTGTGTTATACACAGCCCGCAGCTCCTCCGACTCCATGTCGCGAATCAGCGTCGCAAACGCCTCCATCATCACCTCCTTTGATCCGGGGCAGTGCCTCAACGCCCGGTAGAACACGTCCTTTGCCTTGTTGCGGAACTGCTTCTGGGCATAGCAGAATCGAATGTAGTAGATCCACAGCGCGGGAGTATTTCGACAAGTGTCGCTCGCCAGCGCATTCTCGAATGCATTCTTCGTCGTGTTGGCGTTGCCGCGCGTGAGCTCGTGCTGAATGGCAAACGCGCGGCTGCTCACGCAGTCGTGTCCCTTTACTAGAACCTGGTCATAGAGCAGGTCACGCGTCTCGTCAATGACACGCAGGCTCGCATCGGACCACTCAAACAGGGCGAGGAAGATGGAGTTTCGTGGGAATTGTCGGATGAAGCCTGACAGCTTCTCGCGCAGATACACTCTCCGAAAGGGTCTATCAAGTGTTAGCTCGGGCCTCTGGAGAACATCTTTCAATCAGGTGCAAATGCTTACCCTTTGGATGCATGTAAATACAGGAGATGTGCAGCATGTTGAAGAACACGCTCGTGCGCTGCCGAACCGCCTTGATCCTGAGACCGAAACTCTTGACAGATTGCATCCACGGTGTTCATTGCAGCAGCAATATTGCCTTGCAATACTGACGTGGGCTCCGTGCTGCCTGGAGCCGTGAGATAGGCCAGCAGCGCCATACACTCAGCAAGGGTGCTCGCTCCGGCAGCATCACCACTGATTAAAGATTCGTGAAAGCTTGATGTGAACGTCTGCTGGGCCTTGAGAAGCGTGGTATTGCTGATTTCTGGCACTTCTGTCACTACGCCTCTGAGTGTCTCGTCCACTGATGCGCAGAGTCGTACTTTGGCTAGGCCAACGTTCCCTGCTTCCAGATCCATCCAGCTCCAAGTTGCATGGAACAGATATTTATACCACTTTGCACACAACTACAGACAAGTTAGCTGATTGCTTGTAAGATGTCAGCTATAGAAACATACCGAGGGGGCCTCCGTAGCAGCCCTTATCACCTTGTCCGCCACACCTCGGTCGTTGGCATATTCAGCAACTGCATACGCGTTATACAGTTCAGAATTCGCGGGGTACTGCTTGAGCAGAGCCTTGGCAGGCTTCTTGATGCCCGCCTGATCATTAGAAAAGGCCATCCCAAGGTAATATTGCGCGAGGCTCTCCACTCCCGCACCGTGAACAAGCTGCTTCAGCGCCTCGTAAACCCAAAGCGAGCTGAGTAGGGGATCCTGGGACGTGGTGGGAATGTAATGAAACCACTCTGAGCCCCCAAACAGCAGAGATAGCGAAGGCGTGGCGGTTATGCCCATGTCGAATCGCGGCTGCCTCCTGTACCAGTCGTCCGTGTCGTCGTCGTCGATATGTATAGTTGGTTGCAAGTCCAGCTTGACGAGCGATGATGAGATGAATTGGTCGTTGCATGCCATCTCTGTCCAACGGCTTGCCTTGAAGGCCGGAGCATAGCCACAGAATAGTAAAAATGCATCAATCAGCTGTGGTGACACCTCTGATAAGACAGAAGTCGGTATCAAGAAGAGGAATGGCTTGATATCGGAGAAGATCACGACTCGAAACGGGTCATCATCTGTCCCGTCGTCCATTGTCCTCGCCGGCAACTTGGCCGCTTGCGACCGAGAGTGCTCCAGATGGCCCCATGCTTTGTAGACATCTCGCGAGGAAGATGGTGTGATTGGTGCTGCGCGTTGCGGCTCTGCAGCATCGCCATCACCACCAGCCTCAACGTACTGTCTCCAGCCTTTTGCGCCGGCGTCTCCTATCCGTGGAACTTCGCTTTCCCAAAATTCTTCAAAACTGTCGAGCGCAGACTGCTCGTTGTCGATGGCCGGCGGCCTGAAGAAAGTGAGCTCAAGAAGTGACTGCCAGGCCGCAACCGCCAGTTCCTTGTAGCCAGCATCGTGGACGAAGCGAGTCAATCTCAGAAACACAAAGATGGCTTCTTCGAGAATGTCTTTGGCCTGCTCCGTCGCCAAGCGGTTGAGCGTCAAGCGTAGCCTGTCCAGGAGCATTTTCTTGACATCATCATACTGAAATGTCGTAATGTTGGCCGTCAAAAAGTCAAGGTGAGCCTTCCACAAGACAAAGTTATCGTCGCCTGTCAAGACCTCTGACCATTTCTTGGCCGTCGCTTTGCTGGTCCACACTTTGGCACCCTCGCGCATCAGATACACGAGAACTCGCCGGCGGTCCTCCACGCTCCTTGTGTTTGTGAGAGCAGACTCGAGCATGGATACTTTGATCTCTGCAAAGCTATGGGCTTCATTCTCTAGCACCGTGTGGTCCAAGTCTTCTCCAGCCTTGAGCAGAGCGTCCTGGTGGTCTACAAGCTCTAACCAGGCGTCGATATCTTCTGGGGCTTCCTTTACTCGTCTGCTCAGCTGAATGGACTTTTGCTTCAGCGGATTGCTCTGATCCACTGCCACTGCGTCAATTGACATATCCGAGTCCTTATCTGACTCACTATCCGACTGCTGCCGTGGTTTCGCTTTGCCTTCAATGGATCGATACGAGGGGCGCTCGTCGTCCGAAGACTCTTCATTCCTCTGATCACGCTTGCGTTTCCTTGAAGATGTCAAAGCTAGGAATCCCTCAGCCTCTTCCGACTCAGAATAGGCACCAACTCTTCTCATGATTCTCTTGGCTGGTCTCGATTCCGTCTTTGGCCTTTTTGATCGAAGCCCATCTCTACCGCTGTGGAATCCTTCGCCAGGCATGCGAATACTGAACAAGTCTCGAGGGCCGTCACGGTGAAGGACCAGGCGGCCTTCCGAGCCAAGGATTTTCCGACCCTCACGGCGGTGATAGGCGGGTACCTGCGATCGATCAAGGCCACCATACCTGATGATCAGGGGGTCACCTTTGGTGTCAATCACAAACAGACCGGGAACGCCCTCCGGCTTGGAAGCAGACTTTTTCTTCTCTGGCCCATCCTGCCGTCTCTCACGACTCTGGATTCGATGACGATGTCGGTCTCGGCTTCGGTCACGGTCTCGATGTTGGCGAGACTCGCGTCCACTGTGCCTTGAGTCCCGATCCTCACGGTGCCGGTGGCTCCTTGATTTCTCGTCATCACGTGTATGCTTCTTGTGACGAGACTCATGTTCCTCATTGGCCTTGGGAGGGTTCTCTTTCTCCGGATTTTTGGGTTTGAAGGACGAAAACTTGGGCACAACGAGCTTCTCTTCTTGCTCGTCTGGTGAAGCCATCGTAGGCAATTGTAGCTCAGCAGGCTTTCCCAAGAAACACCATGATGCCGGCAAGTGATTCTTTTTGAGAGTTAACGTGATGTGACTTGTGACGGTGCAGGCAATCGAGATTCGGTGAGACGCTTGCTGCTGAATGGAATTGGGTTGCAGAACCAATGAAGTAAAAGAGTTGATGAATGGAGATGATGTCGCGTCTGATAGAGGCAGTAAACGAACACGCTCGCACGTGATGCTATAGCGGAAGCTCCCCAAACATACAGTGCAACCAAGTGCCTGAAGCCACCTAAACCCGACTCCACTAGCCTCGTAAGGCTTAATGCTCCTCCAACTTCTCACCTCCAAAGCCATCATCACCGACCATGACACAGTCAACATCTTATCGTGAAGCTTAAAATCTGCTGCTGCTCAATCAAGAACGGGAATTGGCTCGTCGAAATCTCATAATTTGGTTTCCCGTCATAAGCCTCGTTTACTTGCCATTCATTCTCTCTGAAAGCGCCGGGCCATGTCCATCGACATCCAGCCGAACCTCATCTGGATCATCCCTGCCCTCATCACCGTCACTCTAGGCATCATCACCATCATGGGCTTCTTTGGAGGAAACAAGATGCCCGTCGAGGGCAAGGTAAGTCTCATCACCTTCATCACCTTCATCACCTCCAGTCAAGAAAATCCAATTACAAATTGCTCAATGAGACGATCCAATTGACTCCTTCACCCCCCGCTTCCACAGACCATCCTCATCACCGGCGCCTCAGAAGGCCTCGGCCTCTCCGCCGCCCAGCAGCTCTCCTCCAAAGGCGCAAACATCGTCCTCGTCTCCCGCAGCACCGAGAAGCTGCAGGCCGCGCTGCCCCTCGTCAAGGCCGCCGCAAAGGACCCCTCCACGCAGCGCTTCCACCACATCGCCGCCGACGTCTCCGCCCCGTCCTACGCCGTCTCCCTCCTCGCCGAGGTCAAGGCGTGGAACGGCGGCAAGGCCCCCGACATTGTCTGGTGCGTCGCCGGCACGTCCACCCCGGACCTGTTCGTCGACATGGACATGGCGTCGCTGCGCCACCAGATGGACGTCAACTTTTACGGCACGGCCGAGATGTCCCATGCTATCCTGAGGGAGTGGCTGGCGCCTGATGCCCCCGTCGAGCAGGAGGCCAAGCATCTCATCATGACGGCCAGCGTTCTCGCGCTGTACACCATCCCCGGCTACGCGCCTTACTCGCCTTCCAAGTGGGCTATGCGAGGCCTCGCCGATACCATCTCGCAGGAAGTCATGATGTACCCCCAAAACGTAAAAGTTCACGTCGTCTTTCCCGGAACCATCCTCTCGCCTGGCTACGCTCGTGAGATTCTCACTACGCCCGAGATCACCACCATCTTGGAAGCCGGCGATCCCCAGCAGACCCCCGACGAGGTCGCCGCGGCCGCCATCAAGGGACTGGAGCGCGGCGAGTACTTCATCACCGTGGCCTTTCTCGGTTCGCTCATGAAGTGGGGAGTCATGGGCGGTTCGTTCCGGAACAACTGGGTCGTCGATACGGTCATGTCATGGGTTGTTTCTCTTATCTGGATCTTTGTGCAGCCCGATCTTCATGGCAAGATTAGAAAGTACGGCAAGACGCATGGCCATCCTAGCATGACAAAGCAGCAAAGAGCAGCATAAAGCCGTTGTACAACTGCTTTCTTTTTTTGCGTAGACACATACAATCGATGGTATAAGACGTAGATATACAATAATAATGTCCTCATCCCTGAGTAGCTGTATGTCTCCCTTCATCTCTAGTAGTATATCCTCCGAGTCGATTAGATACCACTCCACTTGCCAAACTTGACATATCTCTTGAACATTTCCCTCAAAATGGCTCTTCCGCTAGCATCCATGGCATCGTTCAAGATCTTCCTCACTTCCGGCGGCGTCACGTCGAAGATGGAATTCATTGCCGGCTCAAGCGCCTCACGCACCTCTCTGGGCACGTCGGCCTCCAGCTGCAGCTTCACGTACTGCATCAGCACCAGGTACATGTGCCGGCCCGCAGACCGCTTGGCCGCGTCCGTGGCCGAGTCCAGGGCGTTTTGGTGCTGCGAGCGGGAGACGGCGCCCGCAGTGGGTTCGCAGATGAAGGTGATGAGGCGGCCGTACAGACGAGCCATTGACTCCTGTGTCGCCCCGTCTGCGGCGCTCTTTGGTTGGTGAAGGATCAAGCTGTTGAGCAAGGCTTGCACGGTGGTTAGGAGGAGGTGGTGGTGGCCCTCCAATCGTAAGCGGTGCTTCTTGATGATTGCGCCGACCAGTTTGCACAGCCACGTAAATGGTACTGATGAATCCTTAGACAAGGCCAAATCGCTGGCAGTGCTCAGTGTAACTTCAATGTTCCACTGTCCCATGGCTTGCGGTTTTCTTTCCAGAAGAGTGTGGATGGTTTGGCATGTGTAGGAAACATTGGGCGACCTCTTCGTAAGAGAGAGCGTCAGTTCGCTGTGAGCCGTTGATAGATCGACACCTTCGCCCTTGCCATGTAGATCAGTGTGTTCTATAACATTGTTAGCATGCACAGCTTTGCGAATTCTTGTCGAGATACATACCGATGAGATGGCCAACGACATGCTGGATGGCCAGAGCCTGGCCATCCGTGTCGTAGCCCCCCGTGAATTCACTAATCAGCTCCCTGAGGTAGCGCGAGACGTCGGGCAGTTCCATGTGGGCGATGATGGATGTGACATATTCTCTCAGCAGAGACTCGCGAGCTCTTGAAGGCAAGTTCTCCAACCCGGTAAACCGAGTCGGGCGGGGGACTTCCATTTCGCTCGACAAATACGTGTGGAGGAAGATTTGAACCTTCCATGCCCTCAAGTCGCCGTCGTCCATAGCCTCCCTGCTCCGCTTCTCCAGCTTCCGAACCGCGCTCGATTTGTGCTGTGACAACCCGGTGGCATCGTCAACAACCTCCGCAGCGTGTGTCGTTGCGAGAAGGCCCAGGTCTTTCGTATCGTCCTGCTTTGATAGGAGCTTCTTGTTCGCGATGAGCTCTCCCAGCACGGCCGCTATGTGTCTGGCTAACGCAGCTTTCGCGGTCTGGTGCAGTTGACTGAGGACGGGTTGGGTTTGAAGGGCTGATGACCTTCTAAGCTCAACAACAAGAGCTTTCAAAAGTGTGACGCGAAGCGCCGGGAGGCTCAGGGGTTCCTTCTTGGCCTCTTCCGTCTCGCAGGCTTCAACAAACGCCAAGCCCTCCGAGAAGTATTTCGCACTTCGCTCATCAAAATTATCAGACATCTGCCTGACTATTGTTGACACCATGGCGGAATATCTTTCGACGAGCTCGAGCAGCGTCTCACTGCTAAGCGCCTCTTCAAAGGAGAGGCTGGAAAGGGCGTCGGCATAGTCGACGAGGTTGGAGAATTGCATCCCTTCGTAAAACGTCGGCCGCGCCATCATCTTGCTCGCCAAGTCGAGCACCAGCTTCCACCCCTCAAGAGATACCCGCTTCGGCGACTTGATTATCTTCTCTCTTCCCTTGTCCAATATGCTCATGATCTGCTCACGCTGAGCACGGCTAAAAGCTTCCAGGGGTATGCTGCATAGTGTCCGAATCCAGAGCTGCCCCAGCTCTCCTGGCCAGCCTTTTTCCTTCGCGGACTCTCCCAAGGCTGCAATCAGTCGATCCAAGAGCTTTTTCGAGAGTTTTGAATCGTTCAGATTGACCTCGTTGCTCAGGAGAGCAGTCCACAGCGCACGCAGCCCTGAGCTGTCTGCATCCTTTGCAGAGGATACCGTCTCAAGCAGTGGCACCTCATCCGTTCTTCTTGAATACAGCCGGTAGAAACGACTTCCGCCCAAGACATACCATGCCAGATATTGTTGGAAGGCGAATTCCTCGTCAAATTCTGATTTCACTCCCAAGTCGAGTGAGGCCGATAGTTTCGTGACCTCTAGGACATCCTGCGACGCAAACTCTTCGACCAACCGCCGTGTAAACTTCTCCACCAACTTGGACGGCTCGTCAACTGCTGTCTCGTCTTGGCTCAGGAGATCCCAGGCCTGGAAGCAGCATTTGAAGGCCTCGAATGTCTCAGCCGATTTAATCGCCCCTTTACGCAGAAGCTTGGACAACTGCTCCTTCACCTGAGCCCAAATATTGCTGCGTTCCTCGGGAGCAGCCCATGAAATCGTCTTGGAAACGACTCTCCACTTCAAGGCGGTCTTTGAAGAGTTCTTGAGCTGTGAGACCAGATCAAACAACTTCAGGCCTACTGCATCGATAAACTGCTCGCTATGCAGTCCTTGCACGATGACGCTTGTGAAGAGGCATAGAGACTGGGGATGTGAGCTTGTGTCCTGTTCAACAAGCCAGTCAATGATCGCAAGAAGCTGGTGTGGCGACAAGTCGGACTCGATCAATGAAGAAATTGAGCTTTCCGGGCTTCCTTGTCGCCCGATGGCAAACCAGGGACTCTTGGAGACTAATTTTCGCTTCTCGGTCGAGCACAGCTGCGAGAACCATAGTCGCAGGAACCCAGACAGATCGCGGCGTGTTAGGAAGCTCTTCCTGATAGCCCCAATGAGGTCTAGCTGGTCCTTGTAAACATCAGGATTGGGCGTTTGTTCGATGCTCTGACCGCAGACTTCATTCAACAGGTCTGTGCCCTCCTTGACGACTTGGAAAATATCCGGGTTACATGCAGCCGCAGCCGCGAGCAAGCTCCAGTCAGTCTCCGATTTCAAGGCATAGTTCCGGCATACTTGACGAAGGTCCCCGGCATCGATCGTCACCGAGTTTGCCGCAGCCTGTGCTAAAATCCGCTTCATAAGAGCATTGCGATCCGGCTTCGTCGAAATCTGCCTCTCCACAACCTTGAATATCTGATCCATCCACATCTCGTTGATCCTGCGCACATGGGTCTCGGTGGGGAGATAGGACTTTTCAGCAACCAGAGAGTAGAGCTCTGGGGCATATGTCCTAAATTTGTTGTCTGTCACATCGAGCGCCCTCGTGATGACGTCGAGATCCTGGCGCTCCCAGAAGAAAGTAAACGCAGGGAGGACAAAGTTCTTATGCATGAACTTTCTGAGGTCTGCGCTCCATCGAGCCGCAAGAGTTTCATCAATGCTCGATGTATGGCCTTGGTCGGAAGGCTTCAAGTGTCGTAGAATCGCGGCCGCTGGTGGGAAGATGTGTGTTGCAATTTCCAGGGCATCACCCTTTGCCTGTAAATGGAGATCCCATACCTCGGAGACGGTGGCGATCCAGTCTTGTTTGCCTTCAACGTCGTCGCAAACATTGCTGGTTAATAAGAGAAGACAGATGATGAAGAAGGATGATGCTAGCGGCGCAGCTTCGGCTGCAGAGGTAGAGAAGAGAGACTTGATGTGCTCAGCTCCGATGCTGTCACGCGAGCCAACGGCCGTGTTCTCCAGTCGTCCAAGCAGAGACTTCAAGGCTTTCAAAACAGCCTGGCCGGTTGACAAACAGCCTTCCAGGCCTTTGAGCTCGTCCAAGGCGTAAGATGGAGTCAATGGCCGCTTTCTCTTCAGACCTGAAGCAGCGGCCTCTTCACCCGGATTCGATGCGTCTTTGAGGGTCTGTTGCAGTACCGAAACAAATTTCCTATCCGCTAATGATTTGGCAAGCGAGAAGAGTGGCACCTTTTGAAAGGTAACGTCCAGAATCGTCCAGGTCAAGGGGTAACGCCGTAGGGTTTCTGCCTCGGGTGAGGGCCCGTTCATGGACTTGAGCAGCCATCTCAGGGTGCTTTCCTCCGCCGCGTGGAATTGGCGATCTGATGCCTTTGTGAGGCTGTTCCATAAGTTTTCGAGGTTCTGTCCTTTGTCCCCCGGCCCATTCTGATCGAGACCTCTGACGGTCTTGATGAGATCTATCTCTCCCTTTTTTTTTTACGTGGTGAGCTTGACCAAAACGCAACCAATGATAGTGGTAAAAAGAAGGGAAAAAAACTTACCATTATAGCAGCAGTAAAAAGAAGGGACTCAATAAGGCATGTGAAAACAGAACAAAAAAAGAAAAGAAAGACAGAAAGAATCGGAGAACACTTTTTCCAGAGACTCCAAGCTCTTCCGGAAACTTAATTGAAATGAATGGAAATCTTCAATCGGTGAGATACAGCAGGAGAGAAGAAGCTCGAGCGTCATTGTCGCAAAGGTCTCCAAAATTTCGAAAAATTCTGCCACCATCTCCACCCCAATCAGGCAATCGCCCCTCACCGCCCTCGGTGCGAAAGATCACGATTGAGGCCGGTCGGTTTTCGTGAAGCTTGACATCACTTTCTCTTTCCTCTTCTCTCACGCCCACCCCAAGCCTGGCTCCTTAGACGGTCAATTGAATCTCCAGCCGTGAGTCTCAGATACAGCTTCCAGCAATTCGTATACCGCAGCTTACACGATAGTCTTCCAAGGGAACGTCTGTTCACCATGTCCGAGACCGCCGCCCCTCGCTCCCCAAGCGCCATTTCCCGGCCCGTCAGCGAAGCGCTTCTCAACGAGAAGGTACCGTAACTACCGAGCCGAGCTTCAAACCCAGATCGAGCAAAGCTTGTTTGTGGCTAGGATGTCGTTGACTAACAATATGCTGCCTCCTGTTACGCCGACAACAGTGGGATCGCTGCCTCTCCAACCTCCTCGTCAAGTCCACCCTCGGTCTCGGATTCGGCGTCGTCTTCTCCGTTCTCCTGTTCAAGCGAAGAGCCTGGCCCGCGTACCTGGGTGCCGGTTTCGGGGCCGGACGAGCCTACGAGGAGTGCAACTTCAACCTGAAGCAGGCCGCCCGAGACCTGAAGAAGCCCTCGGTATAAACAACATCCTAAAGAACAATGGGCACGGAGGTATAGAGCTACAGCTTGGAGGAGGGTGGGACTGAATTTCAAGAAGAAGAAAAAAAGGAGATTGATGAAAGAAAAAGAGAAGTGCGGTGACGAGGATATAGAAGATGGCCGTGGCACCGGTCGACGGGGTATAGAGGCTGCTTCACGAAAACCATCCTGGCCAGGTCATCAAGAAACCGGTGGACGAATCAAACTTTACTGGTTTTCCTATTTTTTTGCTTTTGTTTTACTATGTACAACATTTTATCGATCCCAAACAATTTCGATGCCTCAAAAGTACGCCGGCTCTCATGACACGTGAAATACACTGAAGCTTCAACAATCTCGAACGCAGAATTCGAAGAAACAAAGAAACCGACGAGTCGCTCGCTGTCTGTCTGCATGTTGTTCTGTTTGGTTTCTGTGTGTTTGCTTGATTGTTTGCAGGGGCCACACTCAAAGCATAATCGTCTCAGCCACGCGAGTGCTGATAAGTTGTGGTCAATTCCCATTCATGTCGTCGTCCCTTTCCTGTGGCAGGGTAGGGTTGTCTTCGTAAAAGAGGTGGCACAAGCCAACGCCGGTTCCCAGTGCTAATGTCTTTCTGCATAACGCCGTTTTGAATGCATGGAGCTGGAGCCAGCTCCGAAAAGGTGTATGAAGCTCCGGAAGATGTGTCGATGTGGGCTCTCCAGAGAGCTTCCAGGTGGTTCATTCTGTAGGTGTGATGGTGTAGATGGAGTTCAATCAATGCCATGAGATCCTCTGCCAAAGCAATTGCATTGCTGAGAACTCGTTCGTGTCTTTCCGCAACGAGATATAAGGCAGAGGGAAAGAATGATGAGAGGCAGACTCAGTGAATGGTGCGACCTCGCGGCAGGCCGCTCCCCAAGCAGCGCGACCGAGTCTTATAGGATTCAGCACTCAGGGTCAGCTTGCGGGATTGGCCGTAGAGGTCGAGGTTGAAGAGGATAATGGCGCCGAGAACGGACACCAGGAAGAGCACCTCGGCGGCAAGGAACATGATCTCGAGCCGGATGTCCTCCATGGAGCGCTGGAGCTGGGCGTGAGACATTGCTTTTTGCCTTGTCTGATTTTTTTTTTTTTGAATCTGGTCTTTGTCTTCTTCTTCTTCTTCTCTTTCGGGGTGTGATTTTTTGTTTTGTATAGGTGGTGGTGGTGGTGATAATGATGATTTGTGTGCTTTGTCAAGATGCCCAAACAGTCGGTGTACACATAAACGGCCTCTCAAGAAAAGACGGGGAAAATGATATATAAAAGGCAAGGACGGGATGGAATGGGCCGGGAGGGGTACAAGGGCGGTAAGAAAATAAAGAGGATTGAGAGTCGTAAGACAAATCGGTCGAGGTGCAGAAGACGAATATGCAATGCAGCAAACGCAAGCGGATGTTGGTAGGGGTTTGTAGAGAGTGGTGATAGGTTGTAGGTTATATAGGTCGCGAGAGGAGGGCCAAGGCTGATGTGTCGCGTCTCTATTAGGCATACGAGGGAAATGAGGTGTGTGAGGTGGTTTGTTCTATTTTGGCCTGGTTTGGCTTGGTCCGATATTATATGACAGCACAGCACACACACACACCACAAACAACACATGCTACTATTACAGTAACACACCACCACCTCGGCAGGGCTGCCGCCTTGCTCTGCTCTGCTCTGCTCTGCTCTTCTCTACTAATCACATCTGCCCTCCTCTCTCTTGTCTAAACCCCGAGCAACGACACAATTCCCCACGAAATTCCCACTCAGCAGCAGCGGCACATCCGCCCAGACCCGTGATGCACCGCCAGCAAATGAGTGAATAATGGCAATCTGCAGCAGCGGCGGGGGAAGGCCCTCTCATGCATGATGTGGGCTTGCATGGACCTAGTATTCGTGCCCTCTCTGCGCCTGCTAGAGTTCGCATCGCGGCCCAAAGCACAGGAGCGACAAAAGTGTCCACGCGACCATGCAAGCCTTAGAGTTGGCAGTAGTAGTAGGCAAGGTATGTAGTACCTATCAATAGTGAAGAACTGCCTCGGCCGGCGTCAAGTCAGTCAAGTCAGAGACGGGGCAAGACGGGAGAGCAAGAAGCACAACTCTTTAAAGACAAGGGCAACAAACGGGCTCTGTATGTAACTGGACGCTTCGCAACTGCTCTTCTCTATCAGTCCGCGTCAACCGAGCCTTTTGGGCAGCGGCACGGCGCACGATTACGACAAAGGAGGAGGCGACATGACAAAACCGGCCGCTTTTTCTATCATGTGTCAAACGCCAACCGCAGCAGCGTCTCCGCAGACATGCTTGTGATTTTCCCCCCTCCTGCCAGGAAAGCTGCATCTGAATTGCATTGCAGTTGCAGCAAATAGAGGGGAAAAGAAAAAGAAACAGAATTGGGCAAGAAGAGAAGAGAAAAAAAAAAAATCTTCATGAGCCACTCAGAGGATGCAGACGCAGCAGCAGCAGCAGCAGCAGCAGTGGCTCTTCTTCCTTGCTTTTGCTTTCTTCCCCCCTCCCCCCTTCTCGTCTCTCTCTACCTTCTATTATCCCCTACCATGGTTTCTCACGAGGTAAATCACTCGTATATGTAATGTCGGAAGAACCACCAAAACGGCAAGACGTGTCGAAAATCACACGTCTCGCCGTCGTATTTTCAAAGGGCAGAAGAATAGAATCCAGTCCATCTAGCACGCAAATATGACCCAGAGCAAGTGGATGAATCGCCGTAGGTTGATTAATCGTGCAAAAAAAGTGTATCGAAGAAAGGGGAAAAAAAGAAGAGAAAAAAAGCGAAGCACGCGACGGCCCGCAAATAAGGTATGGTAGCACAACCGCTTGAGTGGACATCACGTGATGGGCAAGGGCCTTCTTCAGTTAGACTCCGCTTTAAATAGTTAACTGAAAAAAAAACATTTTTTTCCCTCCTCTCTTCTCTTGTCAACCCTTCATCAGCACACACCACGCCATGCAAGATGCAAGACGATTTTGCTGCAATGCAGGTGTTTCCGGATTCTTCCTGGCTCTGTGGCTGCCATGACTGCAACTGCATGATGGAAAAATGCGGTTGTGTCCGCATTCTTGCTGGCTTCATGCGTATTTGCTGCACGCTGCAGTTTTACAGGCAGACATGACCGCCTGATTTTGACGTGGTAGGTTGAGGTTGAGAGAGGAGGACGTCACAGCCACAGTTGGTCCTCTCTCCTTGCTTTTTCTTCCATCTTGCTCTTTCGTTTTGTTTTCTTTGTACCGCTGCGTGACATGTGTTACCCACGATTTGCCTACACCTCGCCGCTTTTCAATGCGCAAGAGTGTCAACTACTTTTTTTATCGTTCGATGTGGGAGAAGAAGCCAACGGTCTAGACAACCAGTCTGCTCCACCCTGATGCCATTGACACAATGTGTGGCATTAGGACTAAAATCAGACAAACATTTCGTATCTCGGTGCATTTGTGAATGTTTTTGTGGCTGCATGTTGTGAAGGCAGCCATCTATCTTGGCAGTATATCACTGACTATACAATCAATGGTCCTATAAAAAACAATATCACAGCGCCTGAAAACGCCGTTCAATCCAGATGCCTGCGTCCAGCCCTTTGAGATGTGCGTTATACGTGAGCAGATTGCCAACATCTAGCAAACCGATGATTGGTGACAGACAAAAAGGAAAAGGAGACTCTATACACATCAGATCTTACTGGCAAAGATGACGCTCTCGTTGGTGAATGACAGCAAAAACTTGGCCACCAGCCGCCCGGTATAAAGAAACGACGTATCCACAGGATACGGATGCTCCTCTCTATGCAGCAAGAGCTCATCGTCAGCAAGGAATTGCATGTCTTGCCCTGTTTCAACTGTCAATATCTCATTCCGAATCCGATGTAATACCGTGGTGATATTACTCACAATCTTCTCCATGGAAGAGCTCTCTCAAGCTCTGCACCATCTCCACCGCCGCGGAATCAAGCTCTCCCTGCTCGACAAAGCTATCGTCAAACAAAGGATTGAAACTCCTCGTGTTCGCATCTTTTGTATGCGTCTGATAGAGATGATGGAACTGATACGCAAACTGCTTAAAGGGCATGTTCTCCAGCTCCTTGCAGGTATCCAGAGCAAGCGATCTCTTGTACTTGGGGTCACATGTGTTCCTGAGGTCGACCTCGTTCTGTGACACGACAAAGTTGTCCGCAGCCGTCTCGACGGCCTCCATGAACAGACAGAGGACCAGGAACGAGGCGAGACAGGGCGCCCATTCTCGCCGAAGCTTTGGCTTGAGTGACTTGGAGAAGAGCTCGAAGAGTTGCTGCATGTCGCGCAGGATGAGCTCGTCGATGAGGGACTTGATCTGCCGCGCGAGGACTCGGGGAGTGACCCAGGGTGTGTTTTGAGGGACGAGCCCGGTGTGCTGGAGGGCGAGGATCGATTGACGGGTTAAGCAGAGATGGCGAGTCATCACGTAGTGCATGGTGTATATTGAAAGAGCCCGTTTCACCATCGTTGACTATTTTACACATTAGTATCATTCCTTTGTGTGGTTTTAATAGCTTAGATTATCGAGATTCTAACTTACATCGGATTTCTGAGCAAAGATCTGGACGATGGAAAGAATCTTGGCGGGCAACCTGGTAGACTTGAACGAGTCCGTCAACTGGTCCGCAAGAAGCGGCTCGTTCACAAGGGCTTGCACATATCCCTTGGTCAGCTTCTTCATCTCGTCCCTCAGAGGGCCCTTGTTGATTTCGATGCCAATCGGCGCCGACCCCCGAGACTGGAGATTGACGCGATCCTCGCCAGTGCTCAAGTGCCAGTGCTGCAGAACGTCGCACGTCTTGGCCGTGAAGAACTTGGCTTGCAGCGTCAACGTGGTCGCAAACCGTGGACCCGAAGACAGCTCGACATTACACAACTGCTCGACCCCATTGACCGTGAAACCTTCAACGTTGTCGCGTATGAATCCAGCCATGGCATCCTTCTTAAAGTGCCCGCGGATGAAATTTGGAAATAGAACCGGCAGGAAATCTTGAAACTGCCAGCACACCACCTGCGGCACCTGAAGCATCAGCTTCTTGCAGTGCTTGCACGGCCTCTCCTTGTCGCACTTGACCTTGCGGCTATGGCAGCAGAAGCACGCGCCCACCCTCCGGACCTGCAGCGCGCTCTCCTTGGTCTCGTTCGCCAGGGGCCCCTTGCGCCCCTTTTGCGTCGTCCTCATCGCCTCGAAGCACTCATACGGATTCGGCTTGCCGGCGCGGGCGCTGATGGTCGTCGGCGTGACAATGACAAACTTGCTGCTGGACGGCTCTGCGCTCTTGGTCTTTTCGACTTTGCCGCCAATGACTTTGCGTATCGACTTTCCGGGCCTGCTACTGCTGCTACTGCTGCTGCTGCTGCTGCTGCTGCTCCCCTCGGACTTGACGGCGGGCGACTTTGGGCTCGAGGACGTGGTGCTCAGCTGGCTCGGTGAGGAGATGACTTCCTCAAACACAAACTTGCTTTCGTGACCAGAGAGGCCGGGGCTTGTTTGATTCCACGGCGACATGCTTGGATCCGACGGCAGCGATTGGAGGGCATTCTGCTGTGGCACCGGACGACTCGTCTGGTTCATCATCGAAAAGGAGTCGTCGACTTGGAAGTCGCTCATAAAGGGGCCAAGATCTGTATAAAACATCAGCCTCAATAGCTATTTCGCCAAGTTATTGCCCCATCTCGTTGAGACTCAACCCACCATTGAGCTGTTGCGTCTGGAGATCTGCCGTTGCACCAGACGGCATAAATAGATACTGCTGCGGCGTCATGAACGCATCGCCCTGCGTGAAGCTTGCCTCCGCGCTGCCGCCTGACAATGTCCCAACGCCGCTTGAGAACAAGTCTGCCGTTACAAACTCGGTTTCTGGTTGATACGTCGTGGTGGTGGTGGTGGTGCTGGCAGGGAGAAAGACGCCGGGATCCATGTCCACCAAGGATCCCGGCGAAAGCCCTCCCTGCGACGGCGTGGAAACATGGCCGACGATTGTGAAGCCGTTCAAGCTGCCGCTCGCAGGGCTGGGCAGGAAGCCTATTGATCCGGTGACGGATGCGCCGCTAGAGTAGTCAATGTATTGCCATGATTCGTCCGTGTCACCGGTCGAGTCGAAGTCGTATGGCGAGGAGGAGTGCGGAGAGGCGGTTTGTGAGCTGACAGAGGCCATCGTGGACGTCTGAATAGTCGTCACAATCGGTGTATGGATTGGAAGAGTATTGGGATCTGTAGGATGTATTGTCTCCTGGTGCTAATACCCAGCAATTGTCGCAGATGTGGTGTCGATCCTGCCGACAGTCGGCACATAAGATACGATATCCGTGCTGCGACTTGATCGATCGAGCTCAGTCCATCAATCAGTCTCAACAGTTGCATATATCAACGTCCAGGAGAGTTCAACACAAAATAAGCGATAACATTCCGGCAGAACCACAGCACCAGAGCACAAACATTATCAATTATCTATGCTTAGAGAGAAGAAGAAGAAGAAGAAGAAGAAGAAGAAGAAGAAGAAGAAGAAAAGGACCAAGATCAACTTCGCCTCGCAGCTCCAGTTCGGTCGAAGAATCCAGGCTGACCGTCGCTGAAGCCCGTAGGTAAGTATCGCGGATGGTTCATCAACCAGCCCATCGGGCGCTAGGCCGAAAAGGGACACCGAATAGCAACTGGTACTGATCAGATGCGTCGCCGCCATTGGCTGAAATGGGTTGGGGTGAACCGCTGCCGTCTGGCTTCAGCCACTCACAGCCCTGCTCGCAAGCACATGCATTCTGTCTCGTCTCGTCTCGAATTTGGTAACTGTGGCATGTGTCGTATTAATGCTTTGTCTTATTTTGCAGACTTGACGAGGGATATATGTTGCGTAGTTACCTCTAGCTGGTGCAACGCCCAAATCTGAGATGGAAACAATGCAGACTGAGCATCGGAGTGAGACATACAGAAGGAGGAACAGACATCGAAAGTCTCAGCTCGAACTACACCTGTCAAGTGTCTTGCAAGAGTACCTTGAAAGCAAAACTTCTACCCTCCACGATATATTAGTAGGGTACGAGCAAGCCCAATCGCCCAGGTGTCTACTAGGTACCTTAGGTATCTTCCTCCTCAGCGCTACCGATACCCCCATCCAGGCACCGAGCCTCTCTGTTCGCATTCACATCGCCTCATAGCCCATATCATATTGCTGGCCACAACCACCGGACATCGAATTTCGCCTTGAACTACCTACCTACCCACGTTCTCCCTATTCGTTCATCGCTGGACACCACCTACCCTAGCCCAGCTCGTCAACAGCCATCCCGTCTGTAGCAGCGCCGTTTAATACAATGGCAGGTTACCAATGCACACAGACCAGTAATTTCCCATCGCCAATTAAGAGCTATGGATTGCCATCACTTTAAGCCACAAATACCTTACCTAGGTACGATTGACTTCATTTCCTTACACGACGGCCATCGACATAATACCGACTTTTTGACAGATTATAGCATAATGCAGCCTGATCTCTCAAAGCATCAACGTTATCTTCTGCCTCAAGCGAAGCATCTTCCCCTCTCAGCACATCATGCATAGAGCTTCACGAACCTTGCCAATTACCCTACAACATGCTCACACTTGGAATAGCCATCTCTCAGCATATCTTCTCTCCAATAATCATCCCCCTTCATTGGCCTCAGCCAGCTCATCATTACCAAAAATCCTGCACTGAACAAAAATAGCTACCTAGGTAGTGGTACGAAATTTTATCATTAGGATACCTCATGCAGCGATAGCGCAGAGTCCATCAGACACAGCTGCCTCGGTTAATTCTCCCTTCCTATATCTCCCGCGCGGCATCCTGCCCTTCATCTCCCCTCCCCCGAATCGCTTCCCGGTTTGGTTTGATGCAATGTGATGTACTCCGCAGAATTGGTCCTCGTAAAGGAGCCTTGCATATAACGCAACAATGTGTACTCTCTACTGAGCATCTCAAACACCGACTGGTCAATTCTCAGTACCTCATTCGCCCTTGAGGCAATATGTAGCTGCAATGCCCGTATGCTGGCGCCGACTGAACAATGAATGGCAAAAAGTGAACCACCGTCCCCGGCCAGCTTCCGATCGCAATGCTATTACCATGACAGAAAGGCCCATTGTTGAATGCTGAAGAGAGAGCGAGAGAGAAATGGAGCAGTGCAGACAGGAAAATCCAGTAGAGAGAAACACATGGTAGCCAATCCCATTTTTAGCCTGTCCGTTCCGATGCTAAGCAGGCCGTTTAAGAGCGTACTTTTGTAAAAATGTCTACATATCGTCGTCATCATAACAAGAGGGAATCAGTGACTGGACAATGTGCAACTGTAATCACAGAATTAGTGATGTGCTTAGCTTTGAAAGGCTTGGTGAGAATAGCAGACTTACAGAGGTATCGTTCTCTCAAATGTTCCTATTCTCCTGTTCCAAGAAACATGGGGGGAAAAGCAATTTTGTATAGAGGTGTAAGGTGAATGATGAGCGAAGAGAAAAAAAAAAAAAAAATCATGAATCATTTTTCAAAGTCTGCAGTCTCATAAACGTGATCATTAATGGCAAAACAGAGACTGGTGGTGAGATGGGGGGGTTAGGAAGAAGGCTTAGGATCGGAATCGCGCGTTGGCACGCTCCTGTATCTGCTTCTCCGTTGAAACGTATAGCCGGTCGAGATAGTCCATCGCCGACGCATCCTTCAGGATCTTGGCCACCTGAATGCCAGCCGAAATGAGCTGGAGAATGTTTCGATCATCTTTCAGAGGGCGGCTCTGATGCTTGGCAGCGTGCCGCATCTCGAGCGAGTTCTCCAGAATGGTGACAAACTGCTTGATCTGCCCGTTGTAAAGGACTCGGGCGGGAATCCGCCTCTTGGTGGCAAGCCTCTTCAAGAGGTACACCCACTCGGTCCACTCCCGGTCCTGTGGCCTCTCCACGGGCCTCATGTCCTGAGTCAACGGAATGGGGAACTGGTACTTGGCCACAAAGTCGTAGGCGCATTGTGACAACCGGTCGTTGACCTGGTTGAGCACGTTGTCTTGTTCCTGGACATGGAGGTTGGTTGGCAGGTGCGGAAGCTCTCTCTCCTGCATGGCAATCACGTCAGGAGGCGGACGCTGCAGGAACTGATGTGGACCATCGAACTCGTCTCGGTTCGACGGCCGTCGCTGCGAGCGAGGCTTGTTGTTTTGCTGCTTTGGCTTGTTTGTCGGGAGGACAAGATCGAGCCCATTGTCCAATGAGTAATCGGACAGGCTCGGAGACGCAATGATATCATCGACAGATCCAGTCGGCGAATATCTGCCTTGTCCGTCCCAGGCAGACGACCTGCTGCGCTTGTGGGATCCGTACACCGAGTTGGAGTAGGCCGAGCTCGAGCAGTGGTTGGTCAGGGGGGGCGACCGCGGAACATAGGACGGTTGAGCCGACACTGCAGGTTCGATTCTCGTGTAATGTCCGCTCACCGGTGCGGGAGGGCTGTCAGCCCATGGATAGGCGCTGGTCGAGAGATTGATGCTTCAAGGGACAACTTTTGTTAGCTTGCCATCTGTTTCGACGGACGGTGCTGTAGCTCGGTCTAGTCTCACCTCGAGAGGGGATAGAGGTTTCCGGCGAGCCTGCCGCTGTTGTATGGTTCGGCGAAGAGGCTACACTCAAGTCAGTCAACTTGGCCTCTCGCAATGGCTGGTGAAGCTGGTGGTATCGAACCTGCGCGGAGGGTTCCAATGTCCGTTGGAAGAGGAAGGCATGTTGTAAGCAAATCCTGGCTGGGCCATGTTTTCAGGGCTCATAATGTAACCAAGTATGACCGGGAGTGGAGGAATCGAACAAGACAACAAGACAGAACAAGAAGGGTATATTCCCGGTGGTTTGCTTGCTTGCTTTGAACAAAGAAAGGAAACAGGGGAAAACAATTCTGGGTTAGATAAAACAGGGATGCAGATGGGTTCAAGACAGCACTGGTTGAGGCCTGCAGAGTCCGGCAAATGCACATCCAGCAAACACCCTGGGCATTGGTCCTATTGCGAGCAATCCGAGAGGGTCTCCAAGATTCCCGGGGAAGATCCAAGTGGAAAGCGGTATTCCGAGGATGATGGAAGGTCTGGATCCTTTGGGCCTCTCACAAGGTGAACGTGAGCTATAGCTATAGGCGGTGTGTTGGAGCGGCCAAGGCGACCAATCCAGAATGGCCAACCTCAAAACTGGGCTGTAGGTCCCTGGAGGGGGGAATATGTAAGTTGTATGTATCAGGCACTAAATTCAGTGCGAAGGCCCGAATCGTCCTTGAGGATCCAAAATTTCCAGGCGGTAGATGGATAGCAAACGCTGCTGGCCTGGGCAAGATAGACCTGTCGGACAGATGCTTCGTCAGCCCGGAATGGACACGCTTTATGTACGAATGCATGATGAAGCTCACTTCTTTGGGGAGGAGAAGGCTCGGCGGTTTGGCACGGGACTCGTCAGTCCGTTCTCAGGGCAGAGCAGGGCGGCCCCCGGTCTCAGGCGATCACTAGCGATGCTCGGGTTGGCATTGAGCAGCGCGAATATTGGCCCGCAGGAGGAGGAGGAGGAGGAGGAGCGAGAAGAAGCAGATGGAGGCAAATCGACAGGCACAGCCAAGCTTCGATGCGTCGAGGACTCGTGGCCACTTGTCTCGTTTCGTCCCAAGTGATCGGGCGCCTACGACTAGATCCGGGGTCAACGGGCCCGCGCTTGTCAGGCAAGGGGAGGCTGCTGATACGTGGACGAGGACTCGTACTGTACGTACTTGCGATGTGCTCTTCTGCTTGCTTTTCTCTTCTGCTGTTGTTGATTAGGTAGACGGCTGTGCCCCGGTGGAGCGTGCGGTGGCCGGCGGGAGACGTTGGTGGGACGAGATGCCGTAGTGGTAGTATCAAGGGCAAGGGTGCGAGCCGACAGCTAAGGAATGGGCATGCGGCAACCATGTGCAGTGCTGTGGCTTACAGCAGACGAGAGCGACAGCAGGAGAGTGGCAAATTCCCGAGGCTGGTTCATGACGCGGGTGATGCTCGTCAACCTGCTTTTTGGGAGGAGAGGGAGGAGGAAGGGGAGGCAGAGTTGAGTTCCGGATCTCGTCGCCTTGCAGGACCTGGGAGCGAAGCATACGATCGTGGGGTAAGGGCAGGCCTTTGGTTGGGCTCCGCTGATTGTTGCCCAACGAGCAAAGGCCGGAAATTGGAGGCAGGGAAGAAAAAGGGCTACTACCACCATGTATGTACTCGTATGGGGGGAGCGGGCAAGGAAGCGGACAATTTGACAGGCTGATGCTCCATGTCGCTTTTTGGGCAGCAATCAACAATTAGGCTGCACCCGCGCAATCCCAGCCCAACCTCATTGACCCGGACGGGCTGCCCAGTCAGAGCCAGGCATGGGCCACACGCGATTTGGGTGACGGCCGGCGCAGAAAGCAGAAGCAAGTGACGATGGGAGGGATTCAGCCGAACGCCCGCGTTTCAAGGCCGGATTCCCTCGAGCGTCGCTGATGAGAGCAAAGAAGCTTGTGATCGCGCCTGGGGTAGACAATCGGCCAGACCGGTTGAATTGCCCCAGGCCGGCATGGACTTGGCAATAAGACGGCGGCTTCGATGTTGGTTGAGGCGTAGTAGTTGTAGTATGCAAGTGGGATGTGGTTCGTACGCATCGTAATGGTAATTAGTATTTTGTGTTTGGAGTCTTGAGGATGGCAGACTGAAGAATCCTCCACGGCTGCCGTAGTGCGATGCTAGCTCAAGGCAGTTTATGCTACTGGTACTACTACCTACCTACCTTACCTGGGACCTCTCCGTAGTTGGGTATTACCTCTAGAGGACTTCCAGAGAAGAGGAGAGGAGAAGAGAATCAGGGGTGAACGGGAGGCTATTAGAGCTTCTCAAGCTTGGAGCTGGTCGATTGGACAATTGGAGAGCTCGAAGCTCGCAGCTGGATCGGGGATAAGCGAGGGAAGCAAACACACGAGGTCTGGAGGTGACAAGGACAAGGACAAGGACAAGGACAAGGGCAAGGATGAACCCGTCCAGGGATCACAGAATCGATCACAATTTCTCGAGGGTACCGGGAGCAGACGAACGGGCTAACGCCAAGCTGGGCACACTGCAAGGTACTAGGAAGGTACCCGTTGGGTCAAATTTGACGATCCTCATGGAAATTTGCTGCTTCACCTGCTATTACTACTATTACGGGCATTACCTACCGTTCGCATTTGCATTTCAGCTACGGGGATCATTGAGACGAAGTGATAATATCGGCAAATTTCTCAGGCCTCCTACATAATTATACCCATTGGTGCAGCCTCGAATTACAGAGCGACAGTACATAGGTACCTTGCAGAATGAGACAGCTTGAGTCAAGCCTTGCCCACTGCAGCGCAAGGAGTTCCGGCTTCTACTGTACGAAGTGCGGCACCTCACGTCTTGTGAACAGCCAAAAGGCAGCATGGCTTCTTGCCGACTGAAGTACTAGTACCTTGGAGACGGGACGGGTAGCTGCGGATTCAAGTGCTACAGGTCATACAGTATACAGGAACGAGATTGCCGGAGAACGCGTCTGTGTCTTCCAGAATCCGACCCAGTCTCTAGCAACTCACACGAGTTACCTGATATGACTAGTAGTAGCCATCAGTTTGAGACAAGACCCAGGCAATATGAATCATCCAGCTGCACCTTGTCAAACCATGGCAGCAGGCCTTCAACCATCCGCCCCGGTTACAGCCGCCCAACCTAGTTTCGGTGTGGACCACCGGACACGGTGGATCCGACTTCACGAGATCGGCAGACCTGGGCAGCAATGGCGATTCAAACAGGTAACACTTTATTTCGGGCCTCCGTATAAAACGGAGCTTGTGAGTCCGGGATCCCGAGTGGAAGGCGGCTGGTGAGATGAATGAACCGGCCGGCACCAGGTACGTCGTAATCAAGCCCTGAATAGCAACACTGCATGTAATTAGACCGCGAGGGTAGCCATTGGAGACGAGATTGGCATGAGATTGGTAACATGAATGCCAAAATAGCCGCTCGGCCGTAGTGGTGAAGTTGGGCAGCCATTCAATGCCCAATAAGCACGCCAAAGAGCCCAATGGGCTGATATCGGCGCTCTCGAGCGACACCAGAATGGTAAAAAAAGAAAAAAATATGTGCGGGAAATTTCTGCTTCTTCGGAGCCGCGGAATTTTGATGGAACTGGTGTGGGATTCTCCAGGCACTCATTGAATCTCGAGTCCGGCTGGATCCGAGACGAAATTCATCCATGGATATTCCTCTAGATTATGTGAACGAAACTGAGCATATTGATGCGAACAGCACTTGCTGCGTCCCCGTCAGGAACGAGAGATGAACCTGATAAAGGCGTCCGATAGGTATAGTCCTTAGTTCTGATCTGCTGTTTCATCTGGCGATGAACCATCCTGCCGTTGTTGCGTGGTTTGGTGAGACAGCCATGCCTCACTTCGGGAATGGAGGGGTAGAGCCAGAACGATGATGAGCACAAAGTGTTAGCATTGCCATTAGCAAACGTCCTTTTATCAGAATTTGGAACACTGGGGGCTGAAAGCATCTCGAAACCCTATTTCATCTTGTCGAAACAAAGCAGAGAGAGTATCACTGAGCCATATATCGTTTCCTGCTCGATCCTCAATAGAGAGGTTGAGGAGGAGAAGAGGAGAGGAGGTTCTGCCGATGCGTGGGTGGAGGAGCCAGACGCCGCTTAGCTAATGCAGTCTCGAGGGCGGTCAGGAACTCGATATCTCGACGGGTCACGACGGGGACTCACTCTCAGGCCATGCTCGCCCATACTCGCACCATGCTCTTCGCCAACCCAGGCGACTCGTCGTTTCCCGCCGGCTTCTCTCTTATTTCAATGGCTCACCTGCCCTCGCACGGTGACGAAATGGCTGGACGAGCTGCAGAAATGGGCTTGTGCGTGACCACACCCGCCGCTCGCTATTCGTCTGCGATGCTCCCTGCCTGCATGCCAGCGCATCTCGTCTGGCGACATTGTGGCCGCTCGTGCTGATAACCCCGCTTCCAAGACTCGCCCAGCGGCCAACGAGAGCCTCGAGATGCCCTCAAGCGGGCCACCATTGTTACAGCTTCGCCATGTCGAGGACAACTGGACGGCCAGCGTCTGGCTCGCTTGACACGGCCGTCGACAACGTGTACAACGCAGAGGCTGCCCTGCCCTGCCCTGGTCGGTTGGTGCGGCTTCCGGCACGCGAGCAGCACTCGTCTCCTCAACAAAAGACGACAGGATCCGGCTTGTTTTCTTCGCTCCGGATGGCTTGAGACAGCTACCGCTGGGACTACGACTCAGGCCCTGCTAGTACGAGTAGCTCTTGCAACTGTCCAGGGTTGCTCAGCCGCTCTAATACGACTGCGTGATATCACCGCTGCTGGGACTGGCAATACCTACATAGCAATCAAACGGCCACGAAGCAGTTGCTTCAAGGGCCTGTCGATTGCCCGTCGGTCGTCTTCGCTCTCACAACACCCTTCCGTCTCTCTCCGTGACGAGGCAATATAGAGAGCAAGCGAAGCAGAAAAACATGCAGCATCGCCTCACCGAAGACGATGCGTCTCCCTGCAGCTTTTAATGAGAAAAATTTTCTCGTTGGTGCCCGCCTACTATCCAGGACTGCACTGCTGTGTTGTCCTGCAGCCATCATCACTGTTCATCACATCGCACGACGACGCTCGTCACTGATAGGATCCTGGGCAGACCTCCTGCTCCACCAGGCCCATCCGACAACCAAGGAAGAGGCCCGGTCAGCGCCAGCACACCATGCAGGCCCCTGTAAAGCGAGCCTATCAATGCTTGATGAAGACGCGCCAGCGCACTCCTGCGGCCAGCACAGAGGCCTGTCCGGCGGCCGTCTATTGGCACGCGGAGTGGTGAGACACGCTGGCAGCGGGGGGGGTTGCGTCTCTCGAGGTCGGGAGTCAGACTGGACCGCAACGATAAAACCCGCAGGGCCCCCTCGTTGCCCAACGTCCTCCTCTTGATTCTTCTTTCAGCCCAACGGTTTCTGCCCAAAACACCCTTGAATCCCTTGCCCTCGCCTCAAGACCGACTTTTCGCTTCCCATTTGTATCCACTTGCAAACCCCCATCACATCAGTCAGCCGTCGGGAAACTGCAAGCCAATCCAAGGAACCGTTTTGCCGCCGACATCACTTCGATCTTTCACCGTCAACTCCTCCAAGTTGACCTGCCGGATCTCCCATCCAGGGCCTGTTTACAGATTCCTTCCTGGATACAATGACAGCTGCTCTTGTGCCACACCAGGCAACCATGCCTAGCTACAGCAATGTTGACCTTGACGAGGTCTCTTCCCTGCCCAGGTACTGTTTTCTTTATGCTCAGGATACTGCGTGCTTTCTTCTCTTTTCTGCGTTTTCATCGTTTTGCTCTTTCTCTTGCGCATGTTGAGCCGAAGTCCTGTACTTTTCCTTCTTGTCGTCGTTTTGCAGTCAGCGTTCTCGCCGCCATGAAACCAGCCATAGGATACCTCCGGATGCCACAAAGCCATGGAATAGCCACGCGGACCCTCAAGAACGGAACACACAGACAATTTGGAACAGGACTTGTCCAGCCGGGCAAGGAAACAAATGAGAAATCAAATGATATATATACTTTCTTGGCCTCGTGCCAGCGGTGAGTACGGCCCGCCAATTCGAGTTGAAGCGACAGATTCTCGATGCCTTCCATTGGCCAAATGCCTGCGTGAGCCACGTGTATACTGCGGAGAACCGACGGAGCCCAAGGACTTTTCTGGACCACTGAGCGAATTCGCGGACCTGCTTTTCTGGATCTCGGGATTTCCCTCCTTCACCGCACGACTACGACTGTACAGCTGGCCCTGAGCGGTCTCACACGTGGACTTGGACGAAGACGCGGTTTGATTTGACTGCGAACGCCAACGTGCAGAAGCGGATCTTTTGACAACTGGCCTTACTCTGAGCTGTACCTGCTTCACCGACTCCAGAATCAATGGATCTCTCGACTCACGTGTCCGGACCCTGTTGGCCTACGACTCGAAGAGTATGTGCGACTGAATTCTCTTGCTGCCTTTTGTTTCGATTGCGATGCTTTGTTTTCCCTCCCTCTGGCCTGCCTGCCTGTCTAGCCTGGAATACCAAAAAAAGAGTCGAACCGGAAGACAAGACCCTTGACCTGGACAAACTGGGATACGCCAACTCTTCGCACCATGGGAACTGGAGCCGGAGCCCAATCTACCTATGCACACCAGGAGGTGTGGACTGCTGAGGACTTGCTGTCAAAATGACTTGCCTCTTGCTTAATATGGCTCGGTTTGTGTGACCATGTACCCCAATTGACTGTACGGGATAGCATACTGACCCCCCGATTGCAGGATCAAAGTTGACCCCTATGCCAAATGTTGTCTTTCCTTTCTCATCTCATTTGATTTTGGCAGTTGGTGAGAATAGCACACTAACCTGACCTAGCGACTTCAGCTACCCCCAGTCATCCATGGCCTCGACTGCCCCTGCCATGTTTTCCTTTTCTCACACAGAACCATCGACGGACCTGCTGAGCGGTTCGTCATGGGGTGCCAATGCAGAAGGGCCACAGAACTTACATGACTACCCGGACAATGGATCATCGCACTCAGGAGAAGCCGAGGAATACCTCTTCACATCCGGTCACAACTCGCCTAGGGGACCAAGGCTTGATCAGGCCCAACCCGCTGATGTGGCATGGACCGCCGCTCCCAAGGCGGTCATGTCCATCGCTACAGGAGCCCAATCCATGTCTCGAGCTAGCTCGAGCCGCTCCCACGGCTCTGCTGTGTCATCGACACAGATGTCTAATATGAGCGTCAGAGGTAATGCACAAGCTTTCCGGAGTGGACCTCACCCTGCTGGCTCCATGGCCGGAATGGACTCCTGTCTGCTGCTGGACTCCGATGCCCACGGTGTTGCGTCCCACATGTACTGGCCCGACTACACCCTCGAGATGAACCTTGGCGCCGACGGCGTTGCCTTCCCCGTTCCCAATGTGAACCCGCTCCACGTGGTTCCTTCACAGATGCACCTTGCCAATGACAACGTCCCGGATGCGTCATCCCCCAGCACTTGGGATTGCTTTTCCAGCTCCATCTCCAGAACCTCCACCCCTGCCACCATTGATGATGCTTGGCAGCCCGCTCCCTTCAGCCCCGAGACTTCCCCCGAACTTTGCCGATCGCCTAGGTATGTTATCTTCCAAGCTGAGGATGATCTCTCTTCTTACCGACTCGATTCGTTCAGAGACAGAAAGATCCCAATGATGCCGGAGGACATGCATGCACGCGCCGTTTCCCATATGGAGGATGCCTCGGCTCTTCCTCAAGCCTATACCGCTCGCCGACAGGGAAGTGAGGGGGAGTCTGCCAGAGACCATGCCTTGTACAAGAACGTCACTCCCCAGGCGGACGGCCTCTTCCACTGCCCTTGGGAGGGCCAGCCAAACTGCAACCACAAGCCCGAGAAGCTTAAGTGCAACTATGAGTAAGTTGGACGCGCACCTTCGGTCTTGGTTCCTGCAAGGAAACGCTAACCACCATGACAGCAAGTTTGTTGACTCCCACCTGAAGCCCTACCGATGCAAGGCTGAGGCTTGTGAGGGCGCCAGGTTCTCCTCCACTGCCTGCCTCCTTCGCCACGAGCGCGAAGCCCACGGCCTGCATGGCCATGGGGACAAGCCTTTCCTCTGCATGTACGAGGGCTGTGAACGATCGATTCTCGGCAGCGGTTTCCCGCGCCAGTGGAACCTTCGGGACCACATGAAGCGAGTTCACAACGACCACGGCAGCGCTGGCGGCTCCCTTACCACGGCCGCGCAGCAGGCTGCCAAGGGACGGAAGCGCAAGTCTGATGCTTCCGAGACCCAAGTCCCTACTAGCCGCAAGGCCTCGATCAAGTCGATGCCTGCCCCCGAGCCCAAGCAGCCCCCCGTCAAGCCTCTTATTGAGCAGTGGCTGGACCAGCGCAAGGCGTTGGAAGAGATTGTTCACTGCATGAACAAGCCTGATGATGCCCAGAGCCTCCACCACATTGCGGAGGCCCAGAAGCGCCTCGATATTATGTTCAAGATGGCCACAGACGTTGCCAACGCCACCCCCAAGACAGAGATGCAGCCCGGCCGCCGACACTACCTGATCGGTTAAGGGCTTGCATTGAATGTTACTGTTGATATCTCTCTCGTTTATACCCCGGTTATTACACCACGCGGGCGAATTCTTCGTTTCTTTTGTATCTATTATATACACAGCACGGCTGCCCAGCGTCCTTGAGAGGATGCTGGGCTCACCGGAAAAAGGGCTCCCAAGGAACGTCCCGCGAGTAACAGTCTCGCAGATTGGGCCACGTCCCATCATGGGTTGCTTCCACAAACTCTCCCGCAGAGAAGGGCTATTGAGCCAGGAGCTCATCATGCTGCTTCGGAGCTTTGGGTTGGGGGAAATGGTTTCTTTTTTCTTTTCTCTGGAGATTATGGATGGATCAAAAGCAACGGTTTCTTTGTGCGTTTTCTTGAAAAAGTTTCGGGTTTGAATTGCAAGGGAACGGAATGGAAAGGGATAAACAGCGTTGATATTGTCGGCTTTGATCTTGTTTTGTTTTGGTTTCGATTTGCCAATACCCACGACTTATGACCTTTCTTTCTTAGATTTAGATGTCTCTTTTTGAGCATGCACAGTCGCTCAGCCAGTTTCTACTGGTGATCTTTTTCTAGCACATACTGTACTTTGGAAATACAATTTCAGCAAGACATAGAACCTCCAATTCCCGCCTCTCCGTCGAGGGATGTCAGGTCGAATGATCGTACTATGTGTCTGGCCCTAGAAGATGCCACCCAGGACATGCAATTTATAGTTCATGCTGCTAACGATGGGATATATGCTCTGAATGATGCTCATGGTGACGGTTGCCGTCTGGCGGGCCACGGAGAGGATGACCTCGTGCCGTCCCTGATACTCGAGGGCCGTGTCGAGGGCGACCATGTTCTCGTAGACGGTGGAAACGGAGGAGTGGATGAGCATGAGCTCTTCGTAGAGCTGGTTGATCTGGTCGCCTGGGGTGGGCGCGTATGGAGGGGGAGGGGGAGGAGGTGGGTGAGGTGGTGGAGGGGCTTGGGGATATGGATGAGGGCGAGGAGTGTCTCGGTCCATGGCGAGAGGAAATTGATGGCTGACTGGAACTTATGGAGGAAGAGGAGGGTAAGTTTATATGAAGATACCTCTGTATATATATATATATATATAGACTTATACAAGACCTTTGGGGCAACTTGTGCATGTTAGTACAGCTATGTCGGTATGCTGATTCAGTGAGCTTTCTGAGTTGGATTGGGACTTGATCACTGGTAGTTTCGTGTAATGACCGTTGTATTTTCACATTTGATTCATGTTTCGAGAAGAACTAGGAAACAATAATGACGACTGTGTGACACGAACGGTATCGAGGTAGGTAGGTAGGCGCTATTACCGCTGCCCAGGTTGGTGGCCATACTCGTTGGGTGAACAGGCTGTATTGCCTGGATACCTACCTGTTAGGAATTGATATATAGAGTGGCAGGTATTTCGTTCATTTTGCTCTCTACTGAAGCGTCAATCAACATCGGCAGCCATACCTATGGCAACCTGCAATCAGAGTCTGGCGATGGCTTCAATTGCTACCTAACGGATCAACCACTTCCCCAAACACCGCCAGCCGATGGTGGGGCCGAAGGTCTGCCGGATTTCGGCGCATTTGCGGCATATGTGACGTGTGTTGAGCTCCACCGAGCTTGATGCTTGATTTACCCCTCCATCCAGCTCGCTTCCAGCATTTTCTCACCTACCACCCAATTGAACCAAACAACAGTCAACCTACCTAAGCTTCGTCCCTTTGATCGTTGCATACTTTTATTTTCTTTGCCCTTGATATCAGCTTCACGTCTTCAATTCAGTCATCATGGCTCGCAAGTTCTTCGTCGGCGGCAACTTCAAGATGTGAGTCGTGCCGCTTCCCCTGCCATCCCTCTTCAAAAGAGCGCAGAGCTTGGGCCTGGTCATTCTGGGGGGGTTGCAAGAGGCTGACTGCTATTCCTGCGTCTAGGAACGGGTCCATCTCGTCCATCAAGGAGATTGTCGACAACCTTAACAAGGCCGAACTCGACCCCAACGTCGGTGCGTTGTAGCTCATTCCCGCCTCGAAGTCAGATCTTGACTGCGCAATTTCAAATGTACTAACCGCGATGCTCTGCTCGCTTCAGAGGTCGTCGTCTCTCCCTCCTACCTGTACCTCCTCCTCGTCCGCGAGAGCCTCCGCCCGGGCATTGAGGTTGCCGCCCAGAACGTCTTCGACAAGCCCAACGGCGCCTTCACGGGCGAAATCTCCGTCTCCCAGCTCAAGGACAGCGGCATCACCTGGACCATCCTGGGCCACTCCGAGCGCCGCACCATCCTCCGCGAGAGCGACGAGGTGGTCGCCCTCAAGACCAAGTACGCCACCGAGAACGGCCTGAGCGTCATCTGGTGCTGCGGCGAGTCGCTGGAGGAGCGTGAGGCCGGCAAGACCATCGAGGTCGTCAGCAAGCAGCTCGCCGCCCTCAAGGCTCAGATCTCCGACTGGTCCAAGATCGTCATCGCCTACGAGCCCATCTGGGCCATTGGCACCGGCAAGGTCGCCACCACCGAGCAGGCCCAGGAGGTCCACAAGGCCATCCGAGACTGGCTCAAGACCAACGTGAGCGACAAGGTCGCCGACGAGACCCGAATCCTGTACGGCGGCAGCGTCAACGAGAAGAACTGCGGTGAACTCAGCAAGCAGCCTGACATTGACGGCTTCCTTGTCGGCGGCGCCTCCCTCAAGCCTGCCTGTAAGTTCAAACCTCGGCGATCGTGATGAGAAAGTGTCTCCGTGCTAACTTGCCCTAGTCATTGACATCGTCAACTGCTTGAAGCAGTAAACGGGTTACTCTCTACCTGGAAAACCGAACTCAGTAGGAATAGATGGTAAAACATGAAATAAAAAAACAGTAATAAGCTCTCACAGAGAAATAAAATCCAAACTGATACCCGATACTCTCCGTACGGTTGGACTAGTTTTACAGTGAGGTATCATTGCTCATATATAGCGTAGTGTCCTATATGCGCCAGCAGCCAAATGCCACTGCTCTCTATGCAATCCATACAAATACAAATACACGGACATCTTTTAGAAGTAAAATCCCAGAATAATGAACAGAGAAGACATTCGCTCGAATTACACAGCCATGCCCTTGCCGTGGTACGGCGACCAGATGCCTCGGACACTCGGCTTGGTGCTCAAAACCGCCTTGTTCGTCCTCCTCAGCTTCTCTCCGCTGGCATCACGCAGCAGTTCCACCTTCTGCAGGATCTCGTACGGCGAGAGGTTGCGCACGCATATGGGCTTCGTCCGGCCGTTGATGTAGTGGCCGACGATGACGGGGTGCTTGCCGGGTCGCGGGGAGACGGCGAACTCGATCTGGGGGTTGGCGGCGGCGAACTTGGGGAGCAGTGACTTGATGAAGCCGCTGCAGACATCATGTTAGCATTTGTTCTTCAGAGTTAGGCATACGTCGGGTTTCCGTTTTTGCCTACTTCATGCCCTTGGAGCTGCCCGCCCAGTCGCAGTAGTGCAGGTCCAGTTTCTTGCACTGAAGGACAAACGCCCCCAGGCCGTTCTGTGCATCGCTGTTAGCCTGGGTGTCGCCTGGCTCTGACAGTCATTGACCTCTCACCTTGCCATCTGCAATGGCTCGCAGCGCCTTGACTGTCATCTTCGCTGAGGTCTGAATACTCCAGCCAGGATTCTCATGGTCCAGCGTGTGGCACGATCAGATCAGCCTTCCAGTAGCAGCATCAAAAATTCACGATTCGATGACCCATCCCAACAGGGCCTAGCGCGCTCCGGCACAACCCCGGCAGAACCCGCCCAGGCATCGCCTTTGAGCTGCACGAACAATTTATTGCTGCCAGAAGCGCGCAGCTCGCTCTCGCACTCTCCCGCCGCAAGCAACCTTGAAACCCTTCCCTCGTCGCATCAGGGCATCTCGACCGCTGCACCGCCAGAGCCCGCGAGCCCTCCCTCCCCCCCTGCTGGCGATCACTGCATCCCCTGTGCATCACCGACCGACTGCAGCGGCTGGCGCCTCATCAGAACCCTCGCCATGACGGACAAGCTCCCCCCTAACCTGCTGGCGCTCTTTGCCGCGCGCCCTCCTCTGCGATGGGTAGAACCCTCTGACTATGCGCCCGAGAAGCGCAGGACAGCCCCCATCGGAGGCGTCGCTGCTTTCCTGCCCGAGCTGCAGAAGTACAAGGAGACGGACGTCTACGAGCCCACCGAGAGCTGGTTGGAGATGCGCGATCGCAAGAAGCGAGAGAAGGCTGAGGCTGCCGAGAGGCTGAAGATCGAGGGCCCGAAGAAATGTAAGGTTGTCGAGACGGGAGAGGGAACCGAGTTGTGTTTCGTCGCGCGTTGCTAACCTGAGTCGATGATAGTCAAACCAAACGAGGATCCAAACATTCGTGGCGATGCCTTCAAGACTCTCATTGTTGCCCGTCTCAGCTACGACGCTGACGAGCGTGACTTGGAACGGGAGTTTGGGCGCTTTGGCCCAATTGAGCGTGTTCGTGTCATGACGCATCGAGTTTTTTTCTTTTGAGTACCCGAGGCTGACTTGTGCGCCAGATTCGCATCATTACTGATACCCATGCTCACGAGAAGCCTAATAAGAAGAAGAAGCCGCACAGGGGTTACGCATTCGTTGTCTTCGAGCGCGAGAAAGACATGAGAGGTAAACCCCATTCCAAAAACCCCCCCATGCTATATGACCATCCATTCCAAGCCCGGTGGATATACCTCGAAGATGTGGCCCTCAAGCTTGCCCATCCGTAGAAGCATACCACGAGACGTTCGCCAGGCCCTCAAGCTTTGCCTGTCTCATTTCCGCCCACAATCTCAACTCGTGAACTATCCTCATTATCATGGTAAGAGTTGCTAACATTTGCGTCTCATGACGCAATAATGATTAGCTGCCTTGGATGCTTGCGATGGTATCCGCATCAAAGACAGACGCATCAAGGTTGATGTTGAGCGCGGCAGAACTGCCAAGAACTGGCTGCCTCGCAGACTGGGTGGTGGCCTCGGCGGCCGCGGCTACACCAGAGCTATGCCCATTCGTCCCGGTGGCCCTGGAGGCTTTGGAGGCGGCGGCTTCCGTGGCGGCTTCAAGGGAGGGTTCGAAGGCGGTCGAGGAGGACGAGGCGGCTTCCGCGGCGGCTTTGGTGGTGGTGGTCGTGGTGGCTTCCGAAGCGGCGGCGACTTTGGCCCTCGAGGAGGCGGTGACCGAAACGGCTTTGGAGCACCCAACGGAGCGCCATCAGGACCTGGCTTCGGTCGACGGGACGGAGGCGATCGGGGCTTTGGTGGGTATGAGTCTCGAGGTGGACGCTCATATGATGACAGATCTGGCGGCCACCGAGACGGAGGTCGATATGGCGATCGTGATCGTGGTGATCGTGACCGAGACCGTGGAGACCGAGACCGTGAACGCGATGGACGCCGGACTGGGAGCAACATGGAACCCATTGGCCGCAGAGAAGGTGGGTATCGAGACCGGGACTATGACCGCCCCCGCGACGACGACAGCAGGAAACGAGGATACGAGGGTGGCGGCTACGAAGACCCCCGAAAACTACGCCGCTACTAGTACTAGAGGCCGACTCTTCGACAACTTGGTGGGTAAGCTAATCGCTTGACGAGTTTCCTTCGCATCCTTTCTTTCACCTCTCAAAGGGTAAGAAGCCTGCCGTCCTCCACCAGCACATTTTCCAGACTCTAGATCGCCAAGTTCCGGCCGCCCCCATCCACCACTATCATCCTGCGCTGTCTTTTGCCTACGAATCTTGGGCCCCATTGGTGGTAACTCCCTTTGTCCTGACTTTCACGGCCGGAGACGACGTTTCTCACCAATCACTGAGTATCGATCAGCTGTCATTATTGGACAGATGACCTTTTAATCATAGGACGCGGCGAGAAGGTTGTAGTGTTTCTCGCAATGTATTATAGCACGTTTTGGCAAGGATTAACAGGTTGAAAACAATTGGGGAGCTTCAGGTAAAGTCAGAGGTAAGCTCTTGCGACCCGACTGATTGCGAATATCGAGGCAATTGCTTGTCATTTCTGCGCGACAAAGGAGAGTAAGATACCTATATTTAGCCAGCAAAAAAGAGTACGATAAGAGAAGCAGAAGACACGAAGAAAACCACTGGTAGGAACAGACACAGGCTTCGTGCCCAAGTGCATTTCCAACGTTGCGGAGGAGGTACGTAAAGGCGATCATGGTGGACGACGTTGAGACGCAGAAGACGTTGTGCTTGATCATCAATTCAGGAGTGGAAGCATAGAACTATGACTTGTAGTATGATGTCCTCCGTTTTTTTTTTTTTTTTTGGTCTGGAAGAAAAACCCCGTGAAGAACCTTGGAAACGCCGAAATACCCAAACAATCCCGTTGCTGGTATATGTTGCATGCACACAGAACATTTCTACCAAAGACTACCCGCCTCTCCAAATCGTCAACACATCGCCCAGGCCGACTTTACTCTTCTTCCTCGACACCGTCCATGGCGTTTTGGTCGATCTCTGTCACCTCGTTGGTCGCAGCGCTCCAGTATCTGGATATCCGTTAGCCTCAAGAAGAAACGCCTACAGCAGAAACAAGAACCATTAAAACTAAAAAGAAAAAAAACTTACGCCAAAGGCTTGATCCTAAACTCGCTCAGACAGACATCAAACAGCTTCAACAGCCTCGTCTGTCTCGAGTCGAGAATCTCGCCCTCCTTACAAACGACATAGCCCTCGCCCTCCCCGTTCTCGTCCCCCAGCACGACCTTGCCCTTGACCATGCGCGTGGGCACGCCCAGCCGCCGCAGCTCGGGCTCGATGGTGTGCGTGAGCGGGACGTCGTTCTCCTTGGGGACCTCGCCGGCGGTGGCGTAGACGACGCCCGGGGGGATGGTGAAGGAGCGCGAGGCGGCGACGCCGGCGCGCGCAAAGTCGACGGGCGCGATGCCCGAGAGGTAGTCGAGGACGGAGTCGACGGGGCGGTTGGTCAGGAGGAGGCCAACGGTGCCGGTGATGTGGGGGGCGAGGCCTTCGATGCCCGGGACGATGGCTTCTTCGGCGGTTTGGCCGAGGGCCTTGGCCATGAGCTTTGTCTTGCCGAAGAAGAGGCTGTTTTCATTTCAAGGAATTAGCAATGGTCCCGTTAGCTCGATCGTTTTCGATATAGAGATGATTCGTCGATTGAACTGTGGCCACTAAAGGGGGGGGAGGGAGGAAAAGGCGTACCGGCTGTCGGAGAGTTCACGGCGGACGTCCTTGAGGTAGTTGTTGCGCATGTTGTCGACGTTGAAGACGATGCAGTGCTGGTACTCGGGGACCTGCTCGCGGATGTTCTGGAAGAGCTGGTCCTTTTGCTCGCGGGTCTTTTTGGTGACCTGCGTGAGGTGGAAGACCTTTGCGCGCTTGGACTTGGGCATCTTTTCGGCTGTTGGATAAAGGACAAGCAATGAATTGAGTGTTACAATGTGTTTAGTAAAAGAAGGAGGTAGGATATCGGAGGTTTGAACGGCGAATTGGGTGGAATTCGCACGTTTCGTTGGAAGGTGTGTTGTTGTAGATATCGGCTGGCTGGCTGGCTTGGCTTTGGGTTTGGGTTTGGATATTTTTTTTTTTTTGGGCGCGATAAGATTGCAAAAGAAATTTTATTATCTAAGGTGAGTCCAAAAGAGGGAAAAGTTGCCAGGTGTGCGGAACACCCCGCATTGCTCACCGAGCGAAAGAGCTTTGGGTCGGACCGGGGGGATTAAGAGAGGGGGGGGAAGCTGCCTGGGAATGGGTGCGTGCAGCAGTGGTCGGGATGTACCGCAAGCATGGGCTTGGAAACTTTGTGTGGCGTTGGCGTGGGTGTACCTGGTTATTGGAAATCTTTGTCGAGTTATTTGTGGCTTTTGGTAGGGTTTTTTTTTTTTTTTTTAGAAGCTTATGGGTTTGACAAGTTTGATGTGTGCGTGGAGTTGGGTGTGTGATGGTGGCATCACTCTTTGCGCGTGCATGGTGTTGTTACTACCTGATATACGTATACAGACTCACAATGAGCTTTGTTCATCTTAGGTAGATACCAGGTAGTATAATTGATTATTTCCAAAGCCACGGCCATGCCCAGCCAGGCGCTCCAACTAGCTAATGGACCATGCAACCACGTGTAAAAGTGCCTCTTTCAACTGGGTCCTCTATCCAGAGGTATTGTCTAGGTAGGTAAGGATAGGTAGTTGCTAGCGCCAGTAAAGCAGGAGAGGCGAGGTTTTTGTCAATCAAAACGATTTCAGTTTGTCTGCCATGTCTTATTCCAGCCTCTGAAAGACAAACTCGTTCTTTGTTGTCATAGTCAAGTAGGGAGCAGTGACCATCCGCTCGGCTCATCGCCAAACCGTCGATCAGCGCCAGGATGCATCACGAACCAGAGCAAAGCCGCCGCCAACGCTCACATGCATCATGCACCCTATTACGTGTATGATATAATGCTCACAGCATGACGGCATCACAGGCAAAGTCAGGACAAAGCAGGCCAAAAAGCATGGCAAGGCAGCCCGGCAAAAACCCCCCCGCCAACCTACTAATTCCGTTCCGATGGGCGACTGCGCACGGACCAGGCCTTGGCTGACCCCAACAGGTGCCTATATTTTTTCCTTCCACGCACGAAACATCATAACCGCAGCCTCAAAGAAAGCCCCAAATTGGTTTTTTTCCCTCCTTCTGCACCCGCGCAGCTCATCGCCTCTTCTCCCCTTCCTCCGCTCGCCATCACGCGCGACTCCGCCATCTCGATCCCGCATCACCACTTGAACCGCCAGCTTCGCCAGCCTCGTCCAGCGCCTCCAACGCCTCTTCCCCTCGCAATCCCCCTCCCACTTGTGCATCGGCTTGTTTGTCATCCCACAAGTGCCCGCAGCTCATCCACCCGAACCGCCTCCCACGCTTCCCCCCTCCTTTTCCCATCATCGAAAAAGATTTCTTCTCTTGGACTAGAATTCAGCCTTTGTGTCGAGACGGTCATTTCCTACCAGTTCATCCTTCTCTCCTTTCCGACTTGCGTTGATACCCAACTTCGACGCAACTCGCTGCCCCACGATAACTTCTAATTTCCAACGCTACTGAATCTCGAACATTCCATATATATCCCGGACCGGCTCTACTCTACAACAATGGCTACCAACGGATCATTCGCCAACCAGGACCAGTACAAATCCTCGGTTGACCAGTCAGCTGCTACATCAGCCCCAGCTGATGCGGGCTCTTCGGGAAACAACCTCTCCAAGGATGAGGTTGGCTGGTACTTTGTCGAGCAATACTACACTACCCTGAGCAAATCGCCCGAGAAGCTGCATGTGAGTTTCCCGAATAGACCGGCGACATGCATGCGATGCTAAGACGAATCTCTCTATATAGCTCTTCTACGGCAAGCAGTCTCAATTCGTGTCTGGACTCGAGGCCGAGGTCGCCAATGTCTCAGTTGGTCGTCAGGTAAGGCTCAGCTTGTTCCTTGCTTTTCTCCTACCCCACTACGAACGTGCGCTAATCGTGTGCCCATGTAGCCCATCCAAGAGCGCATCAAGCAGCTTGACTTCCAAGACTGCAAGGTCCGAGTCTCCAACGTCGATTCGCAGGCTTCGTTCGACAACATCGTCATCCAGGTCATTGGTGAAATCTCAAACAAGTCTGGAGAGCCTAAGAAATTCGTTCAGACCTTTGTGCTTGCCCAGCAGCCTTCCGGCTACTTCGTCCTCAATGACATCCTCAGGTACATCAGCGAAGACCAGGAAGAACAGCCTGCCGAAGCCGAGCTGGAGGCCCCTGCTGCCGAGCCCGAAGTGACCGCCGCAGAGGCTCCTGCTGCTGCCGAGCCCGAGCCCGTCGAGAAGGAGGACAAGGCGGAGGCTGTCAATGCCGATGAGGTGGACCAGAAGCTCCAGGAGGCTTCCGAGGTCAATGGTACCGATGCCGAGGAGCCTGCTGTTGCCGCAGAGGCCACCGAGGCTGAGCCGGAAAAGCCCGCCCCCGTTGACCCCGAAACTGCTGCCAAGGAGGCTGCGGAAGAGGAAGCCAAGGATCTCGCTGAGCTCCCCAAGGAGCCGACTCCTACTCCCGCCGTCAAGCCTGTTCCCCAGCCCGAAGCTGCTCCCGTCGAGCCTGCTGCTCCTCCTAAGCCCATGACTTGGGCTAGCCGTGCCGCTGCCGCTGCCGGCCCCCGACCAGTTGTGCCTCTCCCCAAGACCGCCACTCCTCCCGCTGCAGGCCAGAACAGAGCCCCCGCCCCCACGACCGCCTCCGCGGCAGCTCAGCCCGGCGCTGCTGCTGCTGCTGCTGCTGCTGGCGCTCCGGCGGCAGCTCCTGCTCCTACTTCTGCTCCCGCTGCTCCCGCTGCTGATGCTCAGGCTAAGGAGGCTTCCGGATGGCAGACCGCCGGTGCGGATTCCAAGCGCCAGAACCGACCCCAGTCTATGTCTGCCAATGCTCCCGAGAAGGAGGGCACCATGGGCTATGTCAAGTACGTGACGGAGAAGGTCCAGGAGGCCGACCTCCGAAGCGCTCTGGCTGCCTTTGGCGAGCTGACTTACTTCGACATTAACCGTGCTAAGGTAAGCTTTTGAGTCCCACCATCCAACGACTGATATGACTTCTAAACTTGTGCCTTTACTGACTGGTGGCATCCAGAACTGCGCGTTTGTTGAGTACAAGACTGTTGAGGGTTACCAAGCTGCTCTGGCCAACAAGAACCTGACCGTCAATGGCGAGAACATTGTCGTTGAGCCTCGACGACCCAAGTCCAACGCCTATGGTGGTAACTTTGGTGCTGGCCGAGGCAATGCTTCGGGCCGTGGCCGTGGTGGTGCTGGAGGCCAAAACCCTCGAGGCAACTTCACCGGGCAGGTTCGCGGCCGGGGAGGTGCTGCCCGTGGCCGTGGCGGTGCCCAGGTTGCCAATGCTTAAATGACAGGGTATCAAGTCTTGAGAGGCGGACTATACAGAGTGTCAGCGGTGGAAGAGCCAGAAAAAAGTGTTTACGACTTGCATTCGAATTGCATCAACGTCAAGCCCGGCCGAATTGAGACGGCCTGCGGCTTGGCACTTTCTAAGAGTTGCGAGATACGGAGCAACCCAAAGTTTTGCAGACAGCAAAACGGAAGCGGAGGAAGCTTGGAGATGGGACTGGGTTCGACCCCGGCCCCCCTAAAAGTCATCTGTTCCATTTTTGGAGGTGGAGTATGAGCAAGCCAGGCTGGCGTCTGTTTTTGTTTTCATCATTTATTCTTTTCTCGTTGTTTTTTCTTCCCTCGATCGATGCGATGGTTTCATCGATTCATTGCAATCAAGGGAGACTCACGGACCGGTAGCATGTTCTAAAGGCAGAAAATAATACCGGAGAGGATGGCCGTCCGGGGAGGGTTGGAGGATCATTTGTGCTTCATGTATATTTCAAGGGAAAAAAGGGGGACTCTGGACATTGTTTCGGCTGCTGTTATGGTGGGCGGAACCAGTCCTGGTTGGCATGGCGCATGGCGATGGGTGGTGATAACTTTTCCTATTTCCACTTTGGCCCGGTTGATGGTGAAATTCTGGCAGGATGAGCAAGGGATTGAAATAGGGGGAGATGTATATTAGGCAGTTTATGCAGGGTGAAAATATGGTATGCCATGAATGATGGTGTTATGACTGTATGGCCTAGTTCTTCATTCTCATCATTCTCATGGTGCGGCGATCGATTGTACCCTACCTATGTATGTCATGGCGATAGGAAATGAAGTCTTTGGCATCAAGTCATCGAGCATCGTAGCTAGTCATAGAATTGGTCACAGTTCTTGTCGAACATTCTTTGTCAGTCCAGCCAATTATATACGCATTAGGCGCAAGGAGAGTTGACGATGACGACGAAAGAAACAAGAGACCTGTATCTGTAAGAGAGAGATAAGAATGCATGTGCTCCCGAGAGGATGATTTTGGAAAAGCACTACATTCCCAGTAATGGGCCGAGCATTCCTGGATTCATAGAGCAACTCTACAAGAGGGGCATAGATGTGCTGCCAAACGTCGACTGATCAGTGTTTTGAAGGAATATGAAACCCGCCCTTATATAACTAGTAAGACGAGGAGGAGGACTCTTGAGAGCGATTGTGAGGGACAACGTGGCAGCGTAAGTGCTCACATGATAAGGTTAGAGTGAAGACTTGATGGATGGTGTTTTTCTCTTGTGAGTGTTTGTTGATGGGTCATCTCTGGAAACTAGCTGATGATAGAGACAAATAGAAATATTGTTTAGTTCTGCTACCCTTACTTGCCGAAGAGGAATGCTGCGGTGATGTCTTCAGAGCTCCTGAGACTTGACTTTGTATGAGCATGGTAGACACTTATCAGCTAGCATACAAAGTGCCATAATGAAACCTCCCTTCTTCGCCTTGAGGGCAAACAAGATAGATGTATTCCTTACGTGATGTTCGTATCCCGTTTCTTGCCATTGATGTCACTCGGGGGGCGTATAATATGACAGGCAATCAGCGCATAGCGACGGGATCTGACTTACATACAAGGGGGTGTTCGTATGGAGTCAGATCAATCGAGGCAAAGGGGGGAGAAATGAGAGTCGATGTAGTATTTCTTTGCCATTATTTATGTATGCTTCACCAAATTGTTCGTCTGCCATGCTGATGATCGATTGGATACTGGACACGTCGGAGACGAAGGAGTAACGCCCACTTACACGCAAGGTCTGGTGGCTATTAGTATACATACTGCCCAGACTTGAGCGGGACGTGCTTTACTTTACTAGACATACTCCTTTCCTTTCCTTTCCTTTCCTTTCCTTGACCTATTTTCTCGCTGCAATGATCAATCGCTGCTGGTCACACGTCAAGAATTTATAAAGAATGAGGGAAGAGGTATCCAATGATGAGGCCATGTACCAGATGATTGCTACACAATAAGGCAAAAACGAAGCTGAAGAAGCTCTCTTTAGCTGGAGACCTGGCCAATAGATTCCATCAGATATACGCAGCTCTTCTCCATACTTGGATGCTTGTAGTTCGCCTCAAGTTCACAGAGCTCACAAGCAGAGCTCAACGAACAGCTCCCAGGACATATTCCCACTATACACTTAATAGTACGCAAACAAACCTTGAGCTTGAGTCATTCCCTCGGGCCTGCGGCCTGTGAAAGTGGCAAAGGAAAAATCGATAGAACGTTCCATGAAAAGGCAGAAAGGTAATAGTAAAAAGAAAGAAAGAAAAAAAAAAGTCCCGCCGAAATATTGGGCGGCGGCGGTTCACGACCTGATTTGGCCGTCGAATCTCTTATTACGTACTTGAAATTCCCCCCTTGGGCAAAACTTATACACGTGCGATGGCCCGGAGATGAATTTACATGCATAGGAAGACATGCAGCAAGAAGAAGAATTTGGCCATTCGAAACATAAAAGCCCTAGACATGCAATTGCGTCTACTTGGAGAATGCTTGGTCATGGAGTTGAAGCTGTGAGGAGGAGAACATACATAGCATAGCGGCAAATCGGTGTTGGTGAGCTTTTCTTGTTCAGGTGATGCGAGATGCGAAAGTGGAAGGGCCCGTCATCACCTCTTGACCTGCCGGACAGCAATACTAGTACTATGTAGAAGGATAGCGGCAAGCTCCAGAAAGAAAAAGAAGGGAAGAAGAAAATGCTACGAAGTACAAGTAAGCATATTCTCGTGGCGCCGCCCACAAAGTACAAAGATCAATATTTGTCCGTGTAGCCCTGCCGATGGGCCGACGTGGTAAAAAAAGAAAGAAAATGAGAAACAAAAAAATCTGGCAGAGCACGTTGTTGGTTGGTCCGTACAAGACCAATGGAATGGGCCGGCATGGGCTCAACAATGGAGGAGGAGGAAAATGCGTCGGAGGGCCTTTTGTCAGTCGTCCGCCCCCGGCCATTGGGGAGAGAGATCGATGATGCTATTCGCAGATGATGGCCGTGACACGCATATCGGGGACATTTGTTTCCGCTCTGCAGAAAAAGGGCCGGACATGTCTTGTCTTGGCGAGCGAACGTCAGCATTCCCAGCTGCAATGTTTCGTGGAAGGTAGTAGTAGCAGTAATAATATCAAGTCATCAATGATGGACGGTTGATGGGACAAAAGTAGATCTGCCAAGGCTCTCGCGGCTGCCCATTTCCAGCACTCAAGTTAATAAGGGCAGGGAAATGAATCCTTGCCCACATTCACGGCGTACAGGAGCACAAAAGTTCTCCCGTCTGCCTTTTTTTCGCACAAGGACATTGTCGTCTGTGTGTAATACAAGTATGTATGTACTGCCTACCCATCCGATTATCCTGTACTAATCATTACGAGAAGCAGCGTGGTAATCGTCGGCATGTCGGCCTTTGGGGACCTTTGCATCATCCGCAGCTCCGTAAACCGCGGAGACCCTTTGTTTGGTCCTGTTGCAAAGCGGCTCTAGTTGACTTGTATTGTATTACTCGTACGTATGAATCAACAGCAGCAGCAGCAACAACAAGCGCAACGCCATGATTCGCAAACGGATCTGTCCCTGGTTGATCGGCACCCAAAGAGAGAAGAGAGAGTCGGAGTAAGCAAGGACATGCCATGACTCTTGTCCGCCAGACTGATCAACGACCTAGTAGTTTATGCAGTGGAGAAGGATGGGGAGGGGGGCGTGGCCTTCGAGAAGAGACGAGAGAAACAAAAAAAAAGCGCGAGCCCTTGTCCAAGAGCTTGGGGAGAGGTCCGAGAGCGTCGTTGGTGCGGCTGTGTCTTGTCAAGAATCACATACTAGCATCAAGAAAAGAAGCAGCCAGCAGCAGAACAAGAGAGCGCCTCATCGAGTTTCTCGACGTCTTGCCAGAGCGCTTCACTCGCCCTGCAACTTCTTCCGTAACTCATAGTTATCGTCGCCTTTCTAGCTGGTGCATGGATGTGCTGCTCCCTGCTCTGCATCTGAAGCAGCCATGATTATATTACATCGATTGGGCACCTTGATGCACGCAGTGATATGTAGTACTGTAATCAGATCGGCTCCTGGCACGCACTGCCGGCGGAAGTACCGGCAACTCTGCAGACGAGTCGAAAGGTTCTGGACAAGCTTGACAAGGTCTGCCAACGAAACAAGCCAGGGTTTTCCTGGGATTGGGCTTCAGAGAAAGTTGATTGGTGGCCTGCAGGTATCGCACACGAGAGGTATGTAAACCAGCCTGGGATCTGGCGTCTCCTTCGCGAGGAAGAGACACAAAAAGGCCATGGGCAGATCTTGTGTCGGGCTGTGTGGCTGAGCCTGCCGAGATGTTGGAAACATGGCAACCAACACCTTGTCAGGCGTTGTGTAAGCGGTGATCTCGAGAGGATCATTCGGAGTCCGTGACGGTGCCATTGTGTCCAGGAGGCGACATCGGGCATCGGTAGGGCAAACATACATACGACGGGCACCCTTATTACTAGTAGTCCAGACTGCGGAGTGCTGGAGGGTAATACTAAGGTATGTATGTAGAAGGGCATAAGCAATCGGACGAATCGCTACAGTAGCTCGTATGCTAAGAGCCACCTTTGCAAGTCGGGGAATTAGGATCGGAGCCAAGGGCTGTTTGGGGATGTCTTTGAGTCAGGTCACTCATCCTTCGAGCTTCGTAGTACTAGTAGTACGCACTTTGCGCGGTAACAATGGCTTCATATGATCTGTCAGGTGTCTCCTCAGCGTAAAAACCTGCGGGATCAGAAGCCTGGTGGTAGTATGACATGAGGCGATGAACCAGCACACCGTGAGTGAAGCATCACAGACAAGGCAATATAGCACGGTGGTACGTGTGTATTGCGACGAGTTCTTGCCAATGCCGTTCAAAGCACTTCACACGTAGCCTGTCGTGCCTGTGTACTTGTGCTTTGTAACATGTGGTGTAATATTGCGTGCCCATCTGCCATCCTCAAAAGCAACGCCCTCATCTGTGGAGAAGCAAGATCAGAAAAAAAAAAAAAGAATGGACAGCCAACATTTCACTGAGCCCCAATTACCAATACTACGTACTACTAGTTCTGCGGGGATCCGAGTCGGCAGCCAGCCAACGGCAAAGACGCGACAGCTGGGGACCAAGGGGTCCATTGATTGGGGGATGCGGCTTTCAAAGGTGCCTGGACACGTCCAAAAGTTCCGAGATGCTGGAGGGGGGTGAGCCGAGGGCGGGAGAGGGGGGGGCCGGGGGGTACAGTATGTATGGTAAGGTATGGTAAGGTATGGTAAGGTATGGCTGTCGTATTGTAGTGATGGAATCTAGCGGTAGTCGTTTGTACGGCCGGGTACGCATCGCGGGTTGCAGCTACTAGACAGCATAAACGCAGGAAGAGAAAGGCATTGTTTAGGGGATAGAAGACGATAGTATAGCCTCGTTATCAGAAAGTCAGTTGCAAGGTGCGTGAATGGAAATGCTCTTTGCATGGTACCTTGGGAAATGCTTGGTGATGTTATGTTGGCGGATATTGCTGTATGTACCTACCTACCTAGAGAGAAGAGATGGCAGAGACGGAGATGAATTTGGCTGTGTGCCCAATAACAGACGGCCAATTCATCGGCCATTACCCAAACGAGAAAGGCCTCATCACCCTCTGCAAGAAGCCCAAGTACTGCATACGAGTATGTACTATTACTTGTCCAGTGACGGACGAGTCTTGCATCTCGGGCCGGACGGGATGACATCCAAGCTTATTAATGACAGAGGCAAAGCCAACAGAGCAGCAGCCATTTCCCAGCTGTCATGCTGGGCAGTGGACGAGAGTGTTGTAAGTTGCATTGTCTTCCATTTCTATGATATTAGTACGAGCATCCAGAGTTTACCTAAGGTACCTCAACTTACCTGCTAGTAGGTATTGTTCTGGAACGGGAACCTTTACAGGCAGCGTTTCGATGACGCATCGTTGGTAATAACAGTACCTAAGGTAACCATCTTCGAGACATGCTTAGAAGGGTATACCTACCAACATACCTAAGGTACTAACCTGAGCTTGTTCGCTCTTCGGCGCCGACGATTCGCCGGGCCTTTTGCCAGCTCGAACCTGCCCAAAAGGGTTCCCAAAGGATGCCTCGCAAACACTCGAGTCCATCTTCAAACACAAAAACTACCAAGGTCCAGTGGGCGAGTGTTCTGTATACCTTAAACATATTATATGACAGTACTAGGCGCAAGGAGCCATCGACCACTGCAATGCATGTACAACTCCAACAATATCCGATCCTATTTAGAATCCGACGAATAGAGAGCGTATCGTCATCAATCTCCTTCTCCTCAATACGCTCCAGATGCTGCTCGGCTCTACCCAGAATGTTTGCAACCTCTCCAAACCCCGCGCCTTCTTCACGCCCTGCATGGCACCTACCGCGCAGGGCTTAGCGCACTTGAGCCAAGTTCTTTCCTCTGCCTTACTCGTGTCCAAGGCGGGGGGAAAGAAGGAAGCAACGGCGAGCCAGGAATGGCTTCCGCAGCTGGGGTCGGCCCTCTTTTTCTTTTCTTTTTCTTTCTTTCTTTCTTTCTTTTTTTTTTTTTTTCCTTTCAGAGGTGTGATTTTTTATTCATTTCGATTTCTTTTTCTTCTTCATTCTTTTGCCTGCAATTGTGCTCCTGCTTGCGTGGTCTGTGCTCGGATTTCAGTATGTACCTTACCCAGCTGGAGGAACTTTTTGAGAATGATGGCTCGGGTCAGCCCAAGGCCAAGAATGGCAACCGGCCTATTACCGACTTCGTGGGGCGTGGGCAGAGTCCAGCTGTGGCGTCTGCTTTACAGTACAGTATGTAAGAAATACAGCGTCTTTTGTTAGCAGTAGCCGGCGGAGATGCCTATTCCCCGTAGATCTTCGAGTTGCATTGCCATACTGGTAAAGAGTACTAATTTGACCTGCTGTACATACAATGCCGACGACTGCTCACAATTGCTCACTCATCATCACGTAGAACAGGGACTCGAGGGAGCTTACGTAGGTAAGGTAGTAGTAATAGAAAGTACCTACTCTGCACACGGCAGCACCTGCCAGTTTACAACCTGTCTATCAAGGTTGTCTACCTGCCGTCCTTCACTGCCATGTTCTAGTACCCGACAGCAGCCCTCATCAGGTGCTCGCGACAGTCTGCGCTTGCCTCCCTGCAAGTATCCCGTACCGCGAGGCCTTAAATCCGGTGTATTCGCACACTAAACTGTGGAGCATGCATCTGCGCTGCTGCTGCTGCTGCTCGGACCTCGTACAACAGGGCAGTCGGGACGTGTCGAATCCTTCTCTGCTGCTTCCCGCCTTTTGAAACAGCCAGCATCATGCCTGGGAATAGCCTCGCCTCGTCAGCCTCCCTTTTCAGACCAGCTACCTAGGTAGTATGGGATATCATCTCACTTCATCTCATCGCATCGCATCAGCACCATCGTCGTCATCGCGGCCATATTGTTGCTCCCGAGCGATTGATCCATCATCATCATCCGCGTCCGCAATTGGATGCGTACAGAAACAAACGAACCACTGAAGCAGGGAGCCGTCTCAGCCAGTAGCGGCGCTCATCTGGCGCTCGCCAGACCCCAAAAAAGCCTCCCATCCCACCAAGCTATGCCTAGTACCTAGCACGGGTTTCCCGGGTCAGGCTCCCGAAAGCGGCTCAGCTGGCAAAAAGGGTCCGTGGTCGAGAAGAGGCTTCCACGGGCAATCGAGTTGGATCTCGCCCGATGCTCGTCCAGGCGTCTGTCGCTTCTTGGCTGTCGTGGCGCGGCCTCGTTCGAACCCTCGGTCCACGCCCATCCCCACAGCAGCAGCCTCTCGCATCGGCAGCGACACCCCCTTGGACGAACCCCTGGCGTTGACTTACATGAAGTGCCAGAAGGTGTGCTCGTGCCGTGTGTCCGCCGTTCTGTCGCCGACGCTCATTCGCCTGAGCCGCTAACGTCCCTGCTATTCTCCGTGCTGCGACCACCGCAGACGCCTCGACAAAGTCTTGCTCGCCACCCGCACGTTTCCTCAAACAAAGCACCTCCCGTGTCAGCGCAACATTGGAATCCGCTTCGCATAAGCTTTCCGACTCTTCCTGTAACCCTGAGAGACGGCCACGCAGCTTCGGGTCCTGTGCCAAACCCGACAGATTCACCACTTCTGAGCCGCCCACAACGGGGTTTCATCGACACTAACAAAAGGGCCACCCGTGCAGGGCTCCAGCAGCGCATTGTGACCAAGGCCCCGTCCTTGTTTCTTCTCTCTTCGTTTCGCCCTTCATCCACCCCACCGTGCTCGTTCCGAGACTTGTTGCCCGTCTTCGTCTTGTAATAATAGCTGTCTGTCGTTTTCTGATCGTCACTTGGCTTCATCATGCGCTGGGGCGGGTCGTTATGATCAGTGGCCGTCATGATCCATCTACGGAGACTCCTCCCGTCAGCAGCAAACGAATAGACTTCCCTGTCTCGAGTCGGCACACGCCACTGGAGGCAGATCGGATTGCCGGTGCTACGTCAACACACCGACCAAGCGCCCGCCGTCTCAACGCTCTTCCAGCCTCCTGCTTGCCCCGGGGCATATAAGCCCGGGCCGCCCCCATGGACCGCCGTGGCTCGGCCGGAGAGAATGGACACTCACCGGCCCAGTCTGCGCCGCCTCTCCGGCGGCGTCTATCTATGGAGGAGGATATGCACTACCAGCACATCATGACACTGACTCAACAACGGCGTCCCTCCCATCCACCGGCCTATCGAGATAGCGATCTGCCCGCCATGCAGGAAAGAGAGAGTGCCGATAGTGAAGGTGGTGAAAAAGGTGAAACGGTCGAGCACAAGGATTCAACGCCAGCCAAGGCAAGCTGGCTGGCCCGCATCAAGAGCAGAGGGAAAGAGCCCAGGGCGGCAAAGCTGGACGATGGCCTCGATGACCAAGGCCGCAATAGTCCTGACGCCATGGACAGCGTTCCCGAAGAGCTTCCCAGTTACACAAGCTCCATTGCCATCGAAGGCATATTCCACAAGAAACATGAGATTGAAGACACCACCAAGCGCGCCGAAGATCGTCAGTGGCATACCGTCGCTGTTGCCCTCAACGGAACAGCCCTGAGCATCTACAACACCAAGAAGGACTGGGGCTGGGGCAAGGCGCGTGATGGCCCCTCAATCAGTCCAGACAACCCTCCTTGGATTAGGAAGGCCAAATTAGAAAAGACGTACAGCCTCTTGCACGCAGATGCTGGTATTGCCGCCGACTACAAGAAGTGAGTCATCTCGTTGAATCCAGCTGTTATATGCCTCATCATGTCAAGTTGAGGCTTCATATTGGGGGGGCTGGGTGGAAGAGGAAGGCTTGTATGACATGATCTAACCCAGTTTCACAATAGACGTCGCTACGTTATCCGAGTGCGAGCTGAGACGGATCAGTTTCTTTTGGCCTGCATCGAGCTCAGCACCTTTGTCAAGTGGCTCGAGTGCTTGTTTGCGGCTATTGATGTGGCAGCCCCCATCGATGAGCGAGATTTCCCACGCGACATGTCTATTCCTCGCATCCAGCGGATTCGGTGGTACCGTAGCCATACCGGCGTCGTCTACCCCAGCACGCAACCAGAGATTCAGCAGGATCCCCCTCCAGACGCCGAGGGCTCGACTGATCCTTTTGATGCTTCGGGGCAACGACCTTCATCTCCTCCGCCACTACCAACTCCAACGCCCGCCCCGTCACGGCCTCGCCCTCAGGAGGAGAATCAAGACATTGAAGCTGCAGGGCCGCATTTGAGGATCGATCCGAGGAATGATCCATTTCACCCGCTTACCACGTCTATGTCCCAAAATCCATCTATCGACCCCCACACGGGGAAGTGGTTTCCTGAACACCAGTGGTCTACCGCTCACGACTTGTTGTACGCCAAGCTGTGCTACAGTAACTTGTTGTTTCGAAGTCCCCGCAAATCAAACTACATCATCAGCAAAGGGAAGCAGTGGTTCGTCGACTGGGGTACGGGTAGGATGGTGCGCGTGCTTCCCCCGGCATACGGCGAGACAGACTTCTTTGGGCCCTGGCAGGTTGTCCATACGGAAAATAGGAGGATATAGAAGCAGCTGTGGAGTGAGAGGCGGTGTTGAAGTCGGACACTACGGATGGGACACTACGAGACGAAAACACCATTCTAACAGTCTCCGGTTGCGACGAGATATCGGAGGACAGATGACGCTGGCATTACCTCCTATGGATGGAGACGGAAGTCGACTGTCTACTTTTTTTTTTTTTCCATACATCTCATTTGGCGTATACGAAAGCCTGATATGAAGGCTGATTCCAAGGTTTTGGACTGCATCCGCATCGAATAGGGGCAAGAGATGGAGAAAGAGGCTTTGCATCAGGAGCCTCTGGGATAGGTGTTGCTTCATTTGTGCATACAGGGGCGTCTGGAAGGGGCATTTTGAACACATATAACCGGCGGTAACAGCATCATGGACCGGAGTTTCTTTCTTCTTGTTCTACTCCATTGTCATTTCCGTCTTCCCCTTGTTTTTGTTGTCGCTGCGGCTCTTCAGGTGTATATCCATTGCCATGTCATACCGGCGGGAGTGCCAGAGTGGGCAGGGAGGTGCAGGCTTATCAGAAGTAGCTGCGTGCCATCCTCTTGTATATGTCACAATGCATTGAGTCTATACGGTTCCATCAAGGTCTGATTTCATAGGCGAGTGAAGTTGAAACGTGAATTCCACGGGGTATCATAAAAATCATCCAAGTAAATCCAGCCAGTCTAGATCCGGTTTCCCTCACAAGGTCTCTAATCCGTCACTCTCCGTGACGAGCCACGTGGACGAAAGCCATCTATTGCCGCAGCACACTCATCTCCGAAAAATTGAGCTTCAGATGATATAAAAACGGAGCCACCCAGCTTCACTCCTCCAAAACCGCCCTCTCCGCATCCATCGCCTCGCGCGCCAACACCCCGACGACGGGCTCCAGGGCCTCGTTGGCGCTCCTGACGTCCCCGACGGTGCCCTCGAGCAAGCCCAGCAGGCTCTCGATGTCGGCGCGCTGGGCGCGGATCCGGTCGTACAGGATGGCGTTGTGGGACTGCGCCGTCTGCAGGCGGGCGTTGAGCAGTGACTGGTGGGAGGCGAGCGAGGGGGCGAGGTGGGCGGAGAGGATTTCGCGTGCGGGGAGGAGATGCGGTCTGTTTTTGTTTAGTTTTGTTTCTCTCTTGTACTTTGGTTTCAAATGGTTTCTTGGAGAGTGAAAAGGAGAGAGAGAGAGAGTTGATGGAGAGGGTGGGAGGAAGAAGAACACGTACGGTGTTGGTTTGGGGGCGTCGGGAGGTGCAGTGATTCGCCTATGCGTCGCTTCGCTGATGAGGGCCTCGAGGTCGTTTAATTTAGAAACGACCTGTCTCGCGACGAGGATGCTCTCAAACTCTTTCTGTATATACGCACAACAGACACACACACAAAACGTCAGCTACATCTTTCTCCTTTTTTGCCCACCTCCTCATCATCATCATCATGATCCTCATACAGCTCCCCAAAAAAGAAGGAGGAGGAGGAGGAGGAGGAGGAAAACGCACCTCGCACTTTTCGCCCAGCTTCTCCACCATCTGCGCCTGGACCTGCCGCAGCACCGGCTCGGCCCTGCTCGCCACCGTCGGGTAGCACGCCGCGAAGTTTTCCCACTTGAGCTTGGCCAGCGTGCGGCGGAGGCTCTGCGCGTAGAGCTCTTGGAGGCGCGCTGCGCGGGGGCCGGGGAGGATGTGTGGTGGTGGTGGTGGTGGTGGTGGTTCGGGGTGCGGTTCTTGGGGGTTTTCTGGTGCTGCTGCTGCTGCTGCTGCTGTTGTTGTTTCTGCGTCGTGGTGGTGGTTGTTGTTGTTTTGGTTGGAGGAGGAGCATGTTGTTGTTATTGTTGGATTGGGTGTCGTCGAGGCGGTTTCCATGGGGGTTTGATCTGGTTGCGGCGGCGGTGGTGGTGAATCTGCGGGAGCTTGTGCTGATGTCGCCATTTCGAGGGACGGGTTTGAATGGTCGCGCAAGGGCAATTGATGGGTAGGCTGTCTAATCCAGGGACTCGAGTGATTGTATTTGTAGGTATATGGAACTTGTATGGATTAATGAGTTTGTATGGAGAAAAAAGAGAGCTTCGTCGGTGGTAGTATGGAGGTGTGGTTACTAGGTATCAGCAAGCGCGTATCAAATACCAAGAGAGACGCGACGTGGGGTCAAGGCTTCTGACGGTTTTGAGACGGCAACACGTGACGCCTTTCTTTTCACAAAAATGATGGAGATGCGCATTTTATCGACAGCGCGGATTGACTGGGGAATGGCGACTGCCTTTTTCTATTATTGCTTGAGCGAGATGATGATATCAAATGATATTCCGTCTCCTGATTGTTGGCACTTTGTGTGTTTCTAGCTTTCACGTTGTTTTTCTTTTTGCTGTTACAATCGATGCTTCTCTCGAGACTTCTTGAACCCCTCACCCCCCCCCCCCCCCCCCCCCCCTCTCTCCCTCCCTTCTTACACAAACATACATAACATCTGCCCAGCTTCTCCATATCGTCAAATTCAGCCTTAGTGGCCAGTGTCGACCGAGCACCGTACGACTATCATGCAAAAGTCTTCCTTCGACCCTTCAAGCGCCATTGTTAACCTCTTGAACCAATCCATGTCTATCACAGTCCCGCCATCTGATATAAATCTCACCCAGCCATGTCCTCTATATACCCTTTCCAGCTTGCCGCCGCTCCCAACTCCCAAAGTTGATGTGTGAACTCTCTCTTAAAGCGCTCCGTAAGATTCCCTCCGCAGGTTGGTATCAGCTATGTCCCAGTTCATAACGCAGTCTTGAAATCACCAATGCATCACCGCCGTCTCTCTCCCCCCTCCTTTCCCCAGACGAGGCTGAGAACCAGCCCCAGCCTCGACTGATCCTATACCACCGTGAACAAGATCGCAAACAATCAGACAAAACAAGCGTAAGCGAAAGAGAAAAACTCAAGTTAGTTAGCCGCCAGGATAGCCGCCGCATCAGGCCCCGAGCTGCGATCATTCTTGCCCCCATCCTTCCTCAGCTCCTCCTCCTCCTTCTTCTTGCGATCCGCCTCCCGCTGCCGCTCATGGCTGACATACGTGGCATACCGTATCGTCCCCAGCATGCAGATAGCCATGAAGAGGATGCCCACGACGGACCGCCGGATGAGGATCCATCGCACGCCTTCAATCTCCGACTTGGAGTCGCTGCTAAGCATGATGCTGATCTTGTAATTGATTTGTTGAATCTGCCACCCCAACCGATTAGCGAAAAGAAAACTCACACACAATCTAACCCCCCAACTTTGAGCCGAGGACAGAGTCAGCTGGCCGAAACGTACCGCACTCTCCATTGCCTTTTGCTCCTCTCTGACCGTCATCTTGCGGTCGTTGAACAGCCCCCGCACGTTGTCGTTGAGCGTGAGCAGCTCCTGGTTGAGCGTCTGCGTCAGGATGTCGACCTCGTGCTGGAGATGCGTGCGCTGCTGCCGAATCTGCTCGTCCTGAGCCCGCCGGTTATTCCTCACCTCGGCGCTCAGCTCGGAGCACGCAGCAGAAAACAAGTAGGACTCCTATTCACTTCGCATTAGTCCAGCACACTCATCAACCCTAAGCTCAGCGAAAGAAACACATGAGCTCAAACCCCCTCCCCCTTTTTCAAACCCCTAACAGATATCAAGGAAGGGGGGGGGGCTGAGAAAATGTCACACTCACATTTTCCACATCACTCTTGCTAACAAGCCTCTCCTGCGCCATATCCAAATTATGCGCCAGAATGGTCCGAATGGCCTTCATCATGGTAACCGCCTGGTCGCCCCTGTACCCGCCCTCCTGCAGCTGCTTCACCAGCGAATAGCTGTCAAAGTGGTGCACGTACTTTGGCGGCGCCATCGACGGCGTCTGCTGCGACACGCTTTCCGGCGCGCCCATGTAGTACACGGTATCCAGCTTGTCGCTCATCTTGGTGCCGGCTTTGGGCACGCCGGGCTTATTAGTGGGATCCGTGCTGCTGCTGCTGCTGCTGCTGCTGGCGCTTGCTGTGCTCGAGCTCGCGCTGGCATCGCTCGCATCGGCTGGCTTCGGCGCGCTCTCGGATTCCGCCTTTGACTCGGTCGGGCCCTGCGCGCTCTTGGTCTCCTGCTGCTGCTGCTGCTGCTGCTGTTGAGTCTTGAGAGCAGCAGCAGCAGCAGCAGCAGCGTCCATCTCCGGGGCATCAGTCGCTGCTGCTTTCGTCGCCTTCTTGTCCTTGTCTCCCTCCCGAAAGAGGAGCTTCCCGATATCAGTCTTTGCCTGCGCCTGCGCCTCAGGTGCTGCGTCCACCGCCGCCGCCGCCGCTGCTGCTGCTGTACCGTCCGCCGTTTCGCCCTCTACCGTTGTCTCGGCCGGCACATCTTTGTCCGTGTCCTTGTCCTGCTTTTGTCCTTGCTGCTGCTGCTGCTGCTGCTGCTGCTGCTTCTCCCACTCCGCAGGCTCAACAGCCTTGCCATGCCTCTTTGCAAACGAACTATTCCACCTCGCGCACGTAGTATTCGCCGTCGTATTGGGAGCACTAGTCGTCGCCGTCGTCGTCGTCGTCGTCGTTGTTGTTGTCGTTGCCCATCCCACCGTCGTCGGGCCGCAGCCCCTCGCCGCCGTCCTCAGCAGCTGGGGATACAAAAAGGCCAGTCTCCCCACGGCAGCCATGGCGGAGGAATAGGAAAATATTACACCACAGAGAGGGAGAAAGAAAGGAAGCAAGGATCAGACGGCCAATGAGTTGTTGACGAGTGTCATGGGAGAGGCGAAGCGGTGCTTCTCTCTGAGGGCGATGGATGGAAAGGAGCGCAACGAGGTCAATAATACTGGATGCGCTGTGGGACGGACTGGTAGTAGCAAGTAGCAAGTCAAAGAGCCAGAAAAGTGGCTATCGTCGGAACAAAGTCACAACTAACCTACCTAGTGCCGCAGCTTGGTGGAACAGCCTGGGCGTGCAGACAGACACCAAGCAACAAGGCGCTAAAACATTGATCCGCCATCATGATTACTAGTACCTTACTATCATTGATTGATACCTATTCCCCAGGCCAGCCTCGGCACTGGATCCTCACAACTCGGCACTTTCGTCTCGACGCAAACCCTCGTAAACCGGTACACACCATGTATTAGCACTACCTATTATAACAATTGGGCAGACTCTCCAAATGTACCGGCAGCTGGTCCTCATTCTGTAGTGAGACATGTGCACATCCCAACCTCTACAGCTTTTCTATGGACGTAATCCCAGAACCCAGATGTAGCGCCTCCCAACCGTTGCGATAAAGTACATTTGCATCCGTCGCCATCCTACCCAGCAGGGGCCATAGCCCGGCTCTCAACTCTCGTCCGAAAGGAGTGACCCAAGTGATAACGCCCAAGTTGGTGGCGAGACGAGGAGAAGGAAAAAAAAAAGCAGAGGAAAATCAGAGAGAAGGGAAAAGATTAAACAAAGAGCAAACATTGGAAAGAGACTCCCGGTGATCCCATAAAGAGAGGTGAAAAAAAAAAAAAAGAGTCCCAGAGTTGTGTGTTTTCATCATCCGTCAAGAGAGAAAGGAAAACGCGCCCGGTTCCAGGATAAAAGGATAAATGTATCGCTCCCCTCTAGGTAGTCGTCTTGTCCTGGTTCATATCCAGAATCAATGGCCGTGTATAGTCCTCGCTCAATCGGCCAGAGAATGACAGTCAAACCACGATGCATCCTCCGCCCAAAGTCAAAAGATGGTATACTAGAATGAGAATGACCATGTCCGCACAGTATCGATACCACTTGATGATGCAGCTTGTGGATATCGTCGTCGTCGTAATACATTCGTTCCCAGGATAGGAACGTTGAGTCGGCCAATGCACTTCACAAGGCCTCAGCACCTCGATGAGCAGCTTCACGAATCGGCATCCTCGACCCGCACAGGCATTCCATCGACAGGGTCGCCCGAAGCCTTGTTGCCTGTGGCGCCGATAGATGGGACACCGACGGCGCTGGCGTGAATGCTGGGCGGGCTGTTTGTTTGCGGGCTGTTTGTCTCATGCGTCAGGGAGGGAACCTCGGCCAGGGAGTTGGTGTCGGACTGGGCAGAGTTCTCGCTCTTGGCGCCGTTCAATCCGAGGAGCTTCTCGAGCGCCTGTACCTGTCGGGAAGCTACGCTCTTTTTCAGAGTGTAGAATTGGGGCTTGATCTCCTCGACCAGAGCTTCCCTCTCATCGCCCTGTAACTGGCCCAGCAGTTTTTCTATTCCACAGTTAGCGTCGCCGGCTCTAACGGACCTGGACTGCTGTCAGGTTGGTTGGGTCAGGACTTACGGATCACATAGTTGCCAAACTGGTCTCTCATCATCTGCTGGAGAGGGTTGTTCCCGTCAGGCCCGGCGGTCGTCAGCTGCTCCCGGATGGTTGTGCGCTGCGCCGGTGTTCCGTATTCGATACACTTCTCGACGACGTTGGAAGCAAACTTGTGCTTGGAGAGGGTGAGGAGCTGGCCCATGACCAGCCGAATGATGCGCTCGCGATCTTCCGGCTCGCCGTTCTGGATGACATGCTGGGCGACGTAGTTGCCATATTGGTCGGTAATGAGGAGCTGGGCAGAGGCGTGGAGCTCGCCCATAATCTCCGCCTTATCGGCCTCTGTGCCATGCTCGAGCAGCCGTTGAATGACTCGGCAGCCGTATGCGTGAGAGGCCAGGGGTGTCACTTGTCCACGCACAGCTTTCATGATGAAGTCAATGTGCTGTCTCGGCACCAGCTCGATGATCTTCTGCACAACATGGTTGCCGTTTTGGTCTTTGATGACCCGCAAGATTTCGGGTTCCAGCTCCCGTGTCAGGGCAGCTTGTTGCTCGACCAGGATGTGCTCCAGAGCCTGTTAAGAGAGATCCAGTCAGCATTGTGTACGCTATTTAATTTGGAGTGTCAGATTGCACTAACCTTCTGAACCACACGGCAGGCGTAAACCTGGACCGAGAGATCAACCACTTTGCCTTTCATCTTCTCCGCCAAGATTTTCTTCTGAAGCTGGCTTCCATACTCGAAAAACTTCTGGATGACGTAGTTGCCAAAGACGTCCTTCATGAGCTGGACGGCGTTTGGCTCAATCTCGCGGAATATCTGCTCCTTCTCATCGCTGTTGGCAGTCTCGAGCTTCTGCTGGATAAATCTCGAGCCATGCTGATCTCCGCTGAACTCGACGGCGTGATTGTAAATGTCCCTGAGCTCGTATCGCTTGTTGGATTTGTTGCCATTGATGCGGAACTCGTCGAGCAGAGCGCTGCGCATGCCTCTGTTGGGATCCTGGTCGCGGGAGGACCTGGCGGGGGACATGGAGTTGATTCCATATCCGGGGTGCACCGGCTGGACGGGGTAGTTGGGAAGCATGGGGCGGAAGCTTTGTGTGTAAGTCTCCACGTAAGAAGTGTATCCGGCAGGAAGCTGGGCAAAGCCGTAGGGGCTTGGATAATACTGCGCAGGAAAGTTGGAGGTGACAGACATATGCTGGCCAGAGGCTCTGCGCTCATGCTCCGCCGCCCTCTGGCCTCGTGAGGATGGTCTGCTGCCGTTGTTCCATGGCTCCGCAGCCGGGGCGAGGCCCCTCGAGCCGGAGCCGGACTCCATGCGGTAGGCAGAGCCGCCTGGCGCTGGCGACACTCTGTCGAGCGAAGGGCGCCTGATGGTAGAAAGCTGAAGAGAATCCGCATTGGTCCCAAAGCCACTTCCAAGCCTCGAGACGCCAGACTCGCCCCCCCACGGCATGTAGTTGGAGTTGAAGGCCTGGACGCCGGTCGAGCCATCGTTCATGCTGAGCTGGCGGTTCATCCTGAGGTTGAGGTCGTCTTCCACCTGTCTGTTGGAGAGGTACGCCCGCTGGTTCGCAGCCTGGGGCAGGGACAGAGGGTTGTGAGGCAGCTGCTTGGTCTGAAAGGCCAGAGTGTTGTCATGGCCGATGCCCTGCTGATATTGTCCCAGCTGAAACATCATATCAGCATAGCCTGGAGAGCCCTGGGACTGTCGAGAGGGCGGGAGGCTGTTTTCGCGGGACTGCGCAAATGCAGCCATGGCATCGTTGTAGGCGCCATCCTGGGGGGCTCGTCTCTGGGCGGCGGCAAAGGAGTATTGGCTCGACTCGTCGACCAGGTTGCTGGAGCTCCTCATGCCAACGGCTGCTGGATGGCTGTTGGAAAAGAGACCAGAGGTGGTGGGGATGCCTGCATCTCGTGCTCGGGGGGGAGAGTTGTTGACGGAGCGTGCAGGATTTTCTGTGTTCCAGGGCCTGGAGCTGGAGGCGGCCCAGAGCTCGGCCTCGGAATTGGCGTTGAGGGCACTCGAGCCTGTGGGATTCTCCTCTGATTCTGTGCCGTTGCTTGTTAGATCATTTGCGTCCTTCAGGCATTGGAGGATGCAAGGCGCCCGCCAGGCCGCAATCCTCCCTCGCGAGGGCGCGCGGCCAGGCAGAGCAGAGTCCAGGTACGCACCTATTCCGTTGGAGCGACCTCCAGTGTTTGACTGCGCCAAGGGCGACCAGATGCTGGGATTCGGATACAGGTTGGAGCCGGTGAAGGACGACGAGCCCACGGGCTGCTGGGCGTTGCTGGCAGATCCAGAGGGCATGGCAGCAAAGCTGTTATAGGGCCTCAGCCGCGCCTGGAGCAACAGAGGGAAGAATGGCAGTTAGCAATGGTGCGGCGGCCAAAACGATAACAGAGCAGACCAGAGGCAGAGGCAGAGGCAAATGCAGAGACAGAGGCAGAGACAAGAGGCAGATGGCAGATGCAGATGCAGATGCAAAAGGCGAGAGGCAGAGGCAGAGGCAAAAGAGAATGGCCGAAACAATGCTGAGGTTGGGACGAGGGCCAAGGCGTGGGGAGTCAGGCCTTTGTGACCCGCTAAGGGCGAATCAAGCCTCCTTCCGCAGGCGCTAGGCTGGCGCAACCTTTTGAGACACTCGAGCGGCCCCCCTCTGACGTCGTCTGTCCGCTGCCGGGGATCAGGCTGGGGGACGGCGGTCTCTTGGGGTTGCGGCGCTGTTTGCACTTTGGCAGCGGGCAAGGGTTCAATTCAACTAGGTGCGCAGAGTGGGGAGGCAGCAGCGGTAGAAGGGGAGACTGGTGGTGAAGACTGTGGTGGCACGGAGGAGGAACGGAGTGTATGAGTATGTACTTACAGGGCGAGTAGCAGCTGGAAGCTCTCCCTCAGTCGAAGTCGAGGTCGAGGACATGGTCGTGTTGAGGGAAGAAGCCTCGTGCAGGCCAAGCGGCGTCCTGTTCGCGGAAGAGTAACTCATAGTTGCTGGCAGTATAACTGTAGACCAATGGAAGTTGATGAGGGCGACGAGCAGAGCAGAGCTGCGCAAGGTCGATTAGGTAGATCCTAGAGAGCTAGGGATTGCTTTGAGGTACAGCGAACAGGTGCGCTGACGGACAGGCGCCGATGCAACTGCAGGAGCAGCACTGGGTACCTAGGTTATTACCAGGCCGCGTGCTGGTGCCAGCAATCCGCTGCAGGGCGGGTTTGCTTATGGATGTCTGGTATTAGTATTACCTGTTGAGAGCCGGGCGAGGTGCTGGAGCTGATGTCAACCGGTATGTTGTCTGGTGCCTGTACTGGGCAAGCAAGTTGGGTGGACGCCTTGGTGGTGGAACCTCGAGAGTCGCTGCTGAAAGACGGATGTGGTTGTTTTTCTTCTCCCACAACAGTCCGAATATTGGTCGACTGGATCTCTGTTTCTTGTTTTCTGTGCTGCTGTGACTGAGAGCGAGTGCGCAAGGGGCTCTTTTCCGTTCCCCTTGATTTTTCTGATTTTTTGCTCCTGGCTATGTACAGCCGACAATGTCCAGAGAGTCGCGATAGGCACTATAGTCAGAAGGATATAGTACAAGGACGGGCACCAACGAGCGCCGTGCTTGCGTGCTGAGAGCAGGAACGCGCCGCAATAAGTACTCGCGGACGCTGGCCCTCCCTTGAAGATAAGGGTTCGAGGTCGCTTGAGACCAGGTCAAACAGAACGGCCGGGCGTTGCGAGACCCGGAAAAATTCGACGCCCTAAGCAGGAGGAGCTGCACCTGTGTGTTTCGCTGCCAGGTGCTCCTCGTGGCAGCTCACGCTGTCTGGGGTTTTGCCGAGCAAGATCACACTATCGAGGACTGCGAGTCGATATACGTGTCAGCAGGCCGCGGGCAGTCTCTGGGAATGCCTGCGATCAGGGTTGCGCTTTAGGTAGGGTCTTCGATTGCAGGGGGGGGGGAAGAGAGGAGCCTTTAAATAAGAGCAAAGGACGGGGGGTCGTGTAGGTGAGTAGGTAAGGCGGCTACATGTAAGGTGTAAGGCGTGCAACAATCAGAGTTTGGCAGAAGGAGATGAGGTCACGATCGTGTACGTAGGAGGCGGTCCGATGTTGGGCTACGGCAGCCAGAAGGGGGTCGACGGAGAAGGGGGAGAAGTTTGATCAAAGGGATATTGGGGATCCAAACGCTCAGATACAAGGGAGATGGGCTGGGATCTGGCGCTATGGCGGAGGCTCATCGCAGCACTAGGACGAGAGGGCTTGAAATGAGGATTTCCCAACGCAATATAAAGGTGCTGGCGGCGGAGTCCGGCCGGCGATGCTTCGTTCTAGCTGGGGGACAGCACTGAACTTACCTCGTGGACCCAACGTGCGGCGATACCACTTCGAGAGTGTTTAAGGCGAAGCGAGGCGCTGTCTGCAAGAAAGAGGCTTCTTCCTTGTTGCTCGGCCCGGATGGGTGAAGGACTGAATGATTCACGAATTATTATTCTTTATGTTTTTTGTAGATTTAAAAGAAAAAAAAAAGGCTAGTACGATTCGTGATCTGCATATACAGTGACGCAGGTTGTCGTGAGGCTCATAGGGCGCAATCGCGCGCCTGTGGAGGAATCAAAGATGAAGGAATTCGTGATGGAAATAGCAGCGTAAACGTCGATGGAGGCGCAAAACGAGGACTCGGGTGGCCGAGATGGCGTCTGCTAACAAAAAGTAGCGTTGCGTTTAATTTATTGCTTAAAAATGCCACAACAAGGCTTGTCGGTAAAAACAAACAACAATAAACTTTTATTTTATGTTCAGTGCTGCATAGAACGAATTTGGTAGCGAAAAGAGAAAATAAAAAAGTGGCAAGAGATTGGGGAGCGGGCTCGCTGGGTTAGATGTATGCCGGCCGTGCTGAGTGCGAGGAGCGCAGAAATGCTGGGCCGGAATGCAGATGTAGCAAACTCGACGAGGAGCGTGTCCATGGCCGGCCTGCCCTCGAACCACAGGAGCCCAGGGAGGATATGCAGTGAGGAATGAGGCGCGAGACGGGCGCCTCTTTTTACTTCTTTCTCTCTAAGGGTCTCGACAGGGAGGCAAGGATAAGAGAGGATTGATTGATTCCGGCACTATCCTCTACCCTTTCAATAATCGCTGCCAGTAGTCCATGTCTCCATCTGCTCAGACCTCCTCCTTGTCCTCCTAAAACGGACATTCTCAGCATGAATTGGATATTCATGTGGGCATAAGTGAGCTAGAGCTGGAAGAGGAATATCTACTGAGACCACCGATCCGACAAGCACGCAAGCTCGCACGAGGGACAATGGAGGGCACAACACAAAGTTCTGGGCTTCGCAGGGGCTTGCGGTGACACTCGGCTCTCTTGTCTGCCCCGTCTTGTAGGGCACATGTATACATGGATACAGCACGGCACAGCAGAGTAGGTACATGTAGAGCACAGCAAGAGCACGGCTTCAGAGGGGGAGGGGGGCCTGCCAGCGTGTCTGGCCCGTTACACGGCACAAAGAATGGCGTTGCGAAACATGTGCTGACGGGACGCCTGATTGGACCGGGGAGAGGAGGAGGAGGAGAAGAAAGAAAGAAAGAGGGGCGGGAGGACAATTCGAAGGGTGCTGGCAGATTCCGAAGCAGAGCTGGGAGATGATTTTGCGTCGATGGCATGCCAACTTCCGTCTAGCAGATGGACACAGCCTATGTATGTTCCTGGGATGGCAGAGAGATAGATAGAAGCTCGAATACTGGCAGATACTAGGACGTGTAATTCCATCCAGTCCAACTGGCTGCTACAGCCAGGAGAAGGCTGACCCGGTCGTGCTGATCGAGGCCGGACTCATCCGACAGGCCAGCAAGATCAGCAAAACCGACACACTGGAGAGAGCAGATACTAGTAGGTAGGTAGATTGGCCGAGATCAACTTAGCACGCGGCAATCGATTTAAATTGATGCTACACCGGCTGTCGAATGGGAGGGGTGACGGTGCAGCACTAGGTAGAGC